ACACACCATATATGCACATAGGAAGAATAGAGCAGTTATTATAAGACAATCTCTTTTAATGATAATAAAACTAAACTAGCTAGCATGTGGCTGTTGGTTTCCTTGAGCCAAAGCTCCAAGTACTGACAGAGATGACCGCGCGAAGGTCGCCACACATCCATCTCCTCCTCTTCACAAGGGGCACCTTCGACAAGTATCATAGAGGAGATTGCAAACAGCGAACCGCTTACAACCAAAAGAGTTTACACCAAACAGCCACCATTCCCATCCAAGGAAGCCTATGGCTGGAGACTGTAGGTAGGGTACCAACATATCCACAACAGGGGACAGTGAGCCTGCGAGGACAAGAGGAAAAGAGACTGCTGCGGATTCTCGTGCTCTTTTTATTCCTTTCAAGCGGCGTTTGAACAACATGCTCGGTTATGACATCCTTGTTCCCTTGACCTCGTTGCGTGCACCTAGTCGGCCTCTTTGTGTGTTCTGGATATTGGGTGACGAGGGGATTGACGACTGCTGACGAGCACGAGTACGAGTACCAATCGTGACGGACGAGGAAGATGATGCTGGTGGCAATGTAGCAAGATAGCTAGATGGATTAAAGCATTGTTTATTTATTTATTACACGCTTGGAGTTTGCTACCTTGTGGATTACATGATATTGCTTTGAAGATAGAATAATCGAAGTGGTCCGGTTATCGGTCATGCAAGAAGTATATGGCTTTTGTGATACAATAAGGAGGAGTGGGACGACCTTGAGAAGAGAAAAAGTGAAGTGATCGCTAAATTGAGTTGATTACTGGTGGGTTTACATATACAAATTGGTTTTTGCAGCTCGACCTTCTCCCACATGCAAATGTGATATGGAACCATTATTGTCATACACATACCTTGACACACCTTCATGGTTCGATGTTGTTTCACTTACGTACCTTCACAAAAGGCAGTCATCATGATCATGCATGTGTGCAGCAACCTGTCAAGGACGTGTTTGTGTAACCACCACGTGTCATTTCACTCAGCTCTTCATCTTTCCGTTAATGCAGCCGACACCATCCACTAGGAAAAAGCAACTCCATCACGCTTACGGCGGGCATATGTAAAACATAAAGGCGCCTGTGTCTCTAAACTTTACAATGAAACGTGGGGTCTTTAATAGAACCATGTTGCTCGGCGGGGTGAAAGCGATCTTGTGTCAAACTATGAAGTCCATCGTGGCCAATCCCAGATTTCGCAATGTCGCTACCAGCCAAACTGGATCCGGGGGTCGACCTCTTCGACGACGACGACCAAAAAATATTTTTTGGGCTAGTTGCGACGTTGAACGTGAAACTTTCACACAAGGTGCTGTTGGCCAAGCCGAGCCCATTGCTCTAATAAAAACCCCACGTTTGATTGTAAAGTTTGGAGATACAGGCACCTTTATGTTTGTAAGCGTGATGCTATATGAAGAGCGGTCTTTGTTCATTGTCAAGTAGGTGGACCCTGGCAGAGCAAAAGATGCAGAAGGACCTCTTTGGGTAACTCAGCTAAAAAGTCAGGACTTCAGGGACAATGCATGACAGGTACGCAACCCTCACTTTTATGTCATACATTGGCAGCTAATAGCCAGTTTTGTGCATTCCCAACTTTTGTGCATTCTATTGTAAGTGGACGATGCTCCTGCTCCAGACATTCATTTCCATGATTAAAGTAGCTTGATCCGAGCTGATTTGGTTGAGTTACGCTCACACAAGATTACATCGGTTGAGCTACATCGAGCGTGCTTTATGTCCAGAGTGATGTAATCTCTCTTTGACCGCAGCTCAGTCAAATCAGCTCGGATCAACCTACTTTAATCATGGAAATGAATGTCTAGAGCAAGCATCGTGCAGTGGATCTCGCAACAATGATGATTGGATAAAAGTGGCCGTTAGCTAACACTCTAAACTTTACAATGAAACGTGGGGTCTTTAATAGAACCATGTTGCTCGGCGGGGTGAAAGCGATCTTGTGTCAAACTATGAAGTCCATCGTGGCCAATCCCAGATTTCGCAATGTCGCTACCAGCCAAACTGGATCCGGGGGTCGACCTCTTCGACGACGACGACCAAAAAATATTTTTTGGGCTAGTTGCGACGTTGAACGTGAAACTTTCACACAAGGTGCTGTTGGCCAAGCCGAGCCCATTGCTCTAATAAAAACCCCACGTTTGATTGTAAAGTTTGGAGATACAGGCACCTTTATGTTTGTAAGCGTGATGCTATATGAAGAGCGGTCTTTGTTCATTGTCAAGTAGGTGGACCCTGGCAGAGCAAAAGATGCAGAAGGACCTCTTTGGGTAACTCAGCTAAAAAGTCAGGACTTCAGGGACAATGCATGACAGGTACGCAACCCTCACTTTTATGTCATACATTGGCAGCTAATAGCCAGTTTTGTGCATTCCCAACTTTTGTGCATTCTATTGTAAGTGGATGATGCTCCTGCTCCAGACACTCATTTCCATGATAAAAGTAGCTTGATCCGAGCTGATTTGGTTGAGTTACGCTCACACAAGATTACATCGGTTGAGCTACATCGAGCGTGCTTTATGTCCAGAGTGATGTAATTCCCCTTGACCGCAGCTCAGTCAAATCAGCTCGATCAACCTACTTTAATCATGGAAATGAATGTCTAGAGCAGGAGCATCGTTCCCATGCAGTGGATCTCGCAACAATGATGATTGGATAAAAGTGGCCGTTAGCTAGCAATACATGCCTGTTCCTAGATGATCCATAAAGTAATTATACATTGACCCTTTCATTCATGCAAACGTAGCTGTGTTACACAACACGACCCTCTGCATCTTTTGCTCTGCCAGGGTCCACCTACTTGACAATGAACAAAGACCACTCTTCATATAGCATCACGCTTACAAATATAAAGGTGCCTGTATCTCCAAACTTTACAATCAAACGTGGGGTTTTTATTAGAGCAATGGGCTTGGCTTGGCCAACAGCACCTTGTGTGGAAGTTTCACGTTCAACGTCGCAACTAGCCCAAAAAATATTTTTTTGGTCGTCGTCGAAAAAAATTCAGGAGGTAGACCCCCCGATCCAGTTTGGCTGGTAGCGACATTGCGAAATCTGGGATTGGCCACGATGGACTTCATAGTTTGACACAAGATCGCTTTCACCCCGCCGTTACCCCACGTTTCATTGTAAAGTTTAGAGACACAGGCGCCTTTATGTTTTACATATGCTGTAAGCGTGATGCTATATGAAAAGAGTTCTTTGTTCATTGTAAAGTAGTAGGACTACAATAGAGCCAAAGATGCAGAGGGACGTGTTGTGTAACTTGAGTCAGTCAGCACAGGCGATGCATGATACTTGTACACTAATTAGGAATTGTTCAAACTGCCAGCTAATAGCCCATTACTCCCATTCACCTTTGTTGCTCAATACAATGTATCTGAACGATTGTCCTGCTCCAGCCCATCATACCCATCCTTAAACTTCCTTGATCCAAGGGGATTTGATTGAACAACACTCAAACAAAGGAATGACATTAAAGATTAAAGTTCAACCAATTTTAATTTCCATTTCTTCCACTCCCAACTTCTTCCCTCTTGCTCCCATTCTCAACTGTTGCCCCATTCAAGTACAACTACCACCTACGAACGATTGTCCTGCTTCAACACATCATGTCAACCCTACGAATGCCTTGATCCGATTGTCTTTGACTGAATGGCAAGTCCATGGCGTGTGCACAACCTTCTTGTCACTCTACTACAACACACGCGTTTCTTGATACCACACCTTCTCTTGTACACTCATCTGCCACAACCAAACGTAACAGCATCGATTCCAACAGTTGTTATTAGCAAGCTCTTTACTCCATTGCTTCAAACGGCATTCACAACGTTGTCACTCTACTACAACACACGCTCTTGCACATTACCACCACCAAACGTAACAGCAGCTGCTATTAGCAAGGTCTCCACTCCGCGGTCTTCGAGTTACTTGCAGCAACCTGCGTTACAGCCTTTTTTACGTGAACAGCAGACAGCCATTACATAGAAGCAGCTTTATTCACGTGTAGCAATTTGCTTTAATACATACGAATTCCTATGGATATGGATATGGATCTGAATATTGTTTGGTACATGGGATGGAAGGAATGGATGTATACAGTGAGTGGAAAGAGGGTTTTTGTTCTTTTGTATTCGTTGTCAACTTGACCTTGATGCTATCATTGTGGATGATTGGTGTACCCATTTATCGCACTTTACAGTCAATGCCATGGTAACTATAATCATCATCCTTTGTGTAACCTGTCAACCATCACCCAGCTTCATGTTTTGACGCGCTAAATGCGTCTAATTCACCACCTCATGTCATCTATTCACCTTTGTAAAGTGTAGGCCAAGGATAGAGAGCTTGCCACATCGATGTATCTCTCCCATTGGAGCAATCCATTGTACCTCTCAACACCGTGTCCTTTTACATATCTCATTAGAATAACGTGCATTAAAGAATTACTTTAGCGAATATCAGATTGTGTTGCTGGCCCACCGCTTCTATGTTTGTAACTGTAAGAGATCTTCCTTCTTTTGAGTTGGATCTCATAGTGTGTAGGCGTTGGATGCATTGTATTATAGAAAGGTAGTTTGAAGAAGTATACTACTTCATAGATGCTGTGATAAAGGAAAATGAGAGGAAGCGAAAGGGTCTGATTGATTCATTGTGTCTTGAACAAAGGCCGCGTTCGAGGATAGAATCACCCCGACCTTTTCGTGATTAGATCTAGATCTTCTTTAAGGTACATAGTAATACACGTTCCTCTTGTGATTTAGATCTTGTAACATGCATAGTTATTTTATTGATATGCGACGAGAGATGCTATTTGTAATCCATGACATATTCCATTTAGGAATGTAAGAGATATCCTGTGGTATACCACTAGAGCATGCGCAAGTTTATTTTATTGCAAGCGATAAGACAATTCGACAAGGGTTCCATACAAGGTTGAGTTGATGCCAAGTTCTAATCCGTTCGCATGGCCGTGTCTTCGTGCTTTATTGCCGAACCTGTCACCGATTGCGTAGTTGTCGATGGTTCTTTTTCGATCTTTGGTTTCGTGTCAGCTGTTGTTGCTGCTGCTGGTTCTTCTTGCTTTTCATTTTCTCCATCTTGTGGTGCTCTTTTGTTGGCACTACCCATGATTTCCAAGTTGGTCAATTTCCTTAGTGAGGCGGCTGCAACTCCGGCTGCTGTCTTTTGATGCATTTCACCAAACGTTTGCCAAACGTAGTTGATGCAATTGGCAGCTCCTGGTAAATCTTGAATCATTTTGGCAATCGTTGCATGCGTGAAACCATAGTAATCAGGTCCTGATGCTATTATAATCCAATATGAATCAACATGCCATGCGTGTAACGTTATCCTTTGTACCTGAATTGGAGTGATCCCGATTTCGGATTTCATTGGCACGCTTGACAATGGCTGTCCATACACCTGTTGCCGAGTTTGCAATAATAGGTTGATCCGGAGCATCTTCAGCGACGACTCGAAACTGAAAAAAAGGGTACCATGCATCAATGATAGCTCCTTCTCAAAGTGCACTACTTCCCCCCCTTCCACTCACCCTAGGTCCTTGATCCCCATTTTCTTCGACAGAGCACGTGTACACTGTGTTTGCATTTGGATTCGTCATGCTCAAATAGGTTCTAGTTTGCAACGTTAATGGTTATTGCAGGATAGGATGAAATGTGCTTACCTGCTCACTTTGAAACCTGGTGGCCATATGTAGCGATCGTTATGATAAGTTGGTAGAGGAACAACGCGACCCAAAGAGTGTACAGTGAGAATGCCAACTCGAGCAGGTAACTTGTATTCACCAGAAATGGGATCTTTCTCGATAGGTTGAACACGTCGTACTTTGGGCTCTGCTGTACTTCGGCGCATACGTTTGGGACGTGATGAAGGGACCATGCCGTTTTGGTGCATAACATCCATGATAGGTTGATTTGTAGGTGGCGTAGGTATAGGAGGTGGCGGTGGAGGAGGAGGAGGTGGTGGTGGTGGTGGTGGAGGACGATGAATTGGAGTGAGTTGCTGTGATGTTAATCTAGATGATGATGATGATGTTGGTGGTGGTGGTGTTGGCTGTGATTGATCGAATGATGATGTTGGCATTAATGATGGTCCTGTTGATCGATGAATTGTTGGTGGTATCTTGCTTGATATCGACATTCGAGATGACTCTTTTTCAATGGGTGATGGAATTGATGGATGTAAGGGAGAAGAATCTACCATTGACAATGTTATCAGAGTCATTGTGCCTAATAGGCAATCATGCATCTGCCTCTTTAGGATGTCTGCTTACCGTTTCCATCTCCAGCACTTGTTTCCACAATATCAGACAAGAAGTGGTCATCATCCTCGGTATTGGCTTTTCGTTTGCTGAATGTCTTTAACTTGGAAATGTCGTAGCTGCATAGCTGATCGAGAAGAATACTAGTAGAATTGGATGATGGTTAACATAACAATAATCGATAATGCAGAGATCAATCACTTACGTTTTCTCCTTGGCTAGTCGTCTGAGTCGTTTCCTCGCTCGACTTAGATCCTTGGTCAAGACTTCATTTTGCTGAAAAGTACAAGTGATGTAAATACGCAGTTAGCCTATTATCAAGTAGCATGCTTATGGCCTGTCACCCCCTCCTTCTTACTTCAGTGATCTCGCGAATTTGCTTTTTCAAGAGCTTGAACTTGTCAGCCGAAGGCTCGTTGTCTTTGTGTGCCATTGTCGTGGAAGGTGAATGTCGTTGATGGCCAAGTGTACCTTTTGGTGGTGTAGTCATAGTCATGGCAGGGGAAGACCTTGTCACCTATTAGTTTCTTCTATAGCTATTGTATTTGTTTGACATGCCTTACCTCCTTTGAATAAAATGGTATCCCACCAGCTAATAAGCGAATGACAATGGAAGGAATTGCAACTTTGTAACCGTGTGAAAGCTTTCGACGAGGTTGGTTTGTCTTTTCCCAAGAGAGTGGTTGGTACCTTTCGGTGACGTCGAAAAGTGCCGCCTGAATTTATGTTGGGGAACCTTTTCAAGAGATTCTCTCCTCCTTGTCAAATGCTCTGTTAGCACTCACCCACTTTCATCAAGTTATTCCTTTCTACATGATCTTACCTTATTGTAGCTTGATAATGAAACTTGTAACCTGTTTTACCAATCACGCTTCCATTCATCGATTTACTTTTTGGCACGTTATCAAGGTGCATAATACGACTTCTTGCCTTTGCCAATTACGGCTCCCCATATTGAGCACCGCTGCATATGGTCAAAATCAAAGGCAGTGAGGGTACTCAAGCAGACACAGCCAATCAATCGTGGTTGAGATGTTAACCGGTGCACAGGCATACGGTCTATTTCAGAATAAACTATGCTAACCGTTACTGCTATTATCATTTAATGACCTTATTATGCTGCGAGTGATGATGGGGTTATCCCCGCCCAAGTGAAACATTTCATACCTTCCCTTGTGTTGAGCTGCATTCATTATGCTATCTGATAAGTAATCGATCTTTCATTGTCCTCCTTTAAAAGTCTTGATGAGGTTGATGACGAGGACGTTGATGGCTACATTACAAAAGAATGGGTCCTAGCAACTCTTGTTAGTAGCGCGACTACACGTTGGATTGACGATCAAACAAATGGCTCTATTCATTAAAGACACCCTTTCCGATGTTCAATGATAACGATGGTGGTCATGGTACAAGTGACAGATATTTGTAAACATGACATAAATATGGTTTCTTTGTTTGTGGCGATCATGGACATCTCCTAAGAGGGTTAATGATGATTGGGATAACTTAACTCCGCATGCATGGATGGTTTGCATCTGCTCATTTTTTCACGTTTCACGTTTTACTCTCTTTCTTTTTCCCCAGCTTTTCTCATCATGAATAATTACGTTACACGCGCTGCTCTTGGCAAAGTAGCCGATCATGTTCAAAGCAAACCATCGATTGTCGAAACAGATCCTGAGATTCGAGCAGCTATGGAGACTGCTGTATCTTCTACCAAGAAGCACTGGTGGAAGAAACGTCCCCAAGCAGATATCATATTGAGTGCTCATGATCGCCAAATTCTAAGAACAGTCAAGAAGCGAGCGTGGTATCTGGATCGTGGATGCAAATGTTGTTGTCTACAAGTAGGATTGGATGGCGTCGTTGGTAAGTTGTTGATGATGGCACAGCCTTCTTGTTGCAAGTGATGATGATGATGATGACACTCACATGAAAATGAGAAAAGGCTTGATTCCAGTAGTAGGAGATCTTATCGGTGTCCTTTTGGCCTTGCACCTTGTAAAGGTCGCGTGTCGCGCAGACTTACCCAATCATATTATTGCCAAGATGCTAGTCAACGTGTTTATTGATTTTATGCAAGTGTGCTTTCAAAGTTGAGTGATACAATTACACTAACGCACCTATCCTTCCATCCAGTCTCGGATTGACTCCGATAGCAGGTGATGTAATGGACGTGCTTTACCAATGCAACTGGCGAAATGCCATGATCCTAGAAGAATACTTGTTCCTTCGACGTCGTGATGAGATTAGAGCTGAACATGGTGCTGCAGGCTATGGAAGTATCTTTATTTCCAAAAACGACAATAACGACAAATAAATTTAAGATCCGGTGGTAAAAAGACAAATTGTTAGTGAGCATTGCGAATAGCAAGAGCAATGATACGACTTACTTCTACCGGGCACGAGGCCCTACCCACCCGTCTTGGTGGGTCCTATCTTGTAACAAAATTCTTCTTGTGCGGATGGAGGGACACACGAACTGAATCTTGATGACGATGGAATTATGCTGAAAGATGTATGACAGACAGCACCACCGGACGACAGCCATTACAACCAAAAAGCGAAGACGCCACAAGAAAAAAACGACAAGGACAAGCCGGAAAAAAACCTCCTTCATGTGGTTTGAAATCAGCGAATATTAGATGAAATGAAACTGTGTAAAGAAAAAACCACCACTGAAGTATCACGGCCTTTTATATGCAAAATGCTGTGAGATATGTAAAGGGGAAATAGTCGTCGTATTGGTAAACAGTAATGAAGGAGAGGTTGTCTGTGTGGTGTATCCTATAACGGTAATACCTCATTCTTTGTCTGAAGATCAGGGGTATATAAAAATCATGAGACCGGTACAAAGGTCACCTAGTATGGTGTGTTTCCGGGGAATAACCATATTAATAAATCCAATGCTTAAAGCCATCAAAGAAGAAAATCTCGAGGTTCCGGGTTATATGGTTGACCGTTTTAGTAAACCGAAGAAAGATGTATTCTCGATTCCTTGCATGCAAGGAATCCAGAATAGCTGGGCGTTTACGATCGTCCTACCAATGGGTATTACAGTCATTTAAGAGGTTGAGAAGGAAAACCTTGGTATTGAGATTGATCGTTTTAGTAAACAAGGAAATAAGATTTTGAGAAGGAAAACCTTGGTACTGAAGATAAGGAAGTTGGTTATTTTAGTAAACAAAGAGGTCCGCCAATTTTTCATAGCACGCAGTCGAAAATACATGAAGGAGGTCGTTTGCGATCCTCCGACCAATGGATGTTACAATCATTTAAGAACGACTTTTTACTTTATTGGTAACTTGAAATGAAGGTGTTAAATTTCATCTCTTCATGCATAAGGGCTAAACACACATGCAGTCGTTTGTTTTTTGATCCGCCAACCAATGATTGATGTAATGCTTCAAGCTTCAACTTCGAAACTAAACACCTGCCTCATTACACTTTGATAGCATTAACAACAAGCGATATAACGTCTCCTGCAGCAGCCTGCAACCACCACGCGACCACTTTTCCTTGCAAACACTCCAAGAAGCAACCAAGCTAAACCGAGAACCAGAAAGGAAGATAGCTATTTTTCCTTCAATGCTGTATTACCAACACTACTTTAATATACGATTGAATAGCTTTTAGAATACAGAGCAAACCCATTCGGATATAGTGCATAATGGATGTGAATGTTAGGGGAAGTAAAGTTAAAACAGATAACAGGGACCTGATACAACCTTACAACTAATATTCTCCCTTAGAAAACCCTGTGGAAAGGTGCACTATGTCAGGTTTTCAAGATCTGAATATTAACCAGCGATTTGGAAGATCCAGAAAAGGCCCCATTAGGGGTGGTCATGCTGGATGTTGGTTGGAGCTCTGGGGGACTTGGATGCAGTACAACCAACTATGATTGGATAGGCAATCCTTGATGCGAGAATCTCACGGGGTAACTAAACAAATCTTCGTGTTTGTTTAGTATGATGTGGCGTTTCCGTGGTACAAAGAGCATCCCAAAAAGATGAACATTGACGTCTTAATGAGAACCCGCCATGTCGAATCGATTATTGCGTCAAAGTTTCAAGCGCGAAGCGTGTGATCTGATACCCAAGGCTCATGTAATCCATGATTTTCACAGTATCGGTGTCCCCATTTAAATTCTCAAAAAAAAAAGGTATGATTTTGGTTTGAATGGAGTTTCATCAACATGTCCTAGCGGAGCGTCTCACCAAATTTCAAGTCCAAAAACTGGAATCCCAAGGTACTGCATATTGGCTGGTGGTGACGCATCAACCCGGCGCATACCCGCTCCGACCCATTTATAATGTTTACCATATTACATACTTGCATTCAAAATCCTCTAATGAACCATGAGTTCTTTATGAGAACGAATTTGACCAGCATGTCGAAGCGTATAAAGCTTGCTGGTTAATTAATCGACACCAATGTTGTGGGTCCTGAAGATTGAAGGATATCATGGGTCTTCTATTTCACGCTAGGATATGAGAACATTGACAAAAGGGGTTTATTAGGTGGGATGTCATCCGGGAAAGAGCGACAAGAAACGGTGATAGCCGTGTTATTCATTGTCAAGTAGCTCATTCATGTCAAAACTAAAGACGGAGAAGAAATAAAATGGGTAACAAATGCCGAGGGGTAGATGTTGATAGGTTAATCTTATTGGTAGAGGGGTGCATGATCATTGGAGACATCCACGCGGTCACGCGCTAATGAAGCTAGACATGCATTTAGAAACAAAGAATATTATTCCGTCACAACTCAGCTCAAAGTTGGATTGACATGATATTCATTGTCTTATTGTAGTAGCCAGTTTACTAAAATATTGAAAGACTTTGGTTGACATCCGTGCTTGTTGCAAGAATCATTACAGCATTCATCATGTGACGGATAGTGTAAGATGAAAAACGAGTAATAGCATTTATCATAACAAAAGGGGTAATACTCGAAATAAAGTTGTCATGCATGCATGCACCCGCAAGGGAATCGTGTTTATGGATCTGGACCATCATCACACCATGCGATCATAATGACGATCATCACCATAAAAACCAGAGTGGTGAGAGTAATTTCGACCTCTTCTTTCTTCCCTTCAAGTTTTCCTCCAGAAAAATGGACCACCCTTACGAAACAGGAGAAAAAGTCTGCTATAGATTACCCGGTGATAGTAAGCATTATCCGTTATTCTTATTAGCTTATGTAGATTTTGGGATACATCACTCTAACATTTGCGTCGCTAGAAAACCTTCAGCGTATTGGAGTTATCAAAGCAGTCTATATCAATCCAGTGCAGAGAGTCCCGAAGGTAATTATTGAATACGTATCACGTGAATCTCGCTTACCAATGACCAATTTACAGACTTTATTGAAAGGACAAGGGAAGAAGCAGATGGATCAAGCGACAGAACAAGGCCCAGTCTTTTGTATTGAAGATTCTTTCAACGGAGCTTATACCTGTAAGTGCAAAAATGTATTGGTAGTAATACGGTTGACTAATATCGTGGTCTTCAGTGGTCCATTTGTCTTTAGTCGTCCATCGAATCAATAACCGACCTCGCTGAACTACCAACTCCATGGCTCATATCTTTGCATTCTTGATATATGTGTACAACCCACATCTTAACCGCCTGTATGGATATATTTTGGCTTTGACACAAAAATAAACGCCTTACAATTGCTTGGATGAATACTATTGCTGAAAAATCATGATATGAAACTTGATTACGACTCGATTCATACAACATGGAATATATGCGTTTTTAACAGGGATGAATGGATACTGAATAACGGTACCGGTTGCCAAATGTAGGATATCATTCTACATTGACAACTTCTCCCCCATTATTGTTGGTCCGGTTCATATTCGGATGGTGGTCTATAAACACCCACATAACATCTTCTTATAATAAAACTCGTTGATTCTTCTGGGTCATGTGTATAAGCGTATATGAAATGTGCGCGATTGACTCAAAAAGCCTCCATGTTTTCCTTGTAACAATATGCGTTTATGCTAAGCGATAGCGATGTTGACACTTTGGAATGGTGTTTATCAATTGTGCGTCAGAATCGATGATTTCGATAGTATACGGTCTCATAACGTAGGATACTGGCACCACGTATTATAGGGGGGGAGAGCTATCAACATTGTACCATATATAGGTATGGTGTTGGTTGTCCTCAGACAATGACGCTTGGAAAGACAATGACTACCTTTGGCCAGTATCCTGTATTTACAGGTACCTCGTCGACGGCAGTAAGCATATTTCTCTCCCGACTTTTTTGTCTTGTTATCCATCCGCATCCTTATACTACGTACCCTATTGTGATATCAACATCTCCTTTGCTTGAAACTAACAAATCTATCGCTTCGTAAGTCACGACAACAACAGTAAACCGGTATATCATCGAGGATTAACATCATATAATCTTACGTAGATTATGGGTATCAAAGGCCTACACCAATATTTACGAACATCAAACAGCTTGCAACAGGGTGTGAATGTTCCTCAGCAACTTGGTGAAAACAACACAAACACCATCTTTGTCGACTTTTGCTGTGAATTTTTCCAGCTTTTTCAGATCACTTCAGCATTGGAACTTTTTCGCCTTCAGCTTCGAGGTGCAAACACAGAAAATAACGTCAACACCTTCTATCTTGTACTGGGTGAATTCGTTGCCGTTGTGTTGGAGCGGCTTCATCATCTTCTTAACCAGGTACCAGGGCTTACTACTATATGCCTTGTTATCGATGGTGATCCGCTTTATGCCAAGAAGGAGACACACAAGGCACGCAAGCTACGTCGACAAGATGCTATCAAGTTGGCAAGAAGAAGGTTTCCGGGTAATCCCAACAACATTCCTGATCCCCAACTAAGCAAGTATGCGAAGCAATGGTTGACGTTCACTACGGCTATGAAGAACTTTATCGTTCAAGATTTGGTATTCCGTGGGCACCATCATTACGATGAAAATGATCCCAATCAACAAGGCATCGTTTATGTATCAGCTCCATTTGAAGCTGATCCAGTTGTCGTTCATTTGTCCAACAATCGACCAAACTCTGCAATCATCTCAAGGGACGGTGATTTGTTTGCGTATTATGGTGCTGTTGATGTTCCGGTAAGTAAAGCGTACAAGCTGTTTCGTGACTTGGTAGCTAATATTATTATTTGATAGCGTATCGTAAAGTTCAACTGGGACATTGGAGCACAATTTGGTCAAGGTGACATGACAACCAAACGCCAGCTATTGAATACATTAGCCGGTCATGATATAGCTGACGAACAAGAATTGGTCATGGTAAGCGCTTCATCAGTTTACGTAAACCAACGACTCATTATATTTTCAGGCTCAAATCGAATTCGCTGTTCATGCTGCTGCTTCCGGCAACGATTATGCCCACAACATACCTCAGATATCATTTAACAAGATCCATGAAAGCTTACAAGCATTACGTCCACATGCAGGAAATGCCAACAATGTCCTTCAAAGACTCATTGATGCATTGGGGAATCGGGTCACTCCTTTCTTTGTTCAAAGCTTCCAAGTTGCGTTATCACAATACGCTTATCCAATTGTGGGTGCAAATGGTCAACGCTCTGAAGCCATGCCCTTTGAAATCATTGGAAATGTTCTACAATACACTGGAGCTGAACCAGCATATCCAACCACTGGACCTCAACCACAAGGTTCGCGGTACACATTCCTTCCACCTGATGGTAGTTATTTCCAGGAGCAGTGGGGTCATACGAGTCCCGAGAACGTTGATCCTTTACGACCAGGACCCCCGCCAAGGTTGGTGTCACGTGCGAAAAAAGCAAAAAGAAACATTTCATCCAAGGTCAAGAAAATAAGGGCTTTCGTGGATAATCAGGAATTCAGGCATCCAGACGGTGAATCTTCGACCACATACTCACAAAAATCTCGATACAAGGTGACATGCCAAGCAGGACTATATTCTTCGGTGCTGGCTATAGACAAACGTAACGCCATTCAAGCTACCATCATTACGAATGCAATGCGTACTTTGGTCAACAAGATGTCCTTTGCAAGATTTGCTTGTCTCCATATTGCGGATATTGCCATGAGACAGGCATTCACCACCTTGAACCCACAACAGCGCTATGTGTTCTATTCTCGTTTTTTCGATGAAGATACCGAGATACGCGAAGAAACTTGGCGTAGACTTGTCTATTGTGCTATGAATTACCAACCTGGTAGTACAATTACTACATACGAAGATCGCGGAGCAGCAATAGTGGCCACTGTTTCAGATAGAGTTAACGACATTGTGGATGTTAACGGCAATATACACAATGGCAACCATCACCTTTTCAAGGCCTATGAAGGCGATGTTGCGTACATCTACCTTTACCATCTTATGCAAGATGAACCAGTTACTTGCCATATTTTTCTCAAAGCAAGAAAAATATGGTACAGTGGAGAATTCGGTATGCTTCACGGATTAGTGCCTGCAAGTCTTTACATGGGAACCATGGTGACCGAGATTGTACATGAACTCGATTTGTCGTTTCGCCAAAATGTCGTCAAAAATTTCAGGGCAAGGTATTGTGATTACCTGCGACGACGATTACAAGAGACTGCGCAGTGTCCACAAGGTTGGGATAATAATGAAGATTTCCGCAACACGATTATCCAAGCGGTACAAGCCCAAACACGGCAACAAGCTATAAACACCGTCCAACAAGACCAGAATATTGCTCCAGGCATTCGGCCTGCTGTCAACAATTTTGTTCAAAGAATGCACAGCAAATATCATATGAATCTACAAGGATTTGATCATAACGTGTGTATACAAGAGTTGATCAATGAAGCAACGGTTCCTCTGCAATGGCCTGCCAACCGAGATCGTCTCGTTCGTTATATTTTCCAGCAAATTTGGAACGTACCACTGTATTCAGGCGAAGACAATAGGTATAACAATTTTAATGTACTCATTACAGGTAGCTAATCTTGTTATTTATTATTACATAGGGACATCGATGAGCAAGCCGATAACCAACAGGCATATCAAGATATACAGAATCTACCCCCGGGTATCCAAGATGCTATTACCGACTTCATAAATGGTGAGCGCGATCTTCAAGTCATCGACATACCAGTCCAACAATATGATCTTCGTGCATGTCTCGGTATTGAGCCTCCTGGTGAACCACAAGTGATTAATGAACCGAATCCTGTTGAACTTGGAACAGTACGCCCTCGTAATGGTAATGGTAATGGTAACGGCAACCATAACGCCAATCCTGACGACAATGCAAATTACCTTGGTAATGCGGACGACGATGAGTTTGAGGAAGATGACCTTGAAGACGAGTACTACGGCCGTCCACTTAAGGGATTGGCAACAAGACTTGTTCCGCTTATGGTGTATATGCTCCAGCATTGTAATGGGTACCTTACTTTCCCTCTGACTCCACATCAGCCATGGGGCCCCATTGCGATACCTTTCAATCACAGCGGCGTAAAAGAAATGTTCTTTACGGGAAATCATTTCAAACATTTAGTGACTCCTCAAATCAGTGATATGCAACAACGTATTATCGACGCCATCCAAGGTGGACACATGGAAATTGCAGATCAGTTAGAGCAAGGTAAACAAAAATGAATATGTTATATGTAAGTTTACTTACATAATATGTTCTTCAGAATTGGACACCATGAACGCCGAGATCAAAAAATTCATTGATTTGCCATACAGAGTCAATCGTTTCAATCAGTTATTTGATATCAAGAGATGCGCGACAATAATCAACGGTGAAAAACAAGTGACCAATCGTGGCTATTTACGGTGGTTAGGTTCTTATATTCCTGGGACCAGTACAAAACGTTTTACACCAAGACGGTTGATCCGTACCGATGGTATGCGCATCTACGTCATTTATGCTGACTGGTTGCGTGGTAAACGAGAAGGTGTCCAGGCCCGGTTCATGACGGAGTCACGGAGAACAACTCGGGAAGCAATGATCCCGTTGCTCTCCCCTGCCAATGAAGGGATGCGTCAAGGTGTAGATTTATCAGATTCATACCGTGGTGTCGTTGGTATGGATTTTGGAGAAGTTTGTCCGGTGGCTTCGGTCTATAGGCCCACTGTTTCTACGTTGCAAGGGTCACAGCTGGTTATTAAGAGAGGTTTTCTATACGGTCGAACTTTCTTGAACCGCGACCAATACAACAACATGAAGGCTGCAAATGGCATTGACCAGTTACTTTCCGAGTTGGGTACATCGACTTATCAAGGAACATACGAACAATTGATGCAGTACTTGGATTTGATCAAGGGAAACACCAGGGCGTATCGACTATGGATGTTCCAATCCAAGGCTTCGGTAATGAGATTCAAATGGGATAACTTCATGTCTTTGCGTTCGAGGTTGGATCAAGCTTGCTCCCTGGTCATTAACCAAGCTTCGGCAACTAATGATGATGATGACGACGACAGACCTTTGATATTCGGATTCGGCTTGGATGGTATCAGTCAACGTAACAGGCGTGGCGCTGTCGCACCTATGGATCAAAAGCTCATCAACGCCTTATTCCATAAAATCAAGCAAACGAATCGCTTAAAAGATAGGGAAGATCGTGATATATGCACTCGAGTGGACGAATACATGACTTCACAGACATGTTGCCGTTGTATTAAGGAAAGTGTAATAAGCCAAGTCAACTATCTTGTCCGTCAGGCCACCATTTTCGATCGCATGGCACAAAATGCACAAGGTCAAGTAGAGGTTTTGCGAGTCGTTCGATGCCAGCATAACGATCAGCACACATACCATCGCGATGGCAACGCTGCCGAAAATATGGCGACTATACTCCGTTATATGATACGTTTCCAACAGCGACCACTCCGCTTCATCAGACAATCGCGTTTACCTCAAGAACAGCAATAAGTAGTAGACTTTTTTTGTATGTATGATGTTCCTCGATCGATTGTTCTTTCAAGTCATGCATACCCTCTTTCCTATTGATCTCATACTGCCGCTCATACCATCATTGCTTCTGAATAAAGATATGGACACTGCTCATTGATCTTATCATCATGGACCTATTTTCAATCATGATAAGAAAGTGAATGGTGGTAGTAGTAGTATTATCATTCATTGTAATGGATTTATTGGGTATACGGGCCTTTTTACTTAGGTGCCAGATGAATAATAGGGAAGGGTTGTATCCTTGGCGGTAGTAAAACATATCGAGTGAATGAGCTCGCACTGCAGAGGCATCCAGTTGTGTCACTTTCAAAAGTGGATTTTAGGTTTCAAATCATCACCACGCATATCAATCACTTCTTCTCTTTGCGAGCTCCTTTTACAGCTCTTCCCGTTCTTTTCTCTATGGACTTTGCAGCATATGACTTTGGAGCTTCCGGTGACAATGGCAAAGGAGATCATTCCTCCCAAAACCAGCAGCATGCAATGGACGGCTCTGTCGATTTCTTTTCCTTTGCGGATGTCCCAGCGGATTACCATGGCAACGATCCAACCACCATGAACATGGACTATTCACAAGATCTTGGCTCGTCATTTGCAATGACACAGTTTGGGAACCACGACGCACAGCAGCTACAGGATAATATGATGCTACAAGGCCATGGCCATGTTGGTAATAGTGCTCAATATGACATGTCACCTGCACATACGCCATTAAATCGCCCGCATGGTATGGGCTCAATCTTTGGAGAGGATGAGGTACTATACAAGCTCAAATGAGTATTGGTGTACGTCTTCGTATAGCTCATGCCATCATCCAAATAGGATTTTTTCAGTCCGTTACTTTCCCCTGCGATTGGGCCATCATCGTCGACGTATCAACAACACAACACGACTGAATCGACCTTTTCACCACTCACATCACCAGCGTTGCATTCACAACAAGGGATGGAGAACGTATTACAACAGAGATTGGTTATGATTGAACATCAGCAGCAGCAACTAAGATCCGCTCATCCCCACATGCCTCCTTCTGCTAATGCACATACAGCAACAACTTCTTCACATCAATCATCAGCAACAGCACAATCACAGTCAATGACAACCACATCCTCATCAACCATATCCAAAGAAGCAACATACCCTAGGAAACTCGCTCCATCAGCATCATCATCATCATCCAAAGCATCTAATAACAACAACAACAACAACAATGACGATCATGCATTTATTGCACCAGCCACTCCATCGTTACTAATGAGGTTGGGTCAACAAGGTGGCAAGAGCAATGATAAACCTTCCATGGCATCCAATAACAATGCAACACCCAAAATAACACCACAACATCAACCACCATCATCAGCAATATCCTCATCCTCATCCTCATCCGTGGATAATATGGCGTCGTTACCAGCTGCTATGCTAGAGATGAGACCAGCGCCTACTAGAAAGCAATCTTTACCTGCTACTACAACTAAACGAAGGAGGGTATCACGTACCTCAGCTGCATTTACATCGCCTGCATTGGCTCCAACAGCGATGCATATGTCACCAAGGGTACATCCTACCACATCAGGCACCGATCCAACCATTGCAGCTTTGGTATCGCCAGCAGCTTTACGCCCTCAATCATCAACGGCGTCTCCACGAGCATTGAAGCCTCTCATTTCACCTTCACTACAACCCAATGGAAAACGACTCACTGCTATTGAAGAGGAGGTAGCTGCTGCTGCATTAGCTTCTAAAAGCAACTATCAAAACATGCGTGAAGGCAAGGCAAAGAGCTTGGGTATTGAATTTTCTACGAGTTTTCAATCAGGCGTTGAGAATCGACGATCGGCACACAAGGCAGCTGAACAAAAACGACGAGACACGCTTAAACAAAGCTTTGATGCGTTGCGTAAGGAAATTGCGGATGCTTTGGTGGAACAACAACGACAAGAAGAGGATGAGGAAGCTGCCAAGGATGATGTTCAAGAACGTCGAGACAGCAAGGAAAAAGAAGTGAAGCAAATGAGCAAAGTGGTGTTGATTCAACATTCTTATGAATACATCCTAAGGCTCAAGGAAGAAAATCGAAGGAAAGATCAAGAGATGGCATTGTTGCAACAAGAGTTAGATAGTCTGCGCAAGCAATTCAATTCGAGTAAATAACATCATCATGCATAGTATTAGCGGTGTAAATATACATTACATGTGCGTACATTCGATTTGGCTTGTTGTTGTTGTTGTGATCGTCTATGCTCCATCAATTACCTTTCTGGAAACACAAAGAGTCCGTTTTTTTATCATCAAGGGGTTAACATCATCCTCCCTTTTTACACAAGATCTGAGTCTTTCATCTTTATCGAGTTTTCCTTGTTGCTTGCCAAGATAGCTTAATAACAATCCATCCATGAGGTCTCCCTAGTAAAATACAACGCAAAGTACTTGTAATTGATCATCATCTTTATGATAGGAATGACTAGTTCAGCAATAATAAAAAGGGTGTAAGGTAACTAGATGGGGTGTAATTTGATGTGAGGCATCCCGCTTGCTGGTAAGCACGGTTTCATTGGACATAATAAACGGAGTCCACTACCAAATACGTCGCAATTGGTCCTCGCTTGCTTTTATTGCCTTTCCTTTCCACACTTTTACACTAACCAAGCAACAACAATACCACGCAACAAACGAAATATGGCAGAAGCTTTCCTGGGACTTGTCATATCACTACAGCTACACTCTGGGCTCAAGCTCACTGGCACCGTCGCACACATTGAACCAACCACACAGCAGATGACACTTAAAGAGGGTATATAACGCACACCACACCCTACATGATGCCGACACGCATGCAGTGTTTGCTTTAATTCCTGGAATACTGTTGACCGACATTCGACTGGTTTCTTATTACGTTAGCTCAACTCCTGTTCCCCGGACAGCCGCCTCATTTCACTTCTGTGTACGGTGTTTCTGGCAAAGATATTGCCGATCTTCAAGTTGTGTCAAAGCCGGCGAACGATCAGCAATCCAAGACAGCAACAACCAATGGCTCGAGTAAAAAGCAACAGACTTCAACAACTACAACAGCAACTCATGAGCGGGTCTCCAATGAAAACAACCAACGTCCTCGTCAAAAGAAAGTAAGGTGGCATCATCATCATCATTATGCAATCCCATTGATGTCTTGACCAAGCAACTCACACAACCTCCTTTATGATAGAACAACACACCCAAGCGATCTTCTTCAAGTAATAAGGAATCTTTGATGATGGATGGGAGGATCATGTATTCAATTTTTTTCATTTGTTAGGTCGAAAAGCACGTCAACAGCAACAACAGCAACACAATGGCAAAGGCGTGAGCAGTAATGGTTGGGCTGATGAAGATGTGGATGGCTTCAAGGAAAAGGAGTTTGATTTTCAAGCGAATTTGAGCATGTTTGACAAGGAAAAGGTGTTTGCCGAGATAAGGGCAAGTATTCAAGGAGAGAGAGAGAGAGAGATAAATGGGAGAGAGCGAAGGTTATTAATTCCCCGTAACATAGGAATTGGATGAGACGGCTCCCGAGACGTTGTTAGTGACATTGAATCGATTACCACGCAAACCCGATGTTGCAAGAACCAAATTGCTTCCAACAGAAAATGTGCTTGACAATGAGAGGGAAAGTATTGGCGAGGAGAGCGATACCGAATCTTCAACAACGGATGAGAGGAAACTTGTCAATGGCAACAATCACGGCAAACACCTTACACCTTCCATACGGACATTGGATACACATATCAGCTGCATCCCTGTGTCACCATTGCAGATGGCCCATGCAGAGCATGAATGCAGTAAGCATTTTCTTTTCATCCATATTTGTCATTCTTGTTGCACAAGCTGATCGCTTTGTGTGTCCACTAGTCAAAACCGGTCCTTCCGAAGTCCAATTGATTGAAAATGGAGGTCGAGGTGTATGTGCATTGACATTACAACTCATTGGTAGGCATGGAAACAACACACACACGCACACACAATGAATAACACGACTCCATAGGTGGTAGCCGGCGAATACAATCCGATGATATCCCTGTCATCATCATGCTCACAGGCAATAACAAGATTGGTGCTTATGGTATGGCCGCTGCAAGACACTTAATCAATCATGGATGTCACGTTGTGGTATGTGCAAGTGAAAAGAGACAAGGTTTAGGCGATGCTATCGCTCAGCAAGAAGCCATGTTCGAACATGTGGGTGGCAAGATTGTATATGACATTCAAGGTAATGTTGTGGATCAACTTGCATGCGTACTTCTTTTTTAACATGCATTCAATAGAATTGAGCCAATGGTCAGCAGACTTGATTGTAGATGCCATGGTTGGATCACAACACAATGTGTTGGAGAATGATGATGATCAACAAGAATACGAATCCTTATGCAAGATGATTCAATGGACAAGCGAACAATCTTCACCTGTGCTCAGCATTGATTTTCCCAGTGCCCTTGGGGAAGCTAGAGGTATGATTATCATCACGACATTTTATTTTATCGTTTACTCATTGCGAGTTCACTCTATAGAATACTGCATTCATCCTCGATGGACTGTGTGCTTGGGAGCTCCAAAGACAGGGTGCTTGTCGAGTCAAGTGACAGGAACATTGTATATAGCAGACATTGGTATACCCAAAACATGTTGGAAGCGAGCAGGTGTCAAAGGATGGAGTGCACCTTGGGGAGCCGATTTCGTGGTAGCTCTAGAATACGTCTGTTAAGCATTATCTCTATTTAAACAACAATACAGTGTTTGTTGATCATTCAGAGTTGCATCTTAGTCTATACAAAGGATACTTTTATTATGTCAAGAGAAGGGTAAGGGGGAGATAATAGGATGAGCAAACTTTATAAGAGGGTGAAATTTATGGCATGGATCCCAATTTGCTTCTTGCTTGACGATCAGCTTGTCGTTTCACAAGGTAGTTGAGTTTATCCATAACATCTTCTAGCTTGGATTTTCGTTCTTGAAGGTCCAAATGCTTTTGAATTGGAGGGTTCTCACGGGCGAACTGCTGAATCTGTCGGCGGTTCATCTGGTATACCAAGCGATTATCAACCTCGCGGGGGAATTGGAAAAAGAACTCATTCAAGAGCTCCACTTGAATAAACATGACAGCCTAATATCGCTTATTAGAGATGGCATCATCCATCAAGTAAAATAACACAAACTTACCGTGTATGTTAACTTTTCAGCAATCACATTGAGGAATGCTTCAGGGCAATATTGTTTGTTCTCTGATGTCTTGCATTGTCGGCTTTTGAGTGCAGCAATACGATACTTGAGGATCATGGATCGGTCTCGTAAGAACAATGCTTCCTTGGCCTTTTCAAGGATCTTGGGGTTGTAGAAAGGTTTGACGATCTCTTCATCATTCTCATGGAAGACTTGTTCCTCAGTAGCAATGCCGCCTTCTTCAGCAATTTGTCTCAAACGCTCTTGTCGGCGATCATCCTCTCGTTCCAAATCCAACAAGTACTTGATAGCACCCTTGAGCTTCTTTTTGCCAACAGCATTCTTGATAGAGCTGGCCATTTGATCACACATTTCCAATTCCTTTTCGAGCAATGCAACCGCTCGCTTGACACCATCACTCCATTCCATATCCGTGACTTCGACCTAATCGACAATGAGTAAGTATGATGTATATACACGTTGTATAAAGCATCCTACCTCATACTTGTATGGCTTGATGGTGTTTTCTACTTGATCACTGGTAGCCAAAAACTTGCTACGCAAGATCTCGCCTGTAAAGCTCATGACTTGCTTGCGTGTCTCGGGATGATATGAAAAAGGTTCTGCATTTGCTAGTCGCTCCATATTGCTCATAAGAACATCGACGACCAATTGTGTAGTCGAACGGCCAATACCACTCTTAGTCAATGCTGCCGAAGCCAAATCAATCTTATACAGCCAATAAAAGTCATCAACAGCCGCCTTAGGCAACTCGGCAATCTTTGGATCGGACCAATATTGTTCGGCACAGATATCGAGGACTCTTTGCTCAAGCATGGTGCGCACCTCATGTCGTACTTGGGGCTTGCCAAATCGAGTGGCGAAATCCTTAAAGTTATGCTTGAGTGAATCGATCGTCTCGGCAACATAGGACTCTGCAGTGACACGGCGATCATTGTATTGCACCTTGAATTGATATCGAGATTCTTCAAGTTCCTGTTGCACGGCATCCACAATACTGTAAAGCGATCGACCCATGCTTTGCTCGAGGACATTCATCAACTTGTGACGTAAAGTTGCCGTGCCAACTTGGATATCGCGTTGGTTGTAAATGAGATGATTGTGGAAGAAATCCTCTTCTTGACGAATAAGTGCATTGGTCATGTTGCCTTTGACACCTTCAGGAGAACGACATACGACACCAATATAGCCAAGATGCAATGGATAATCAGCGTTGCGAAGTACTGCTGCACCAGCTTCAGGGGTCACCAGATCCATCTTTGTAATAACACCAATGGTTCGCAAACCAAGAGGATCCATTTTGCGACTAGCACGTAAAGCTGGAGAGTTGGCAAGATCCACATTGGCTGCACATACTGCAAGGATGATATTGGGTCCACGAATATACTTTTCACACAAGTCCTCGATCTTGGATTTCAGCGTCTCGGGTTGATTCTTGTTGGAAATTTGGATATAACCAGGCAAGTCAATCAGCGTCAAATCCGGTACATTGGGTGAATAGATCTTGAGCTCGATGGGCTTATCCGATACGCATTCTTCTTCAGACACAGCAAGGTTCATATCAACCAATGTCTTTTGCACCTTTTTGAAATCATGCATCTTGCCAAGACCCAGCTGTGGAAACTCGCCATATTCCTCATCTTCTCCAGGGGTATGAATCAATGTCAATTCAATAGGGCGTCGAGTCACCATGTTGGATCCCCTATCATTTTAATCCATTAGCATCCTATCCTTCAATGTAATGTAATTCCATCCACTTACTTTGGGAGAAACTCATGACCAACAATAGCTTCCAATACAGAGCTTTTACCCGAACTCTGAGATCCAACAACGACAATACTTGGGAGCTTGAGCGTTTCATTGTGATCGATTGACATGAGGATGCTGCGGATCTCAATCAATTTCTTTGTCAACATCATCAATTGCTCGTCTTGGTGTCCTCCTCCATTCGATGCTGATTTTTTGCTCTTCTTGGCCGGTCTAGCATCCTCCTCTTCTTCTTCATCATTCATAAATGCAGCGACGGCTGCTGCTGTGGTGGCTGCTGCTGCTGCTTTTTCTCCATCCTTGTTGCCGTTTCCACCACCATCACCATCGCCACCACCGGTATTATTTTCATTGTTGACCTTGTCAAATGAATGCGTGGTCGAGTGTTGTTCTCCTGATGTACTACTACTGCTTAATGTGGCGAGAAAGTCTTTGACTGCATCCGGTACACGTAAATGGATTTCAGGGATTGAGATATCAAGTTCTTCAGCTTGTTCCTGCAACGTCGAAAAGACCTTTTGTGCTTCCTTGAGACCATCCAATACCAAAGCCGTTCCTTTATCAGTCCAATCTATCATCCATTTTTACATGAACAATGATGTACATAGACGCTTTGAGAGGGAGAGAGAGAGAGAGAAGAAGAAGAAAAAAGTTACCTGATATTTTGTTGTTTGCCAAGGTGACACCTGCCACGGTTGTCCCTGCCAACAGGGTCGGCAGTCGTAATACCGAAATGGTCATTCGAGGTATGGAAGAGAATCCAATGCTACGCACTTGCATAGCAGGCATAGTAGCTGCATGAGAGAAGAAACGAGCTCGAGTGGAATGTTGCAACAGGGGAATCGAGGATGGCTGCTGTTGAAGAGATTGTTGCTGCGCTCTTAATTGATGGTAAGTGCGATGGGTGGCGGCACTCCGAGTTGTTGGTGTGTATAGACGTGCAGGTTGAAGACCATGTATCGAAATGCCAAGCTGGCGATTCAAAGCACGAGATATCATTGTCGCATACCACAGCAGGGAGTTGCAAGAGGTTGAGTCAAAAGACGTCGTTTCATTTCTCTCTTTCCAACGCAGTACAAGTTCTAATAAGCACTCCGCGACACGTGATGTTACCCACCATCCGGTCTTGAGACCTCTTGTTTCACCCAATGTTTGACACTTGTCCCATAGTCTGTTGCCATGTTTAATCAGCTAATAAAAAAGTCTATTAAATCATCGTATGGGGATTGAATGTGGGATCATTTGTGATCGTTACTTTGTAGGAATACGCCCATGCTGCATAAAATCTTGCATTGAGGTACATTGGTCTCCTGATACAGAATTCATTTACCATATGCTAGAGTGGCAATCAATAGTGATGCATCGAATAAACATAGCATTACAATGACATTCAAGCTGATAATGATCATAAAAGACTCATTGTTATTATTCTCTCCATTCACAACCCCCACCTATCTTCTTTGTATGCCACTTTATTTATAGGATATGGAAAGTTATATAAAGCAATGTCTAATCCTTGGATACACGCTCACGCGAGGAGCATCAAGGAACAACGCGTGTGACTGAAAAGCGTGTAAAGAGGGCGTTGTCTCAGCCGAAGGTATCACCAAAAATCCTTTCTCTTTCCTGCACGAGCTTGGCCAATATGGAGGTGAGCAACGGTTGTCAATGCACCATTCTCTTGTTGACTAGGTACCCTCTTGTTGTCTACTTTAGCAATACCTCGCAGGACTTGATGAGCTGCTGACAAAGCTAGCAAGTGCTCAAGATTCGGACACGATTCGCAATGTAAGCGGAAGAACGGCTCTTGCAACCATGCAACCCAAAGACTAATGAGCTTGCGTGAACGATCTGCAGGCCACATCGTCCTTGAACACACACTATTACACGACAGCAGACTGTATTCCTGGTCTCGTCGAGATCATTAGTCGATCGCCTCATTTCCAAGTGCGCCAACTGGCAGGTGTCGAGCTACGCAAACGTATCAACAAATGGTGGCCAGAGATCCCTGATGCCAATAAGACAGCTATCCGTAGTCAGCTCTTGCAGATTGCTTTGAATGATGAAAAGTAGGTATTGTTGTATATGTATGTATCATGAATGGGACCCACTTTGGATTAACAATGGGGGGCCGAATGTTTTGCATGATTATTTAGGGAATTGGTCCGCCACTCAACTGCACGTGTCATTGCTTCCATTGCCAATATCGATGTACCCAAGGAATTATGGCCAGAGCTGTTGACCTTTTTACATCAAGCTTGTACAAGTTCCAGCGCTGCTCACCGAGAAGTTGGCACCTATCTCTTATACACCTTGTTTGAAGCCATCGCCGACTTTTTCATGAAGAACACGGCTCCCTTGTACGAGTTGCTTACCAAATCCATCGTCGATCCAGAAAGTCTAAAGGTTCGAACCACGACAGTGCTGTATGTTGATCTCTTGTTTTTATGATTGGACGCGATATGGATGTACTCATACATCTACTTTTTCCTAGTGTGCTTGGTAAACTCGCTGAATTCATTGATCCTGAAACCAAAGAAGATGTGGTAGGTGGAAAAAAGGATGGTAAGAACTTGATCAATGATACTGATGGAAGGATTAGAAATGGTTCAGAGACATGATCCCAGCCATGGTCAACGTTTTGGAACGCTGCTTGGAGAGCAATAATGAAGAAAGTGCAGCTGAGATCTTTGAAGTTTTTGATACATTGCTCATGTTGGTAAGTGATGGTGGGCCCCTCTTCTATCTTAGCTTTTTATTCATGATGATGGATTATAGGATACGCCTCTATTATCTACCCATCTTGTCGAATTGATCCATTTCTTCTTGAGTGTGGGGTCCAACCGTGATATTAGCGAATCGGTGCGTGTCATGGCACTCTCCTTTTTGATGTGGGCTGCCATCTAGTAAGTAAACATTGAATGAGTGAAAGGAAGGATGTACTGATAAACATGGTGAAATAGCAAGCAAAACAAAATCAGAAGCCTCAAGCTTGTTGGATTCCTTATTGAAGGCTTGATGCCCATTGGTACTGAAGAAGACCCTGATGATGTCGACGAGGATTCCCCATCACGTGTAAGTGTTATCATTAAATATCATTTATGAAAGAAGATCTCATTTTTTATTTCCCTTAGCTTGCATTCAAGGTGCTTAATGCACTTGCCAGCAATATGCCACCGCAACAAGTTTTCCCGATTCTCATGCCTATTGTTGTCAGCTATATGCAAAACCCCGACCCAGGATACCGAAAGGCGGCCATGATGGCATTCGCGGTGATTGTGGAAGGGTGTGCGGAATTCATGAGCACCAAGTTGCCGGAGCTGCTTCCAATTGTATGCAATGGTCTACGTGATCCTGAGATTATTGTTCGTCGTGGAGCATGTATGGCATTGGGCTGCTTGGCGGAGGAATTACAAGCCGAGATCTCTGAACATCACCAAGTGCTTTTACCTTTGGTATTCAACTTGATGAACGACAACAATCCCGAAGTGACCAAACATGCATGCAATGCTCTGGATGCCATTCTTGAGGGCTTAGGCAACGAGGTGGTGCAATATCTCCCAATGTTGATGAGCAAATTGCTTGTCCTTTTGGATAGTTCGATGCAAACGGAGACCAAGGCAACCATTATTGCTGCCATTGGTAGTGCAGCTCATTCTGCTAGTGAGGAATTCAACCGATACTTTGATGAGGTGATGCCCCGTATTCGTGCTCTTATGGCAGCCAAGGAAGGAAATGACCAATTGCTGCTTCGTGGCGTGGCATGTGATGCAGCAGGTGCTATTGCAGAAGCCGTGGGTGCCGACAAGTTCAGACATTGTACTCAAGACCTGATGCAGCTGGCTATTGAGCAATTACATCTTGATTCCCCTCGGCTACGTGAATGTTCTTATGCGTTTTTCGCTATCCTTGCACGCGTATTTGGTGAAGAATTTGCTCCTTACTTGCCCACCATCATGCCTCCTATCCTTGCATCCTGCAAAGCTGAAGAGAAGGATGAAGTTTTCCAAGGCGAGATCGATCTCACTTCCAGCAATATCGAAAGCGATGATGATGATGATGACTTTGGCGCACTTGCTTTCAACTCGGCTGTGGCAGATGAAAAGGAGTTTGCAGCGGATGCCTTGGGAGAGCTTTTTGAAAACACCCAATCACACTTTTTGCCTTATGTCGAGTCTTCTATCCAAGAATTGAATCAGCTATCATTCCACCTTTCCGATGGTGTACGCAAAGCTGTTGTCGGTAGCTTGTTTGCCTTTGTACGCACCTTTTACACCATTTCTAATCCTGGTGAATGGGTCCCTGGTTTGCCTGTCAACTATCCGGTGCACGAAAACGTCCAAAACATGATTGATATGGTGCTTCCCACAGTGTTGGCAGTATGGCAAGATGAAGATGATCGCATGGTGGTTGTACAACTCTGTCAAGAAATGATCCAAGCACTCAAGTTGATGGGTCCTGCCATTGTTGCCAAACGTAAGTATTCATTCATCCATACGAAAAAGTCCACACACATTCATGAACTTTGATGTAGATGTTGAGGATATTGCACGCTATTTGCTTGATATTTTTGAGAAGCGATCGATCTGTCAACAAGAGTACGACGAGGATGATTACATTGATGAGGATGAGGAAGCTGAATCAGAATCAGCTCTTATTGGAGCCGCTGCCGACCTCGTTGCTGCATTATGTGAAGCCATTGGCGAGGGCTTTTCCTCTTACTTTGACGTATTCCTTCCTCTCATTGCTAAATACTATGTAAGTGTACGGCGAGAAACAACGGCATTCAAATTCTCATCATCGTATTGATTACAATAGAAAAAGACCAAGACTCCAGCTGAACGATCAATGGCTATTGGGTGTTTAGGCGAATGCATTCGTGGTGTCAAGTCAGCCGTTACACCGCATACCGAACGTTTGCTGCAACTTTTTGTTAAAGGCACCAGTGATGAAGATCAAACAGTGCGAAGCAACTCGGCATATGCATTAGGCATCTTGGTCACTTATTCCCAAATCAATTTGAGCTCGTAAGTTTGTTTGGCATGTGTCATTGAAAAGGCGTTACTTATCAACGGAAAACGTATCATAGACAATACCCTACCATCTTGACAGCATTGCATCCTTTATTCCATCATCAACCTCTTCCAAATACTACTGATAATGCCGCTGGCGCTGTCGCTCGTCTCATGCTCGTGCATCCTGATGCCATGCCCATGGAACAAGTACTCCCTGTTTTATTCGGTGCATTGCCATTGAAGGCCGACTATGAGGAGAATGGACCTGTTTTTGAGTGTTTATTCCAACTTTTCCATTCCAATAATGCATTTGTAAGTATACCCCTATAACATGGTGCGGTAGTCATTTGGCTAATAATAGACGCATACAGGTATTGAACCATCTATCGGATCTTCTCAAGATTTTTGTGCATGTGCTGTCAGACGAGGAACAACTCAACGCCAAGACACGCGCTCAGCTCATTGAACTTATTCGTGCCATCCATACACAATCGCCTGATCTCAACCTGGGTGGAAGCGAACTAGCACAATTTCTGTAATCTGTTATTCATTTTTTCCTTTATCGCATCATCTTCTCTGCTGACATGTACGAGAATGCAACCAAACAATCTTAGACTAGGGATATTTATATATATACATTTGTGGGATACATCCACTTAAATCTTTATTGCAATCTATATGTATATTCGTGATAAATCAGGTATTAAAACGGGGTGAAAAGAGCACATCCTATCATTATATCTTTATGTCGCATGATTATAAGCGTGCCTTGAGTGGTTCGAGACGGAATTTGACCTCGCGCAACTTGGAACTTGAAGGTTTCCATCGCTCAAACAGAGTACGCAACTTTTCGAGTTCTCGACTAAAGATGGCATCACCAAGAACTTTGGCGTCGTCACAGATACCACGCATTGCCCATGGGAGGTAAAAGGGATTGAGACGTAGTTTGGCTTCAAAGGGATCAAGCAATACTGTATCATCGTCCTTTTTGATATTCTTTTTGGCGTTGGCATTCTCATGATCCAGGCTTTCAAACATGTACTGCACAGCAATGGTAAACACGCCCACTTCTTCATATACGGTTGAATGGCCACCTTCCCATGAATATAAATCGCCTGCCAACACCTCGCTCAAATGGGTTAACAATCCATGGTCGGATAATCCAGCATTGCGTAGTCGAAGTGCAAATAAAATGAGATTGATAAGGAAGTCGTCTTCAGAGTACACGTGACCATCGATGTACATGGCTCGAAGGATATTGGGATGTGAAGCGCCTGCCATGATAGCTGAATACAGTGGAACAACTTGATCTTGCATCGATCCAATGAGCACAGTCTTGACGCCGTGTCGTAGCAAATAAGCAAGGGATTCACGATAGCGTTGGGATACGGTGCTGGAAGAGTCCATGAATTCAAATAGCTCCCTTGCTGCATCCGCTTCAAAGTACTATATAGACAAAAAGAGTAAACCTTGTGCTCATTGTTTGTGATTCTTTGTTCTTTTACCTTGACAATCATGTTACCCTTTAGAGAAGGAAATGGGCCATGTGAAATACCTGCCATGGCGAGAAAGCATACTGGTTGATGAATCATGCCTTGTTCAAGCAATTGATGCAATAAGATAGCAGAGACAGGGGTTCCTTGCGAATGGGTTGCCCAAAAGATGATATCGGCTGATGCTAAAGCGTTGACCCAAGCTGGATTGCTGACAAGGTTTTGATACAACATGTCGACTCGTTCGGCCACTTTGCCTTCTCCCTCCAGGGGAATACTGGTAATAGCGTGATGGGGTATTGTCAATCCATGCGTATCTTTAAAGTAGTGTCTCATGCCAGCCACCATCTGTTCACAAAACTTGATGCTTGTTCCTGTAGGTTCCCCAATCACGCTGCGTACTAACTAGAATGAAAACAATGTAAGCAACATGTCATTGTTCAATGATAAATGAGTTAATTACCTTGGTTGGAAACCATCCATGGACACCAATAATGACAAACTTTTTGCCAGCGATATCTTCGGGATGAGATTGCATCGCCTGCACAAATTTGGCAAATCGAGGATTGACACGTGAATGCGATGATGATGACGAGGAAGGGTATTGAGAAAACATAGCATTGATAGCCCGCAACGCCTTATTGACAATGGATGATGAAGATGCGCTGTCATCATTTTGTTGTAGTTGTTTTTCCTCCGTCGATGTTGGATGCACTGATGGAAGCACCATGTTCTTTTTGATAGGACGACTTTGTGGTTTTGTCTTTGGAGAAGGCGGTGATGGTGACGATGATGATGATGGTGATGTTGCTTCTCCTTCTGCACCATTCTTTTCAATAACAACGCTATCTCGTTGATCAGAGGTTGTCCAAAAGAAAGATCGCCATGAAGCACTCTTGACAGGTACAGGTTCTTGTTTCACTTCTTCAGCATCAATGCTTTGTTTGTCTTCCTTGGAGGATGGCACATCTTGTAACTTGCCCTCCGTAGATGCATTAGAATATCCAAACCAAGACCATATTCCACTCGATGGCTGTTGACCATTCTTATTCGTTGAGCCACTATCGCTGCCGCTATCATCATCATCTCCATTCCCTGCTGCTGCTGCTGTTGTTGGTGCTGTTGTCGTTGTGGTTGTGTTGTGCGTTTGTTTGCCTTGGTTGCTATCGCTTTGGCTTTCAGTCATCGTCCCATTGTTGTTGTCATTGGATGGCGCATGGACATTGGTAAGGTTGGTAGCTGATGAATTGGAGGGATAAAGTCGTTGAAACCAAGACGATGTTCTGCTGTCGACTGAATCGGATCTCGGGCGTTTTGTGAGCGAAGTAGGTAAGCTGGAAGTGCTCGCGTTGTCTATGCTTGCTTTTGCAAGAGAGGATTGCTTGCGTTTAACCTGGACCCCTTCCGAGGTTGTCATGTATAGGGAAGCAAGGAAGAGGAAGAAGAAGAGAGAGAGAAAGATATACAACGGCAACGTTTCAGTCAGCAGAAACACACCCCTAAAAGGAAGGCAATTGATGCAACAACGTATATATATATGTGGAACCCAGGGACCGGATCGTATTATAGTAGATATTCATTGTAGACGTTTTACTGATAGAAGAGAAAATGACCCATATAACTTCTTTATGCTAAATATAAATGCTATCACTCACGGCTGTTTCGATACAATGACTCCTGTGTTACTTGGATCTCATCAAGTTCAGGTGCAAGATCAGTCAAAAGTTCATGAGCTTCCTTGAAATAAGCAGCTTGAGCGGCCACAAGATCAGCCAAGTTGCGGAAAGGTTCAGGCTACATGAAATAAATAAATGTGTGAGATATATAGACATGTATACTTTTTTTTTTCCTTATGCCAACTTACATTCTCCAAAGCAGCCTTCATCAAGCTAGTAGCTTCTTCAACAGCAGCGACAAATTGATCCTCGGCTTGTTCAACTTCTAAGCGAGCAGCTTCTTGTCTATCGGGTCTAGCGTTGCGATATCTGGCCTTGCATGCATCCAATGACAAGCGAACGGATTGGACATTACGACGAGCCTTGAGAGCTTGTTCGATGGATGTGTTGAGCGTAGTTTGCATGGGTTGATTGAACTTGCCCACAATAGCTTGGTCCATCCTTGCACGTGCATCGCCCACCTTTTCCGATACAGTGGCCACCTTGAATAAAGCAGTGCCAAGAGGATCCTCCACTCCCACAGTTTGTGCTCCTTGAGAAGATACGCGAGCAAGCGCATGTGACAAAGTCTTGGGATGTTGCTTTTCATCTTGTTGCTGTTGTTGTTGCTGCTGCTGTTGCTGTTGTTCCATCTGTTGACGTTCGGCTGGAGATAAGGCCAAGTTTTGGAACTGAGAGGTCACCGTGCTCGAAAATCCAGCCAAAGACTCCTGCAACTGCACAGGATAATCATAGGATGGGTTGCCATACGTACGAGTCACCTTGAGAAGACCAGTGTACACACCACGCAATGCATCCACTCGCTTATCATGATTCCAAATGAGTGATCTCTTCGACACCATCTCAACCTCTTGTTTACCTTTTCAAGATCCTTATACTCTTGAGGAAGCTCTGTAATGTCTTCGGCTGTACCCAAGCGTTCTTGTGCATACTATTCAAGGCCTCAATCAGTCCACTGTGTCCATTCATCACGCATGGGGTTGCTTTACCTGTCTCACTTGGCCGATACCTTTGCCAAGTCGTTGAGCAAAGGGGTTGAACTTGGAACTAAGGTTGGCAAATCCATCCAAAGTATTATTGAGGAGAGCGTTGGCATTGATACCGCCTTGTTGGCTAGGAGAGCCTGCTGCTTGTTGTTGTTGTTGTGGTTCAGCGTCGATAACTTTGATATTGTCACCCATGATGATGATTGTAATAAAGAAAGAGAGTTACACTGCACCAAATCTACCCGCCTCTTTCTTGCCATAAGCGCATTTTAAACTCCACGCGTACAAAGTTGGTTGTGCTTGGCATCATTAACAATACTGTACCGAAGCACCCTCCCATCAAGAATGCATCACTATTTTGATAATGCAATGCAAGCTACCAAATCACATAATGATCCCACCCAAATTGCTGATAAATGTATCATATGCTTGATCGGTTGTATGGCGGGTTTAATATGCCAAGCTGCCGGGACAAACAACTACTAGCCACTAGTAGATCAATTCAAGGTTATTTACTTTGGAACCACGTGATCCATGTCATCTGTTCAGCAGACCTCCACGTGATTGCCACCTATAAGTTATTATAGTGATAAGCAACTTCATTAAAGGCATGAGAATGAGTCATCAGCCATTAGCTTACTACTGCAACAGCATGAAAATGATTTGCATAGTCTTCTTATTAGCATGTCGGCGGTCATTGTATTGTATTCAGTGTGTCTAATTGTAGGGATAACCGGATGCATGATGATGTCTTTATAACAACTACTACTCCTCGTTCCTATGTCGCATACATAGAATGTTTTACCCCAATCGTCTATAACACCTTATTTCACTGCCGCTATCACTCCAGCGATGAAATACATCTGCAATCTATTACAACACCAAGTTTGTAGTAATAAAAAGCTACGAGATAGGGTGCTGAGGATTTCATTTGCAAATGTAATAAGTTGACCACCCATTGTTTAGGCGCATTGTGCAAGGGCGGCCTTGGGTTGCACAAAGCATGATGGATCGTGTGTAGTGCATAAAACACACACTGCATCTTGTACGCACATGTACTGTATATCAAAGGATAGTAGACATTCCCCTCTTTATTAAAGTGTAATGCAAACATTATGCTATAGGGTGATACAAGCCAAAGTGGCGACCAAGTGTGATGCGCTGATACGGGATGATATCGGTCGGGATACAATTTCCCTTGCTCGTAGCAAAGCCTATGCTTTCCCCAGTTTCTGTTCTCTTCATTCATGGACTCGCCTGACAATGCAGCATTTGTACAAAGACAAGCAATGAATCGGTCCACCTTCTACATGTTCCTTTTCTTCTTTTGGCTCTTGACACTCAACTTCTCCGAAGATGAAGCTGCACGACGAGCACGCCCTTCCATTGACACCGTCATTGATGCTCTCAACGACGAAAAGGAATTCCTAGGCAATGTCACTTTTGGTGTCAACGTCACCCATGTATGATATCAACGATACTTGAAGGATAAGCTTATTGACGTGTATACGCTTAGCCCCTCCCATCCTCCGTCAAAGAACAGGTCCAGCAACTCCAAGAGCTGAAGCGCCCTGGTGCTCATTACTATCACAACATCACTGGTGTCTTCAGAGGTATGTCATACATCTAAAAAGTCATTTATTCAATCGGCTAACATATGGTATAGGCGACTGGCAAAGTGAGAATGTGACATTACCGGACAATGAGCCATCCAACAATCAAACGCTTCTCAATGAGGCCTGGGGCGAGTTTCAAGTAGAAGACAAAGGTTCATTCACGTTCAACATCATCAAATCTGTACAATCAACCGATGAAAATATCAATTACGTGGAGGTAAGTTCCATACTCATCCAATGGTGTAGACATGGGACTAATGCTATGGGGGCATGGATGTGTAGGGCTATATGCGACTACGAGATTCTAATAAGGTGGATTATGGCGCATTACTGCTGGCAGATGGCGTGCATTTTCGTAACGATGGTTCAATCTACCTTGTCGGCGCTTCCAATAGGTATGCATTATACTTGAGAGGGGATCTTTGATGATTAATGCATGGGTTCTTCTTGTTAGGTCAATCTCCTATTCTGAAGACCTGCTACACATGTTGCCCACGAATCAGTCAATGGATCAGACACGTCAAGTCATCTTAGAAGAAATGGATAAGCGTATTGAGGAACTTGAAGAGTTAGCATCTTGGAGTGATCAGGGACCTGAAGGCAAGTGACAATGCAAAAATGGGATGTTTTCAACGTTCGTGTAACAATGCAACGGCTCCTTTTAGACATGTCATTTTCGACGGATTTCCAGTGCATGTTTGAAATGTTTATACAATTGCATCCAGTACCCGATGATGTCAAACTCTTACACCTTTTGGAATATGAGAGAGGTTCGTTTTCTGATACGTTACCATGGCAACCATCAGTGGCTGATTCTTCATCATCACTGTAGAACTTGAGAATCCACAAGGCATCACCACCATCAAGGCACCTCCATTGAAAATGTCGAGCGTCATGTATTCACCAAATTGTGGAGTATCTATTACATCCAATGACAGTGATGGCACACGCATCGAGAAGTTTTACAACAAGAGCATCCATTATGCTACCATGGCAACCATCATCGCCCTCGTTCAAATTTTCAGCTTGATCAACCAGATGGAATATACCTCCACGCCCTCGGTAAGCAAGTTGGTTTTACATATGTATGGCTCTTACTTATGGGTGTAAACTAGAGCGTGTCCAATGTCTCCTACTGGACTATTGCCATGCAAGCCATGATGGATGGTCATTTGTGTCTACTGCATTTGACAACAGGTGTTGTCGTCGAATCCGTATTCATGCCATTTGCAGCTGCAGCATTCTTCAACTTTATTTTGGTGTCAGTATTCAGCATGCGCTACTTGCTTCTCATTTGGCGAATCCAACGACCTGAAAATACACGCCCGGCACCAGCAACTCAATCAGCGAACGAAGACAACCCAAATACAAACGTGAACGAACAGCAAACGATTCTTCCCCTTGCCACAAACCGTGGACGTTCAATGATCGCTGAAAATGATTCGCCACGTGATGTTAGCATACTTTATTATCGTCTATGTAAGTTGCATCACCGCTTTCCTGTAACCTTGCATTAACCTTGTATTAACCTTGGGAACGATCATAGATGTCTTACTGTTGCTTGGATTGTTTATCTTTTATCAAACAGCGGCACGATCAGCCTTTGTGCAAAACATCATCATTGGCACGCTTGGATTTGGATTCTATTCATTCTGGGTCCCGCAAATTGTAAGAAATGTGCTCCGTGGATGTCGCAAACCCCTCAGTCGACGTTATGTAATAACAATGAGCATCACTCGTCTGGCCATTCCATTGTGTAAGTTTGAATCAAAATCTTGTCTCTATGGCTTTTAACGTAAATACAATGAATAGATTTCTATGGGTGCCCACACAATCTTATTGCCCATGAGACGTCACCTTTGGTGTGGCTACTTGCGTTGTACGTTGGATTGCAAGCATTCATTTTGTACCTCCAAGATGTACTAGGACCTCGATTCTTCGTTTCAGAAAGGGTAAATTGAAAATATTCCTTTTACAACTAAGAGGCATCCCTTAGATCACTTGCTTAATTTTAACTATACAGTTTTTGCCACAAACATACAACTATCATCCCATCATACCGCCAAGCGATGAAGAGAATCCAAATGGACCCAATGGTGCTGAGAATGAAGGAGGAGGAGGAGGTTTGCCTCGCGATTGCGCTATATGCATGCTACCTGTTGATACCTCGGGCACGGGACCCCCTGGATTACATGTACTGGGACGCGCTCAATACATGTTGACACCATGTCAACACTTGTTCCATACTGAATGTCTAGAGAAGGTAAGTCCAAGAATTCGAGAAAAAGTCTCCTGTGGCGGGTTCTTTATTCTCACCATCTTTGTTTTTTTTCCTAATAGTGGATGCGGATCAAGTTGGAATGTCCTGTGTGTCGGTCTTATCTTCCAGCATCATGATTATTATTTCCTAGATATTGGTTCATTGTATCATCAATACATGCGCATTTCAAATATCATATTGGTTGTGTCCATGAAGGGATTATTATGCATACCTAATGGCTAAGTCACAGTTACATGAGGTTTATTAGCAAACACATCATTCCTGTGAAATTCTGGATACTTCCGTGGTTGAGCTTTTATGTTCATTTTGAAAAAGACGGCAAAGACATCCTCTTGTCCTCTTCTTGCCAAATTCAAGTGAAGAGAGCGAAGTGGGCTATGCATCATGATGGCAAAGTTGACTAGGTGTAAGAAGAAGATGGTTGATATGTGCAAGGTATAAAAACATGAGATGAAGGCAATGGTACAAGAGACATCCACCACTACAAGTTCTTCTAGTACATTATTATCAAAATGCGTTTCTCTTTCTTCACTCTTGCTGCTGCTACCGTTTGCTTGGCTGCTGGTGCTTTTGCTGCTGCTCCTAATGCTTCTGCTGAGTCTGGTGCCTCTGTTGCTGTTGCTGCTGAACGTCACTCTAATAGCGTTGCAGCATCTGCCCCCTCCTCTGTTGCTGCTATGCAATCTGCCCCTGCTGTCCAAAGCAGTGCCGCCGCTGTATTCGTTGAAAAGAATGACGAGATTGACGAAGATACCATGGAGACCATCCAACTCGGTGCTCTCGAAGACATTGCAAGTCTTCTTGTGAGTCTTCTTGCCGGCATCCTTAAGGCTGTCATCCATCTTGTCCTTGGTGGTCTTGGTTTGGACATGACCAATGCCCAAGTCGAACAAGTTCAACAAGAAGCTCTCGAACAAATCCAAGCTTTGGGTGGTGTTGATACTTTGAAGCAAACTGTCCGCGCTGGTGGTCTCCAAGGCTTGATCGATTTCATTGTCAATGTTGTTATTCCCATCATTAAAAAGATCAAAGATGCTGCTGGTGGTGCTGCTCCTACTGGCCTGTAAGAAGGAAACATCTTAGTAAACGGCTAAACTCATCATCCATGATGGATCTATATATCACCTTTTAATTGCTTTCAATAAACCCTGAGACAATCAACAAAACTAGATGACTTTCATGTTGAATGAGAAAAACGTCAAATGGCATAGGGGATTGATTGGTGGGTCATCTGATGATGTGGTTTGGTTGACAACATTTTTCACAGCAATGATTGAAAGCATAAAGGATAAGGTAACCCATATCATAGTCCCTTAGGAATGGATTCAAAAGACCCATCATTCATTCCTCAACGACAATGACGCCTTAAAGATGACCTTGGTGCTCCATGTTCAATGGGTAGATACATATCATGCATGGCCAAAAGCACGTGATTTATTGCATGAAGAAGGTTGGTCCATCCAAATAGAAAGTCTATAAGTTTTGATAGAATACGCTAATGTATGTGATACATCAAGCCTGGACAATGATGAATAGCAGCTCTCTTTGCGTTATGTGTGTGGTAGCCAATGCTATCTTTAGGGGGTTGGATCTCTGCAAGAAAAGAAGGTGGGCGACACGCCAAGTGAGCGGTGTGACAGGCAAGGCAAATCGCCACGGCAACACATTTTGTCTTCTTTCCCTTTTCAACAACCTCCCCACTCTACCCTACTCAGCATGTCCATTACGCTCAAGAGTTTTGTCCAGAACTGCAAGGTTCTTAATGGTCTTGTCACTCCCCTCGCCAACATGTATGCCAACGCTGCTGGTTATAGAAAAATCGGTAAATGTCGACTTTGAAAAACAACGCAGCTGTTTATTGCTATTGCCCATTGACCACGCCATGTTGCTTTTATCTCTTTTAAAACAGGTCTCCGTTACGATGACTTGATCTCTGAAGAGAATGAGTTGGTTCAGGAAGCTCTTCGTCGCCTTGAAATTGCCGAGCCCCACGAAATGTACGAACGCGCTTACCGTATCCGTGTTGCCCAACAGTGCTCGTTGACCCACTCTCTTTTGCCCAAGGAGCAATGGGTGACTCCTTCAACTGTAAGTCATTAAGCAAGTGGATGGAAAAAGTCATTAGATAACTTATATGATATGGATGATTAGGACAAGTCTTATCTCCGGCCCTACATTGAAGAAGTTGCTGCCGAATTTGCTGAACGTGGTCAATTTGACAACATCAAGGTCACTCCCCGTCACTAGATTATTCGTTTGCATCATCAACAATGAAGATTATTGGACATTGACAAGTGTTGCATGATTTGGGAGACATGTGTGGTGAGGATGTGAAGAGGAAGGAAACATGCATGAGTCGGGATCAAACAATCAATGGGGGTGGGGTTGTGTTTTGGCAATCAATGGCTCGAATGAAACAAAGGGTAACGTGGGCGGATCAATGAGTATTGGATCGGTCGGATCTCGTTTCTATTGTTGGCTTATGACAGAACAAGAGTCAACGGGAGAGATTCCTGACATGCTATCTCGATTGCATTGGTTCCGTAACCTTGGATTGAAACTCGATTGTGGTACTCCGATTTGACATGGCAACATCCTGGGATTAATGCTTAGTTGATCGTATATCTTTCAAAGGTATTGATTAAAACATGGGCAGTGTGTGTGAAAATGCATTGATTTGATTGTGGTACAAAACGATGCATGCGGGGTAAGTGAAGAACAAAGGGAAGGATTTAGGTGGAATCTCGGATCCGTGTGGTGCAAAGAAATCAAAGCTATTTCCTGGATTTGTACGCGGGAATCTCAATGACATAACAACCTGTCGTTTTAACACCCACACTCACTAACGATCTGTCATTTCTCTTTTTGGCCTTGTGTTTCTTCATTTTGCCGTATATAAAAGTATCGCACATCACCTTTTTGCTCACACTCAAATCTCAAGATCACTTTATGATGGTTGAAGAAAAGATCGAGGCACTACACACCAAAACAAGCACCCAATCTTCTTTATCCACCGATGAAGAGAAAGGTGGAAATGCGATTTCCGATAAAAGAGCTCAAGCAGAAAAGGCCCTGGTACGCAAGATTACATTCACAATCATGCCTCTAGTATCATGGATCATTATCGTGCAGGTTCGTTTCTCCTTGCTATTTGTGTATCCAAAAGTACAACTCACATGACATCTTTTATAGTTTGCAGACAAGGCAGCGTTGAGCGTTAGTGCAGTATTGGGATTATATGAAGACACCGGGATCACCGGATCCGAGTTTAGCTGGCTAGGCTCGTTGTTCTTTCTCGGTCATTTAGCTTACCAGGTACATACGCTTAGCTATTGATACTCATTGTAAGCAACATGTCAAGTAGACTCAACATGCGTATGCCTTTTTTTGTGTAGCCCGCCAACAACTTTTTTGTGCAACGTTTACCTTTGGCACGTTATTTGGGCGTGTGTATCATCATTTGGGGTGCTGTATGTTCATTCGTTTATTATGTAACGCTGAAGGATCCAACTCACATACTACATCCACACTCACATAGGTCATGCTTTTCACAGCCATGTGTCACACATTCTCACAACTCGCAGCTGTGCGTTTTCTCCTCGGCTTATTTGAGGCTGCATGCATGCCCACCATTTACCTCATCATCAACACGCTCTATCGACGTAGTGAGCAAACGACATTTTATGGTATCGTAACCATGTGTCACGGCCTAGGCTCTGTAGTGGGCAATCTTGTTGCATTCGGCATCTCGCATATGGGTACACGTTTAGGCATTGAAATGTGGCGATGGTAAGTAGTCAAAAAGTCATTGTGGATCAGCCACAGCCCCAAAAGGAAAGAACTAACCAAAAAATTGGGGTGCAGGAATCATATCATCTTTGGATCGCTCACGGTCTTTCTCGGTATTTTGGCATTCTTTTTCCTTGCTGATAATCCACACTCATGGCTATTGAGATTGACGGAGGAGGAAAAGCTCATTGTGGAGGATCGTACACAAGACAATGCTATGGTACGCAACACGACTATCAAAAAGTATCAGATGATCGAAGCGATCAAAGAACCAAGGCTATGGCTCATTGCGCTGGCAACATTTGGTCTTCAACTTCAAAATGGCGGCTTGCTTGTGTTTAGTGCACAATTCATCAAAGGCCTTGGTAGCTTTACGGTAGGCATCGATTGATAGGTTGTTGTATTGTTTTATTTACTCACCAATCCTTTCCATTTTCTATCACATAGTCCGGTGAATCGATCTTACTCAAGATGCCAGGTGGTATCGCATCTACATTGGGTGTGATCCTTGCGACCTATGTGGCGAGACGTACGCGACAAGTGTGTTACACGGGAATCTTGATGTCTGTTATCAGCGTGATAGGATGCATTATCCTGGCCGCTATCCCTGATGGTGCTGTCAAGCTCTTAGGCTACTATCTCAGTTGGGGAAGTACAGGTGGTTATGGATTACTAGCTACTTGCATCGGCAATAACGTTTCTGGATATACGAAGAAGGTCTTTTACAACAGTGTGCTTATCGTCAGCTATACACTTGGAAACTTCACAGGCCCACTCATCATGCTCGAACACGAAAAGCCAAGATACCTTGGAGCAATCACGGGATTTTGCATTGGAAATGGCGTAGCTGTTGTATGCTTTTTGCTTTTACGCATGCTGATGGCAGCTGAAAACAAACGACGACTTGCCAATTTACCTGATACTCCTACGGACGCACATCTTGATTTGACGGACCGTGAAGACAAAAACTTTATTTATCGCCTCTAATATGAAACCCTTACTTTAATCACCAATACCTTGTACTTAGTATAAAAATGTTTGTATGCAAAGGATGATGATGGGTTATACAATGAAAAGCGTGGTGGTGTGTGGTTGTCATGCATTATATTAATCCCGCCAATGGGTTACCGTAAATGCAGCCGTGACATGAAAAAGAAATGAAAATGACGCAATTGCAGGGTATTGATGGGTACGTGTCTCATTGCCTTTCCGAATTTGTTTACTTTATTCGAGGTGACAGGTATCACATATGCATATCAATGGTGGTAACATTATAATGCATGGTGTCTTTTACATGTTCCATGAGCAAAGGTAGGATGAAAGTGTTTTCTTTATGCGGGGACATTCGGGGGCCATGTTTAGAATACTAAAGGATGAATCTATAGTGGGTGATGGTGCTGGTGATGGTGGTGGTTGAATCAGCATTGCGTCACAGAAGGACATAGAAAAGGGCTTTTAGAACAACCGGTCAGCCCGCTGCAGATACACGCGCTTCTTTCACTTTTTACAAACATGCTCTCTATCGCCACTCGCTCTCTCAAGTCTTCTGGCTTCAAGCCTGCTGTTCGTTGTCTTGCTGCTGTCCGCACCAAGGTCACTCTTCCTGATCTTCCTTACGGCTATGACGTATGTTGACCACTCCCATTCAATACGCGTTCTCTTCATTCACTCATGCAAACTCGTGTCTAGGCTTTGGAACCTTACATTAGCACTGAAATTATGAAGCTTCACCACTCCAAGCATCACCAAGCTTACGTCAATGGCTACAACCAAGCTGAAGAAAAGTTACAAGGCTCTTTCCAAGCTGGCAACTTGACTGAACAAATCTCTCTCCAAAACGCTATCAAGTTCAATGGTGGTGGTATGTTGATGATAATGGAGATTTGGATGGTGGATATGGGTGATGATGATGATGATGATGATCATTGACAATGACGTGTATCCAGGTCATATCAACCATAGCTTGTTCTGGAAGAACCTTGCTCCCAAGAGCGCTGGTGGTGGTGATTTGCCTCAGGGCGATCTTTTGAGTGCCATTGAAAGCGAATGGGGTTCCTTTGATGCCTTCGTTTCCAAGTTCAATGCTGCTGCTGCTGGTGTTCAAGGTAAGCTGAGACAATAACAAATCATGCCGCATATCCGCGCGCGTGCGCGTAATCTCTTACTAATCAATCATGGGATTCATTTTATAGGCTCTGGTTGGGCTTGGTTGGTAAGTAGTAGTAAATTTGGTTTTATTCATATGCTCATTGCTAATTACGTGTAATTCAGGGTTACAGCAAGGAATCTAAGCGTCTTGCCATCGCCACTACTCCTAACCAGGATCCTTTGCTTTGTAAGTGGAAATGCACGTGATGCACAGGAGACCAAAGGACACTAATTGGATAAATGTTTATGATTTTCACGCTATAGCCCACGTTCCTCTTCTTGGTGTCGATGTTTGGGAACACGTGAGTTACTGATGTGGAATGTGATATGCAGCATGAGACACTTATAAGCCTTTGTTGGTTCTAGGCCTACTACTTGCAATACAAGAACGTCCGCCCCGATTATCTCAAGGCCATCTGGGAAGTCATCAACTGGAAGGAGGTTGCTGAGCGCTTTTCCAAGGCCCAGTAAGAAGGCTTGGCATATGTTTTAATATCTACATACAAAGCATGCTTACTTTCTTTGAAATAAAAGAGATGCCCCAAATCTTTTGTGCAAGTGAAACAAGAACAACTGCAATGTAGATCGGGAAAAGGTGGTTTTTTGGGGGGTGATGAAAAGCATTTGCACAGCACACAAACATCAACCGGCTAGCCAATGTTGGGCGGCGATCAGTCGTTTCTCATTGGATACGTCGATCATCGGGGTTGTGGGGGAGGATTATCCGCAGTGCACAACAAATGGTAGGTTTCATGGTGAAAGCGAACAGCACTTTTCTTTTCCCCTTTTCCTTCTTTTTTTCATTTTCCATCTCCATGTCATCCACATTAACATTATCCAATAACAACATCGATCCTTTTATGCAATCGCAACAACAACAACAACGTCGTCCACGTCCAAGGAAACGACCCACACACCCTGATCGACATAGAGACACTTTTGAACTACTGCAGGCTATGATTGACGAAAACAATCGAATACAGCAGCAGGATCATGAAGCAATGCTACGTGACGTTCCAGATATTGTGGTGATGCGACGATCTTCCTCCTCGTCATCATCATCATCATCCCATCACCACCATAGCAGTGATCGACCCAGCATCCTTGCTACCACCAAAGCCAACAAGTCAACACAATCAGTGCGTTTTGCAGCTGACGTTATCGTCAGTCCGCCACCATCACCAACCACAGCAACAACCACAACCACCAATAACTCAAATACCAAACCTCCTCGTCGACGTTCCACAACAATAGCAAAACTTCGGAGCTTCTTGCATCTCAATTGAAACAAGCTTCTCCATCACTTTCCAAGTGCATTCTTCACTCTAATACTAAACCCAGGCATTCCCACACCCACACCAACACATATCCAACAGCCCGTGTATTGAAACCCAAAACACATTATAACCCTCTTTGCTCATTTAGCATCCTTTCATATAGCATCATTGTCATTCTGTCATTATCCTCATTGTGTACCTTTTTATAATGCATTCTTCGTTCTCGTTCTCCATTGTGTAATTAAAAGTTTTTTTCATAAATGGGGTGTGTACAAACACACACTCTTACGCCTAATCGCAAATAAGAGACACAGATTTTTTTTTCTTTTTTGTTTCTTTCCCGCCGATCCCAATCCACAACACACCTCACCCTCCCCCCAAAACTACCGAATCTGGTGTTAAGCCGGGGATGCATTCACATTCATTTTTTTCCATTGGGAGTAGCCTATTGGTGTACGTGGTTGCGTGTAAAGGTGTGTGCGTGTGAGCACAATTTGCTGTCTGTGTCACATATACACAAAGTAGATCCTTCTCCTTTCCATTCACCTTACGCAGCACTTTTTTTTTCTTTCTCACGTGGTACTGCGCCCATAGCGTTGCCTTAAAAGTAATACAAGAATGCGCTCACAACGGGGACACACATACATTACTTGCACAAGGAGAGAACAAAGAAAATACTTACACCATTGTATGTACGCACAATGAATGTGTGTGCTTTTGTGTGTAAGTGTGTGTGTGAAGAAGGGAGTTACGGTGCCGGGTGTGAATTCATCCGAATGCCGATAAGCCAATGCATTAGGGTAAAGGGAATGTGCGGAGAGAAAGAGGAAAAAGGGTGTGTGGCCCATGATCCTAGATTGCGGTCCATGTCGTACAAGTGGTAGCCATCAGGGTTTTTGATAGAGAATTACATGTCATTCGAGTCGTATAGCAACACATACATAGGCATTACCTATCTCCATATCTCACATGTTGATTAACAAGTTGGGGATCAAAAAGAAAGGACAATCAAAAATCGTAATAAAGAGCACAATGGATCGCGTGAGCGTCATGCTTATCATCATTTGCCACAGTGGATGGTGTACCAGTGGCAAGCCATGATGACCCTTTTTCAGCCAACCAACTTTAAAGGGGACATCGTCATTGATGCAACTGTCTCGCAATTGAACCTCGCGATCGCTCACGTGGTCACGGGTGTGTCGATTGTAATGACGCACATTATCGTGAGAGCAAAGAAAAGGGTTCTTTTCTTGAGTACATATATCAAAAACAGGGTTGAATGATGGCTCAATTATCTTGACCCTGATAGTAAAATGTCATGATAATGATAACGAAGCACTACCTTGGATGAAACATACCGCAATTGGTTCCTGAGATTCTCTTTGTTTGTTGTTGTCTCAATTGGCATGCAGGTGGGCAAAATGACGACACGGTTTAAAGTTCTTTTCCTATGCATCATGTGATGCCGAGTTAGAAAAAACGATAAAGCGTTAGCGTGTCGTGGCCCATTTATTTCTTTCCTGGGACGCGCCAAGGTCACTCGACCCTTTTTCTCATTCTTTTCCTTTTTTCATCTACATGGTTTCTTTTCTAGCCTTGAGCACAGCAGCTGTGCTGACTGGCTCAGCCATCCTTACCAATGCTTCACCATTAAACACGGCGTTAAGACCACACCAGGTCCGCAGCTTTGGTCCAGAAGTGCAAAGAACATTTGAATCGTATCCAGTCGTTGATAATTCTCCTTGGAGCGTTACATCATTCGGTCATGTTGGTGATCCAGTCACTATTGCCGAGCAGTTTGTCAAGTCAAAGTTGGCAGAGGATGACGAGTACTATATTGAATCAGCCTATACAAGCGACTTGACCGGAGTCACTCACGTATACATGCGTCAACGAGTGGATGGATTAGATGTCGTAAATGGACGCATCAACGTGCACATTGATAAGCAAGGACAAGTGGTAGCGTATGGCAATTCATTTGCACCATCATCCAAAGCACGTCAACCACAACGAGCATGGTATATCCAGGTACTATGCGATATTTGTGTAATTCCATGGAAACGGTTTCTTAGTAACAATGTTGTTGCTAGGCAATGGAAAGAGGCATGCAAGTAGTGTACTCGACGTTCTTTAGCCAACAAAAGCAGCAGCCCTACATCAGCCCAACACAAGCTGTAGAAGCACTTTTGCATCAAGTTGGATTATCCTATGCATTGTCATCCTCTTCAGGAGAAATGACAGTAACATCCTCGTTACAAGGTTCAACTTTGCTTGTGGAAAATGTCCCATTAGCCTTATCACCGGTGCGTGTGAAACCTGCATACCACCAACAAGCATCTGGAGCTCTTACTCGCGTATGGGACGTTGAGCTGGAACTTGAGGAACACTGGTACCATGCACAATTGGATGCACGTGATGGCACACTTGGTGGATTGGTGGATTGGGTAGCTGATGCAGTGTATTACAACGTGATTCCTTTTGGTTTCAATGATCCCTCGGCAACAGATCAAGTATTGACCAAAGATCCCAATGACCTCTATGCAAGCCCTGAAGGATGGCATGCTCAAGGTTCAATGTCGGGTGGTCACATGCTTACTTTTAATGTCACCATCGGCAACAATGCTTACGCACACACCAACCCCGATGGTGGCTATGGCTGGGAAGAAAATTATCGACCCAGCGGCATGATTGATGATGATACGGGTGACATTGTTTTCAACTACACTGCTCAATTTGACATCCAACAACCCAAAGAGTATGAGGATGCTGCTGTCACGAATCTCTTTTATTGGGTCAACATGGTAATGTGGATATTTTCAAGGTTCAAGTCTAGAGCATCAACCAGCTGACACATAATTTTATTATTACCTCATCCAAGGCACATGATCTCTTCCATCGATATGGGTTTGATGAAAAAGCTGGCAACTTTCAAGAGGATAATCTCGGTCGTGGACGACCTGGGGATGATTGTGCAGGTGATGCTGTGATAGCTAATGCTCAAGATGGATCCGGTATGTATGATGCATAAGATTTTGAAATGAGGTGAGAGCTAACTCTAAATGTTGTTGTTGTTCAGGACGCAATAATGCAAACTTTGCAACTCCACCTGATGGACGACATGGGAAAATGAGGATGTATGTTTGGGACAATACACAACCCATGCGAGATGGCGACTTTGAAAGCGGCATTATTATCCACGAATACACCCATGGCGTATCTAATCGATTGACGGGTGGTCCCCACGATAGCAGCTGCTTGGGATGGGGCGAAGCTGGTGGTATGGGTGAAGGTTGGGGTGATTTCGTAGCCACCATCATCCGCATGACACCTGAAGACACACGAGAATCCGAGTTTGGTATGGGCGGATGGGCCAATGGTGGCGATGGTATTCGCAAGTACAAGTACTCTACCAGCATGGAAACCAACCCAAGTACATATGCCATTATGGATCGTTTTGATTATTGGGGTGTTCATGCCAAGGGTGAAGTTTGGGCTGAGATGCTCTATGAAGTATACTGGAACCTTGTTGATAAGCATGGCTTCACTCCAAATTGGTTCCCACCTGTTCCTGCAGATGATGATGATCAATCCGAAGCCCTTGATTATATACTCTCTTATGGCAACACGCTCGCACTCAAGCTTGTCATTGATGGCATGGCAATGCAACCATGTAGCCCTGGCTTTATACAAGCACGTGATGCTATTCTTGCCGCTGATAAGGCGCTCACGGGTGGTGAAAACTATTGCGAAATCTACAAAGCTTTTGCTAAACGTGGTCTTGGATACGGGGCCAAACTTTCTCGTGAGGATCACTGGTACGAGAAGAGAATAGAAAGCTACACACTCAAAGAGGGAGAATGTCAAGATGATAATGACGACAATACCGAGTCTTCGTGGTGGTAGTAGACAACCTTCTCTCTTTTTCATTTCTTTTGTATATATATTCTATGAGCGCAGGGATGTCATTTTCAGTAAATGCAATGTGTATTATGGGTGGAAATTCTTGTAGCATGATCATTTAAAGCATAACTTACTATGCTCATGCCATGTTGAGAAGATACAATGCTGTCAAGCTTATGTGGCACTCCCTACAACGTATGAATACGATAGCTGCTATTTCGATTTTGTTCTTTAAGGGATGCTAATAATTCCAAAGATACATTGCAATGATGGATTTACTATATATGAACTGATTGCTTTTTACTGAGGAAATGCGAATGTCTACATACTCGTAGGCAAAATGAAGAACAAACTTTTGCCCTTCTTCTTATTACTATGGTTGTATCCAAAAGTTCCGATGATGGTTGGTGGTGGTGTCTGGATGATGGTGGGTGTTAGGCAAATGTGTCTCTGGTCCCGATTGATGATGCTGTTGTTGTTGTTGGTATCTTAAACGGTGCTCTTGCCAGTTATCGATCGAGGAGGTAAACATGCCACTTGCAAGAATTTGGCTGCCAAAAGTAGTATTGTTGAGCTCGGCAATGTCGACACACCAGTATCCACCCTTGCCTTTGGCTTTGCCCATGCTTCTTGGTTGCTTGTAAAAGCAGCGATTCAATGACAGGTTATGCCGAATGGTATTCTATTTTCAATAAAACATACATTGTTTGTGTGTGTGTGGGTAGTTGGGTCATATGATCGCTTCGTTCAAATCGCTTACCTGCCATCCAGGTTCATTAGCCTCATACATACGTGGGTATCTATTTTGGACGTATTCGTAAATTTCACGCAATGTCAAGCGGTGTTCAGCTGAAGTGAGAATGGCTTGTGCAATCATGGATGCATATGAATGGGGAGGTCGTCTTCTTTTGCGTTGAGGGCGTCGTGCACTTTGATCAGGTGCTTGATGTTGGTATGGGATAGGTGATGGTTCTTGGATTAGATTTGATGTAGGTTGATGAGGTATGGTTGCCATTCGAATAGGTGGTACAGCCAAATTGGATGTAGTAGTAGTGGTAGTAGCAGTAGGATGTGCATGATTCATATGATTTGAAATGGGTTGATAGGCATAAAATGCCTTATTCCATCCAGGTGGCAATAAGAGACTGCCATTACTATCCGTGGAACGCAACTTGTCATTTTCTAGAGCCAGCGAGGATGTTGTATTACTCGGCAGCGGATATTGTTGTGCAGCTACTACTCCTTCACCTCCACCGTTTGACCCAATCATCATGGATGGTGGGTAGTTTTGATGTTGTTGTTGTTGCTGAGATGGTGGTACAGGCTGCTGTTGCTGCTGCTGTATAGTATAATGATCCTCCTCATTCATTATCTTGTGATAAAGGAACAAGAAAGAAAGGTATAATGTTTGTGTTTTATTGGGGTATCCCAATGAAATAGTAAAAACAGCAGGAAAAACTTTTTGAATAAGGATGATTTATCGAGTTGAATCAGCGGTTAATATCAATACGGAGCATTCTAACAATCGAATTGTCTAATATTATTTGGATCGCACTCTATCGATCAGTTTTCCCAAGGCATCGGCGAATTACACTCGCATCCAGGTTCAACAAGGTTTTTGTCAGGCACGACATCTGTCCGAGAATAAGCTGGCCATCCATAATAAGGGCACGAAGGCTTGTTTGATGACATTCCAAGATTACAAGCTTCTTGCTTTGGTATCATCCGTGATATAGATCGTGATTTTTGCTATACATCCAATTATGTAAGGTGTTGTGTTCATAAGCTGACAATAAAGTCATGTCGTAACTTGATCCGATACTACTAGGTGGGTGACAACATGTAGCATGCTCAAGGCAAACTTCGCTACGTAAACCAGATTCCAACATAGTGAGAGCTATACTATCGGTAATTGGTTTTCTAGAAAAGTAGATGTGATGGAACGTTGTCAAGTAATCTGGGCACGTGCAACAAGCGATATTGCTTATTACGTGAATGTTTGTTGCCGTAATGATATACCGACAATAGATAGGCTTCGAGTTTAATGGTGTTCTTCATCAATGCATTATCGGCAATGCGGGATGACGTTTTGCGCCAAGTCAATGCATCGGGTTGTGTGTGTCATAAATCAGCACAGCGGGCGGTATTTCTCTTTTGCTCTCCCTCTCTCTCTTCTCTCTCCATTCGTTTCTCCAATGGCGTCGTCTCTTCGACCACCACAATCTAAACCGAGACGACTGGATCGTTCTTCGCCATACTCCATGTTGAGCAATTCTGCAAAGCGCTCGTCACGACAAACGCATAATCGGATTCGGCTTGTCATTGCTCTTGTCGGGCTTGTCCTTGCTGGTTTGGTGTATTGGACACCGTTGGATAGTTGGCTATCAGGCAAGTAGCGAAAACGATCTCATGATAATGTCATCCAATGTCTGATATGACATCTTGCAGAGGTCTCATCATCGTCATCATCAAGTGCAAAGTGTTTGAAATACGCTATTATGGTGGATGCTGGATCGGCTGGATCACGACTACACGTTTATCGGTTTCATCAATGCACACTTGAGGACCCAGTTGAATTGAAGAATGAGGATTTATTTGTGCAAACGATACCAGGATTATCAGCGTATGGTGATGCCCCACAACAAGGTGCTGAATCACTCGATCCATTACTGCAGAAGGCATTGAAAGTGGTCCCATCACGATTGCAACGCAAAACACCTATTGCTGTCAAGGCAACGGCTGGCCTACGATTACTGGGAGATGAGAAGAGTGAATTGGTTTTGGATGCAGTGTACGACCATATCAAACAACGATATCCATTTCCGATTGTGGGAGGACGTGATCATGGTGTAGCCATTATGGATGGACGCGATGAAGGTAAAAAGGATATGAGATTTGAGCACATTGGACATGCAACTCATTGATAGAATGTAGGTGTTTATGCATGGATCACAGTGAACTTTTTATTGGGAAACCTCGATGGATCATCACAAAACAACCAACGACCACCAACAGCTGCCGTATTTGATTTGGGTGGTGGATCAACTCAGATTGTATTTGAACCAGAACGCAGCGATCTACTTGCCGAGGGTGATCATAAATACACTTTGAATTATGATGGCCGCAACTATACCTTGTATCAGCACTCTTACTTGGGCTATGGATTGATGGAAGCTCGAAAGCGGATGCACCAGCGTGCCATGGATATTGCTAAGGAGGCTGTTGAACATGTTGATCACCCATGTTTGCCACTCGACGTTGCTTTACCTTTCCCAAAAAACGATCCCAATCCACTTGTCACATTCAAAGGAGGTGCACAGCCTGGAGCTTGTACTGAAATGGTACTGGATATGCTCAACAAGAACGCCGTATGTCTTGCACCACCATGTTCGTTTGATGGCATCCACCAACCACCTATTGCTGAAGCCTTCAAGAAGGGTCCTATTTACATCTTTTCATACTTTTACGATCGCACACAGCCTCTTGGATTACCGGATCGCTTCCATTTACCACAATTGCAACGTCTTACCGAAAGAGTGTGTGCTGGTGATTATCTCAACTCGATTCCGGAAGGAGAACCTTTACGTGATGAAATGCTTGATCGCCCAGAATGGTGTCTTGACCTCTCTTTTATCCATGGTCTTCTCTCACACGGCTATGAAATTCCAGATGATCGTGAAATACGTGTCGCCAAAAAGATAGATGGCATTGAAACGGGTTGGTGCCTTGGAGCAGCCATTGCACTTTTAGATGCAGCAGATTTGCATGAATAAACTCAACACTAGAACATAGCATGATACCACATCAATAGAACTGCCAACATGTTTTCTTTTCAATTATATTTCTACGGGTGGTTATGGAGGAATGGGTAATGGGTACAAATGTTTTCATGGTTGTTGTTGAGCCACTAGTACATAAACATGATCGGATGCTAGAAGCATTAACGATGGTACTGGATTTGAATACACAAACGGCAACTCGTTCCCGAATGCCGATGTAGGTGCACGGAATAAGCCTAGCGCCAAAATACCGTGGTCAAAGAGCCAAGCTTCAAACAAGGCAACGAACGTCTTGCCCACAAATGAATCGGGTACTGGCATGCTTGCAAATCGACATGTGGGCGCTTTTGGTGTGGATGATGTATGCTGCTGATGCCTAGTAGTCGTGTATTCGGTTTTATGTGATGACGAGTATCCCAAATGCGAGGTCAAATGGCTATGATGGATAATCGGCATCCCACTCATTGCCCGAATCACCTGGACAATTTCAGGCTTGGAATACGTTTGACTTAGTAGCACATTGCTAATAAGACTTTCGGCCACCACATCGCCTGCAGCATAGGCCGGGGTATAAAATACATCGATTTCTTCATCATCGACCTGCTTGCCTTGTAAAAGATGCATAAACTTGATGTTGCTACGCTCAACAAGATTCACAATTGTATATGAATCTTGCCTACGTGAATGCAAAAGCAGATGAATAATATGGCTGGTCATGCTGTAAAAAGGAAGAAGATGAGCATCGCTTAATATGGCGACATCTTTTGTTATTGTACTCACATAGCAGCACTATCGGTTTCTTGACCATCAGCGCTTTCCTTTTCGCTACGTATTCATCCATCAGCATCGCATTGGAAGCCCAAAAAAAGTACACTCCTTACCTCATGACAACGACTTGCTTGGCTCTCTTGATACCAGCATGAAGGAGATCGTCGGGCTGGCGGCAGTTGCCTTCCATTATATATACACGGGGAAATAAACTTATGGGATGGAATGCTTTTTCGGATGGGAGTTGTGAGCATAGGATGACAATGTCTTGCAATTCATTTTGTTGCACGTGTGATGACCTAAATCTTAGCCTTAGCATGCATCGTTGTCGCCTTTGGAAAACTCTACACTTGCCTTAAGTTGTATATGAATTTGAAAATATTGATGAACTCTTGTTGCATGCACACTAAGATATGCCCACGCATGCCGGATGCTTTATGGATCGTGATGTCTTTTAGATTTGCAGGCTTCTCGAGCAAATGACACATTAAGGGTAACTTGTTTGGCAATGGTAAATCGATATCATCGTCATCATCATCGCCGTGGTCTTCTGTCTTAGCCGCTGGTGAATCATGCGGCTGTGACAACTTGATAGGAAAAGTGCCACCCACGCTGATGCCACTAAGCAAAGAATGGCTCGACGATGGTAGGCGTGAAAGCTGATATCGCTGTCTAGATGGGGCTGAGATTGCTGAAGGTTTGGTGGTGGGTAGGGTATCGGGTGGAGATGGGTCAATAGAAGGTGCTGGCTGATATTTTTGTTGTTGATGTCGCGAAGCCATGCTGTAATCTCGCATTCGCGCCATTTGGCACAAGTATACTGTATTCTAAAATCAATTTAGCTTAAAATGGATCAACCACATTATAGCATTGCATGTGTTTACCAGGCTAGCAATGGAGCGGATCTCTTTTGAACTTTGTGCAATGTATACACAAACGTCGGATGGTTGAATAGTGTAGCCACTCGCCGCGGGATTAAGAATGATTTCACTATCCAATGTGCGCACAGCAAACAAAATCACTTGAAGCTCCTTGTACAGCAACTTTAAGATGTTGTTAATCATGATGGTCCATACAATGTATCCTCGGCTTCTTTCTTACCCATGCAGCATGACTAAAGCTAATTCCGACAATGCATGCAGCTGCTGGAGCAGTGTAGATCTCATTACAGGAACCATCATCTAAAGAGAATTTCGGGTCAATGTATGATACACACATCTACATGCAAGATGCTCTTACCATATTGTGCTTCCCAAGGTGCATCATATTGATTCAATGGATCACGCTGGTGAAGTAGATTTGTGAGGAACGTGGATGCACCTCGACATCGGCAATTAAGTGCCAGCAGGTATTGATTGAATTGACGAACGCAAATAACTTCCTTGGCAACCTCTTGGTATATGGCTGTGATAGGTGACAAGTTGTATGTGTATATTGGCACGCTATGCCGGGCCGTATAGCAATGCATAGACCATAGGCGGACCGTATTGCGTTCATCTTCCTTTACTGGATCGGGTGCATTGCTGTCTATGCAAAAAGCATTCAATCATACAAACGAGGGGTGTATGTACTTTCTCGTGCGAGATGGTTACCTGAGATGCAAAAGATAGCTTTTGCCCTTCGAGATTGCTGTTGGCATAGTCCCAATTTTAGTACTAGTATCATCATCAACCCCTCATCCAAAACCTACTGCACGCTGCAATGTTTTTTCATCCTAGGGGTCATGTAATCTTTTATCAGCCATTGCTGTTCTAGCGCTTTACCATGTTTGTTTCTTCTTACCAATACACTGCTGTGGAGAAAATGGATACGATGGCCCCATACAGAGTTACGGCCCAATAATTTCAGCTCATCGGTTAATGGCTTGGTATCCAAAAAGACCACCGATAACCGCTCATCCACGTTATCCTGCATGTTTATCGATAAGGAGCAATGAGATCATGCAAATAGTTGATGTCATGGGATCTCCACGAGTTGTAACCAATGGGTCTACTGACCGTATTAAGAAATCCATCAAGCATTTCCTTTGCTTGTTGCACCGTAAATGTACCCACAATCAAAATGAATGGATCAGCATCCTTGATGATTTGGCCACCTGTCACTATTAGTGGGAAATTGGCGGGTTAGCCGCATGTGGATAGTAACATCATGTTGATCCCGACACACCATCTCGCTTTTGCATCGTATCCAAAAGATCAGAGATAAGACTCGGGATCACTGCCACAGTGATGAGGATCAATAACATGATAACAATTCGGCTACTTGCTGCCGACGGCGTGATGTCTAAAAGGAGATTTTTTCCGGCAACCAGTGAACAATGATGATGCGACTACCGAAATCATCCGATCCTTTTACCTCCATATCCCACCGTTGACAAGGTCACTACCACCATGAATCTAATCGTATAGCATAAGTGATCGATTGCATCATACCATATCAAATACTCACAAGGAATCCAAAACATCGTAATGGATATGACCAAAAACGGCTTCAGAGTACTGAAACGCCGCCATGCCATTATACAAGAGGATCACAATGTTGCCAATAAGGTAGACTTGTTTGTATTGGAGTGCATCCATCGACTTGTCTAACAAATAAAGCATGATCAGCCATTGCAAACATGATGGATTGCCCTTGATACGCACCCGTCATTCGCAGCGTAACCTTGATTTTTAATGCGCTCTTGATTCTTAACAGAAAAACCCAACTGCGGAGAAAGTATGGAACTGTAATGTGATGAGCCATGATATCCAATGACATGTTCATCGGGGGTGGTGTATACCAACCATAGATGTATTGGCCATTTGGGATCAAGCGTGATAGGAGAAACGGGATGGACGTCAACAATTCAATCAGCCCTCGAAAGCTAAAGAGTACGGACAATGGATATCGGCTAATGTAGAATCCTATATCAGGACATACACAATATTGCGGTTGCTCAGTATTTGTATGTGTATACGTGTGCTTTGTTTTTCCGCCGGTTCACATACGGATTGCATATGAGCACATGTTCCACAAGGAAAGGACTTGGCAAAACGACCTTGCACAAACACAGTTAATGACCCTGGACATCATCCCTTTCACGTGCATACTATGTACCATAGGCCATGCGATCGACGTTTGAAAAGCCATGCCGGCGATAGATCCGTGTCATAGCCTTGCTTCATTTCCACCAAATACGCTATACACATTAACAAGTCGATCATTAGATCGAGATTCACCTATGACAAACAAAGCTTATGAATACACCATACGCATGAAAAGCAATGGGAAAACTCACAAACAATACGATGGTTTGGTTGGCAAAGAGGATCGACTTTAGCATAGAAAAGTAGATTGACAAGTGAAAATAAAGATCGTCAAGGAACCCGCAAACGTTTGAGTGATATTCCTCGCTGCAAAACCAGATTTATATATGTAAAATGAGCAGACGCACGCGCTACTTTAGTCATTTGATGTAATGTTACCGTATGTGGGAGCGACTTGATTGATAATTTGCTCGAATGGTACTAAGGTTCACCTGCTGTCGTTTTTTACGCAAAAAATGATGGCGTGGCGGGTGCAGTTCTGGCACGATAGCAGCTGCCACTTCTTGTGCCCTATAATAGACATATAGGTAAGCTTGAAAAAAGGTGCCAATTGAGGATTGGTTAAATACTTTGGATCAAGAGCTGGCAATACAAGGTCTGTAGATGGCTTGGATGGACGACGACAAGGATGATCCATGCTAACAAATGCTTGTGGAGGAGGTGGAGGAGGTGAATGATGAATGGTTGTACTACCATAAGATGGCGAGTGGATGCACAGGGCACTCTCTTCCTCATCATCATCATCGTTGAGTTGTTGTTGTTGACCATCCGAGTATTCTGTTGTATAAAGCATTGCATTGGAAAAAGGAGGAAAGAGAGAGAGAAAGAGAAATTCAAGAAAAAAAGCAAAAACGAAACGCCACAGGCATACTGGATCCCAATGCAATGAGGCACTTTGAGAAATTCACTCGTTCTTGCATACACGTGCGGTTTATGAAGGGCTGGCAAAACTGACTCTGTTGCTCCAGATTCGATGTAAGGGGCTTTTTCTTAACCCATAAACTCGAGCCGGTTCCAAATCGCACAGCATCAAAAGCTGTCCAATGACATCCGCTCGACGAACAACTAATGTTGCATGGTGGGACAAGACATTTTCCACCACTGCATGGATGCACAAACAAATCAATGCACACACACACATTCTTTTTCTGTACACATGAGTTTATTGTAAAGGGTGTTGCTGGGTCTATTTCTTCTCATCACCAGTGGCACGAGCTAAAAATTTCCAGGTGAGCCTCCTGAAACATTAAATGGATCGACAACATGACTTACTGTAGATGACTTGAGCGTGGTGTTGAACGAGAGGCTTGATCAAACCCTGCGACTCGAGTTCACGGATAGCAATGCGAGCAAGGGAGCCGTTCAAACGAAGACGATCAACCAAAACGGATTGAGTAATCAACTTGTAGGTAGGAACTTCCTTGAAAAGACGCTCGTAGGTAGGCTTATCGAGAACGACCATGTTGTTGGCCTTGTCCTTGACCTTCTTGGCAGACCATTTCTATTATACAAAAGTATTAGTATACATGGAGCTTGTATTTGAGGTATCATTTTACACAAACCTTTTTGGCCTTTTTGCCACCAGAGGACGAAGAGGGAACCGCTTGCTTGCCCTAATATGTGGACGATGCATAGGTGAGCAAAGTGAACGTATGTATGTATGGTAGGTGATGTATGCGGCTCAATCCCATTTCATCCGTTCACGTATTCATCCATCCATTTCTTCATCCATCCATCAAGCTATCAAAAGTCTCGTAATCATCACCCATCCATGTGTATAGTCAACTTACCATTGTGGATGAAAGAGGGTCCACCAGATTTGTGCTGGGCTCCCGACCAAGTGCTCCCACAGCCAACTGAGTTGAAATCGCTAGCCTGACTACACATTCACCTCATGCAACGCTCAACTTGATCCTCCAGACAGCATGCCAAACGAGTACGTGTGGTATAAAAAACCGATATCCAGATGATGACAATAAAACACACTGCTAATTTCCACTCGACAACCATGGGATCTTGGAAAGCTAAAGAAGCATTCATTGAATAAAAAAGTACTAATCGTAAAATGATTTACTGTTCTCACCTACCTCCTGCACAATTGTAATGTATGCAATGCATGCCTTTTTCTCTCCTTGATAGATAAAGGCCATTCTAGGCCCTGTATTGCACCATTGTACTATCTTGGTTGTCGCCGCCTATATGCTTGATGCCTTCGTATACTTGTCTTGCAGCCCCGCCGACACTTCTCTTTCCGGAAAAGAACAGCATGAACAACAACCCACGATCCGTTGGCGACATTCCAGGTCAATTGGCTCCTCCATCACGAACGCCACCACCCTTGTATGTTCTTGACAAAATGTACGCTTCGTTTAACTCACTCCATGTACTATGGTTAGCAAGAAACAACAAGTGCTAGGCAAGCGCCCATTGCGAACGGGACAAGGGTTGGTATTACCTTATTGAAAGACAATTGAGCAACATCTCTAAAGGCATTCTAGTCAACCTTCAGGTCCACGCGATCCATTTGGTCCACCTCCACCATTGAGTGCCACTTTGGAGACCTTGGGGCCACAAGAAGAGGTAAACAATAACACAGCGCACACGTGGTTTTGGTTACAGCAAAGATAACCTGAAAATCGATATCAGTTGCTACGCAAACAAACCGAAGAGTACAATATTCGACAATCCATGAAGGCAACCATGGCACAAGCAAAGGCGACATCGAGTGGCTTCTTTGTGTCAAAACCATCTCGACATGAAAACTTTCTTATCCCAGCCATACCAAGATCGCCATCCAACTCCTAGAACCATCCTGTTGTCAAGGCCCTTTTATTCACCCAAGAAGGGGGGAGGTTGCCAACTGAGCCAGTGAAGGAGCCTATATAAACGATGGTCAGAGCGACTCGCCCTTTATACGCCTCTTTTTTCCCTTTGTCAACAATGAGAACCATCGCCATTATTGCTGTCATGCTCTTGGTGGACATCCATGTCTTTGCATCCTCTTTACAAGAACCAACGCCTTTACCCGCATATCCTGAAATCGATCAAGAGAACTCACAGCTCATACGGCGCGTCACATGTAACCGTATAGCCGGCGACCCTCAACCATACTGTTGATATTCTTCCACTTGTCGTCATCATTCTCAATAAATCTTGTTCCAATACGTTCATTGTCGAATTGACTCGATATCCATATTCTTGCCAATGATGTGGACAATGGCTATGTGATGTTTGTTATCAGGTGTCGTAAATGCTGATTCATGGAGCAAGCCTTTTCTTTCCCACAGTATCCTGAATCGCTTGGTAATCGTGACTACATGATCATACCTCCGTTACAATGCAATAGTAAGTATCTTTTAGATAACCACTTTGATCACAGATGGATGCTGACATTGAAGATTAGGTCCGTGGCCGATTTATGGATGTACAGCTCTTAAATTACAAGACTCGATCCTGCTGTAAGTGTCCGCCACCAACTTATCAATTCATGCAGCACTGCTTATTACTCTTTGTTAACACGAGACATTCACACACCCTGTATAGATCATAAAAGGATGTTGTCGCCCTCATGCGTCTTTTTTCTTCTACCATCTTAGACCGAAGCACTTGGGTTTACGTAAGTACCGCTCTGGACAGTCTTCTTTTGTAAACTGGGCCATGTATTAAATCTTTGTGGTCATTCATAGGTTTTCATTGTTTTCCTACTTTCATTGTCTTATGGTCATTATGATATTTGACTCTTGAAACGAGGTAAAACCCTATGCATATTGCTCTACACGTTTATGAACCGGGTACTCATATTACATTTCTTGAAACGTAGCTACTTTTCGTACTGCATTAGACAAGCGAGAAACATCTTTATCCTCAATTGGTTTCAAAGTCTCAATCAAAGAATCGGCATATCTCAAGCTTCTATCACAAGAAAAGATTGGGAGATCGGTTAACCGTTACATGACTCGGGCATTCATGCAACATCAACCACCTTCTGCTTGGCGAGGAACAGGGGATGAGTGGCGTATGGTTCCTGGTTTGGCATTACTGGCACTATCAGAGCACATGGGTCGTAGGGGTAGCAATCGCGACTCTCGAGATCCTATATCGGATGAAACACGTGGAAGATTTCGCCAAGCTAGCCTTTCAGCGGCTAATCGAGATTTGCAAGTTGCGGATGCTTTCTAGCAACATGTTGGTGAATGTCTCGGATAGTGGTCGTCACACTTTTTGGGTATACACAGCCGACAATCAAACGCACTCAGGTGCCTGATCCTACAGGTCTCTGGTTTGGATCATCGTATAGAAGCCAACGATTTCTCCTGGGTTATGATCCTACAATCAGCCGACATGCAGTGGTAAGCATTTGATGAACAATGCAGCTTACTTTATATGATGATAATAACATGTGCAATGATATGATAGTTGGTCAAGGACCTGAATGGGAATACCATCTTAGAAAATGAGCAACCCAAGTTATTTTACGACTAATACTTTCTATAGCAAGGTAGCTAGATGAAATAAAGCATTGTTTATTTATTACACGCTTGTTGGAGGTTGCTAGCTTGTGGATTACATACTATTGCTTCGAAGATGGAATAATAAAGGTGGTCCGGTTATCGGTCATGCAAGAAGTACATGGCTTTTGTGATACAATAAGGAGGGGTGGAAGTGGGATGAGCTTGAGAAGTGAAAAAGTGAAGTGATCCCTGCATTGAGTTTCAGGATGAGTGACCGATCAAGATGTATACGTATCTTTTTACATACACAAATTGGTTTATGCAGCAGCTCGACCTTCTCCTACATGCAAATGTGATATACACATACCTTGACACACCTTCATGGTTGGATGCTGTTTAACTTACGTACCTTCACAAAAGGCAATCATCATCATCATCCATTTGTGTAGCAACCTGTCAAGGACGTATCTGTGTAACCACCACGTGCCGTTTCACTCAGCTCTTCATCTTTCCGTTAATGCAGCCGACACCATCCACTAGGAAAAAAGCAACTCCATCACGCTTACAGCATAAGTAAAACATAAACGTGCCTGTATCTCCAAACTTTACAATGAAACATGGGGTTTTTATTAGAGCAATGGGCTCGGCTTGGCCAACAGCACCTCGTGTGAAAGTTTCGCGTTCAATGTCGCAAACAGCCCAAAAAATATTTTGTGGTCGTCGTCGTCGAAGAGGTCGACCCCTAGATCCAGTTTGGCTGGTGGCGACATTGCGAAATCTGGGATTGGGCAAGCTTGATCGTGAAACTTTCACACAAGGTGCTGTTGGCCAAGCCGAGCACATTGCTCTAATAAAAACCCCACGTTTGATTGTAAAGTTCGGAGATACAGGCGTCTTTATGTTTGTAAGCATGATGCTATATGACAAGTGGTCTTTGTTTAACGTAAAGTAGTAGAGCAAAAGATGCAGAGAGCGTGTTTGTGTAACTTGAGTCATTCAGCACAGGCGATGCATGATTCTTGTACACTAGTTAGGAATAGTTCAAAATGCCAGCTAATAGCCCGTTCCTCCCATTCACCTTTGTTGCCCAATCCAATGCATACGAACTATTGTCCTGCTCCAGCCCAGCATGCTCATCCTTCAACTTTCTTGATTCGAGGTGACATGGTAGTATGGCAACAATGGGTGTTGTTGGATCATTATTATCATGTAAAGTGTAAAGTGGCATACACCCTTTTGCTATACGTGAGGATCATCATTTCTTTTATTTACGTGCACCTATTGCCTATCGTGAGGGTGATGATGATGGGGATGGATGGTGTGTATAGGGTAATTGAGTGGCATCAGTGTAATAGCAGTAGGGGATTTAAACTTGGGGTCGGCAGCTCCACAACTTGTGACAACGCTTCTCTTTTCTTTCTCACCCCTCTGCTTTTATCCCCATTCACGGCATTGCGATCAAGGTAATGTATTATAGAATAGTGCTCTTGTTGGCTGTGAGGTGTTAATGTAATTCTGAACTTGCATTATCAGGGAGTGAGTGCCCAATGCTGATGAATGGAGCGTGGTGGGTGGTTGGTTGTTGTTGCCATGGCGATATCGTTGCTTCCTCTTGTTCGTTGCTATTCCCGCTCTATGCTTGGTGTCAACAGGTACATTGAGAGTCCAATGTTGCAGCCGAACTGGTTCCGTTGACGTGTTAACTTGTATAGGGGGCAAGTTTGGTTTCAAAACGTTGGCTGGTTTGGCGTTCTGTTTCGGCTCAACAACACTACTACACCATCGTTTTCGGTTTCCAGTAACCACCAACAACGCGTCTTTATGAATGTGGAAAAGGCAAGTACAATGAAACAAACAATGAAAAGGGGCGTTTATTGTATATGTGTGCTAATAATGAATTGAATAGGTTTCTTTGGTCAGGCAATGCGACTTGGGGCATCATCATCAACCTGTACCTTTTGGCTATTTGACATCATCAGAGGACAACAATGCACCCTTCTCGTGATGAGCTGGTGGTTACTCTTTTTTGAAGATTGCGTAGACAGGCGTCTCTTTGGGGAGGATGGATGAGAACAACGATGAACCGGGACACTATGAACAGGTATGTTTATTGATGAAGGTGCAATCAACTTTGCTTTCTGAAACGACCGCTCACATCCTCGAACAAAGTGAAATTTGAGCACTGCAAGTGGCTATCCATCATCAAGCAATGACATTCAATTGACACCAAGGCTCCGTAGACTGATGGAGGCATTGAGCAATCTATCAGCTCACCATCTCCAACAAGCATTTTATCGCTCTTTTCTCCCTGTGTTTGATTGCAGAAATACCCAACCCCACCACGCAGATAATAAACAAGATGCTATTTTACCATGTTTATTCACTCCAAATGACGCACCACGTTGCCGGTAATGCTTGTCGATATCGACGTAGCTGGACTATTGCTGCTTATAGCAGTGTGCGAATGCACCGTCCCACTCTAATGTAATGTATAATAGACCAGCGTGTGTATGGGTGCAGCTAGTGGTAGATGACTATTGCTAGACGATGAATATTGCCGGTTAACGATTTATGCATCACATCTACGCTCCTTAGACATGCTCTTATGATCATAGAAACCCACACGCACATATAATAAAAAGGATGCTTCTCTTTTCCTCTGTCATAGCTTTGATCCCTTACAACGTCCCAATTTCCCACATTTTGATATGGGTCACATCTCATGTACCCCTATAGGTTAGAGCTCATGATACATGCATAGACCTTTGTGATGCCTTTAACGCAAAGTAAATAAAAAAAGACGGTCCATCGCGATCATTGGGATAGCCATAAAATATGAGATTGGTACCAAAGTAAGGAAGTTTGCTCTAACAATGATACGACAAGGAGGTTCAAAGATGCTTCCTTTGTAAGGATAAGCATGTTGTGGATAATGTAAAAGGTATACCAAGAAGGTATGCATGATTATTGAAGATCACATTATTGTCTCATCGAATGACGGCAAATGTTGTCAGTTGATTCAATACGACCTTAGCACATGTAAGAATACGATTAGCCTTATGAAACCAAAGCAACAGATACCAACTATCACCAGCAAAGGCTTTTTTATGCCTTTTCGAGTCTGAGCTCGAAATTTCGCGGGGGTTCACTTTGAACATTGAGCATTACCCTTAGACCCCCATCCAATGGCCTGTTAACCAATTTTTCATCCCAAATTGCTAGACAATGAGCTCCCATACATAAACAACGCCTTTAGCATTGAAAACGGTGGTTACTCCGCTGCAAAATGAAATTAAAATCGTGCTGTTTTGTGCCGTTCTCTATATGGCAATTTTGCACTATATCATGGATGCTTAGAAACATAAGACAAGCAACAAGATTGGCCTTCTTGGCTCAGTTGGCAGAGCGTTGGTCTTGTAAACCAAAGGTCCCGTGTTCGATTCGCGGAGGAGGCATCAATCTTTTGTTGTTTTTTGCTTCATCAATCTTTTTTTTTGGAGATTTTCGTCAAATTTCATCATTTTTGGTCATTTCTTCCGCAGGAAGTATACATAGAGGGGTTGCATTACCTCTCGTGCTCATTTTAGTGTATTCAATACATAGGTTAGTATCGTCATCATCATCATAAAGCAAAAAGGTGTCAATTTACATCATATCATCCAACAACAGCAACCCTTACTGCCAGGTACCTAGCATCTACTTTTTCTTACTCAAGCCGATCATAAGCATCCAGTTTCTAGTGTGCTCGACGTCCTTGACGAATAAAAAGTCTCACTTTGCACTAGTAATCATACACCCACCGATAGGGATGTCATTCATACTATCCCAAGCATAATCAAACATGGTATACTTAGTATGCCACAAATGACCAGCGCGTCCGAAAGTATCTATGTTTATTAACGACAAAAGTCTCAGGCATGAAACTTGATATAGGTCCATGACCCTTTTCATGCTGCCAACCAAGACAAACTCATCCTGCTCGAGATGTACCATAATTTTATGTCGGCTTACGCATTGTGATGTTTGGTAATAGAAAATGGATAACAATGAAAAGTACGTTGAGACTGAAAGATAGTTTTTTGTTTATTCTTATCGCTCTATCCTTATTTATAGTTTTACGAGATCTTTGGTATGACTAATCTTCAAGAAGGATCCATGACAAGAACCAATGGTTATATGACAGCTACGCTAGTCGGATGTTTCACTGGATTCGAGGTGGTTCCTTTAGTTACTTAATCGGTTTCAGTCACTTCTAGGTCATTCTCATGTATTCCTTAAGGGAAAACATTCATCCTTTTATTATTCAATATCCATAATATCACACGCATAATGCGCTTTCAAACAAATTTCCATCGATCCAGTGATCATTCTTGGCTTATCACCCATACCATGGTTGACTTGAAAAAAATCCATACAGGCTACCATAAGCGGACGGTAGTATAGGGAAAAGCCCATTGTTGTGATGTTGTTGAGATCGTTCATACCACTCACACGATCATGCAATTGTAAGCTTAGAGATAAACGGAGCATACAAGTCATTAACAGCAAAGGATAAACGCAATGGTCTCTTCCCAGCTTCTTATCGTACTGTACGGATGAGCACCGTAGCTGACAAGGCTACTTTTGTCCTTTTATTACTATTGGTGCTGAAGCTTGCTATGTGAGAGTCTCCCTTGTACATCTTGTCCCCATAACATAGCAGCAATCGATCAAGATAAATGTGCGTATCCATGTCCAAAGCATCAATCTCAAAATGCGTCAACCGGGAGGACCATAGGATACGAAACTTGGATGGAGGTGCGGTAGCAAAAACTTTTGCTCCAGGTTCTTCGCCTTCTGCTGCTTGATAATCAAAGTTCAGATCCACTTTAGATGAACGATGTACCAATAGATACAAGGTATTCCGTTCTTGCAAAAGAATACTTAAGACAAAAGGTTAGTAATGCTGTATGATGATGACATGATGAGGAAACGGTGCTTACCTGCTACGATAGTTTGAAAACGCAACTGCTGTTGGATCGAAGCCTAGTGTTTCTACGATCATAGGTGCCACTTGATTAACGACTAGAGCAGGTGTCCCTTGAAACGGGATCCACACGTTCTGATACTGACAAAGTATTGGCTTTGTGGGCCATAGATAATGAAAGGCTGGTACGATGAATGAGGCTCGTTGCTCGTATACTCCAAAGGTGTGAGAAATCAGATCCCTTGCTATTTGCCCACTTCTAGACCCCTCAAAGAAGCCGCGTTGGTATTCGAGATCTTCTCGTTTGATATCCTTGGCAAAAACATAAAGCGGTCGTACACCATTCAACATGGCTCCAGAGGTTGCTTGCCTGGCAAACAAGATATCGTGCACGTTTGAAATTTGATGAGCACGTGCTTCATCAACTCTCAAAAGATGTGTACGGTAGCGATTATGATAAAGTTGTCGCATATTTTAAAGTGCTCATGGGCCTTCTTGAGGCTGTTGACCAAAAAACAAGTTGCGGGTTTGACCAAATTGCTGTGGATTTCCAAGTCTAGTCGCGATAAAAGCCGCCAGGCTGCAAATTGAGGATAACATCTCGATCCGAATAACACATCCGCCTCACATTGCAAGCAACTGTTGATGATACTTTGGCCCACCAAGCGCACCAACTGCTCCCACCGACTTGCATTTGCTCGATGTTATCGGCTGAAGCAGCAATCATAGCAACCTGCTCAGCAAGGTCGCTTCCGGACGAAGGCGATTATTGAGACACTTTTGATTGATAAGTGAAGAAGATACTTGGAGTAACGATCAATGAAAAGTGTTTAAGAGAGAAACAAAGTGCATTCAAAGACATTGAGATAGATTTTTATATATGATGCTATTTTGAATAACAATGAATTTATCACACCAATGGATACGATGATTTCAAGGGGATACGGCTATGCAGCGTTCAATTTCAGCAATGGGTCCATGCATACACACAATGAATTTTATCCGCTGACAAGCGCGATACCAAATCTCTTGCATCATGCATGATGTCGGTGCGACATCATCGTCCAATCCCATCACACCTACCTTGGCATCGTGCATGCATTCATCAATTACTACAGCGTTCCGAGAACCGGTATTACATGAATCATCCAGCTTTTTAAAAAACATGGCGAGCAAATGTCAACTACTGGCATCTCCATCCAAGTCCATTTTTATCAATACGATTTCCAACTACAGCTAATAGACATCACATGGATCCCAGCAAAATTTCTGTTGTCTTGTTGTATGCAGCTCATCCAATTGCGCCATGACCTAAGGGGGGTGGTGTCCACAATGAATACTGTGCATCATGCAATCCAACTTTTTTACTTGCCTCTTTTGACAATTCGAATGAAAAAACATCAGCGTTGGCGGCTACGCGATCCGGCGAACTTGATTTTGGGATGACAGCCCACCCATGTTGTATAGCCCATCGAAGCAAGACTTGAGCTCGAGAAAGAGACGAATCAGGAATGACGATATCGGGATCTTGTAATAGATTGCCTTCGCCAAGACTCGAATAGGCTTGCACCTGGATCTTGTGTTTTGCACACAATGAAAGAACATCTTGTTGGACCAATCTTGGGTGGAGCTCAAATTGATGTACGTGTGGAACGATGGTGCAATACTCGAGTAGATCTTCCAAATGCCTTGCAGTGAAATTGGATACGCCAATATGCTTAATCTTGCCTTCGTGGTATAGTTTCTCCAATGCTCGATAGCTACCAAGACGATTTTCTCGGTTCACAGGATCTGAAAGTTTCTTTTTGGCTGTTCTATCACGTCGTATGAGATGGGGGTTATCAAGGATGCATGATCACACACTTACCCAGGCCAATGGATCAAGTATAAATCGAGATAATCCAATCCAAATCTCTCTAGAGAATCGAGCACGGCTTGATAGCACTTTTCAAATCCTTGATGCTGTGGTGCTATTCCATATTAGTATTTCCTCGCGTCATCTGTCACCAGTCGTCTTACATAGTTTGGATGTAATAAAGATGTCTTGACGTGACACGTCAAAGGAAGGATCCTCAAAGACCTCTTGTAGAATAGTACCAAGTGCTTCCTCATTGCGATACACGGTGGCAGAGTCTATAGCAACGTTGAGTCTATCGTGTCATGTCGTATGTCAATCGTCCTCCCACCAACCTATGAGTCTGTAACCAGCATGTATGGCTTCGCGTACTACAGGTCGTAGCTCATTGACGTCTTTGATTCGAAATGTTCCCACTATGGGGGCGATCAACGGGTTAGGTTATATACGCGATTGAGATTGGCAAAGGTTACTTGCACCCAAGGACAGGCATGGGGTCACCATTATGGAGTGTGCACGTTGACATTGTATGTAGGGTGGAAAAAAAGAAGGAAAAACCAAGATGCGTTTCTTTATACAAGATAGAATGATTTGCTATAATATAAACTTTTTACATCCAGCCTTCAGACGGCCTCCATTGTTGTTGATTTTCAGGCTGATGTTGTTGTGAGGATGATGCTTGTTGTTGTTGTTGCTGCTGCTGTTGTTGCTGCTGTTGTTGGGGTAATAGATACGCTGTCCAATCATCCAATTCCAAGCTACTTGGTACGGACCAGAATGGATTGTCGGGTCGATTACGGAAATGGTTTTCACAAGCAGCAGTTGTAGTGTTGTTGGTGGATGATGTTTCGGGGGCGTATACATTGGAGGAAGAATAGGGTGGAACGACTGCTGGTTGTTGTTGTTGTTGTAGCTGTCCCATTGTGAACCCAAAGTCAGGGATACCAAACAAGAAACTATCGGCTGAACTTAGAGGAAGCATCATGCTGCCAGCCATTTGTAGGGGCTGTTGGTGTTGTTGTTGTTGCTGTTGGAGTTGAACTTGTTCCACGGTAGGAAACATGGATTCCATTGGTAGACCAAATTGGCGAAGGGAATGCACATCATTATCGGATGATCCTATAATACCATCATTTAGCCACCTTAGGTTTCTATCAACCATTCTCCTATTTACCTGGTATTTCACCTCCAGCTGTTGCTGATGATGTTGGTTCCATGGATGAGTATAAACCATTGATCCATTCGCCATTGATAAACGATGTTGGCGTTGATCCACCACTACTTGGACGATCAGCATCGGATGAACGACTCCCTGAAGGTGTGGTTGTTGTGAGCCTTAAAGGTGATGATCCGTCAACTCCATTTCCACGTGAAGGTATCGTGGCTTGATATTCATCATTGATCTCTCCTTGTGCTTCAATGCCGACCGTATTGGATTGTGTCACAGACTGTAATGCCGCTGCAGGCTGTGGTCGTTGTGGGGTAGGTTGTGGCGGTGATGAATGAGTAGGTTGTTGACGAGTTGTTTTACTAGTGCGCTTTTTGCGTTTATTCTTTTGCTGCTGCTGCTGCTGCTGCTGTATCATTTCATTTTCAGAAACGTCACCTTCATCCACCGAAATGTTGCGTGTCTCCATCAACTTTTTCAACACCTCATATAATCGACATGCTCCAGGCGATAATTTGGAGAGACGTTTGATCACGCTCATGGATCGAATAAGGTTTGCCTTTGCCACATCCGCCACAATCGTATCAGTGCTTCCAGCATTGTAAATGTGAATCAATGAGGCTGTAAAGATTGGATAGATTGCAAAGTTCCAAGACACCAAAAGGAAATCACGATAATGCATCTTTTCAGCAATGTCCACACATCGAGTTGCTGCATTGGTACAAATAGTCAAAGAAGACATTGATAATCGAGTCCCATCCTCATCCTTCTCAATAAAGGGCCGATGCAAGAGAATTAAGAGTGTACAATAGGTGAGATACATGATGCCTAAAACATTTACATTAGTGGAAGGGTTCCCTCGCGTTGTTGTTTTCTATCATTTACCTGACATGGATAATAAAGGTGATTGGCCATGGCTATCAAGACGTCGTACATTGGTGGTTGAGATTTGCAGGGAGGGTGGAAGACTAGCACGCCACTCTGATAGTGTATTATCCAAATAGGTCACAATCGCATCACTGCCATGCTCCGCACTGTGTCGTTTTGCTCTTGGTGTATAAAGGCCTTGCAGAATGCGACCCAAGATTTCGGACAGTTTGACAAGTTGCACAAACGGCTGATAAATCGGGATCCGATCTCCTTTGACCTTTTGTGCAATGCTTCGATCCAGTGAGGGAAATCGCATTTCATAATCGTCACCCTCAGATAACGGGGTATCCATAACTTCATCCATATTGGCACTCTCATTTGGATAAATTTCATCACAATCCTATGATACAGCATCTTTAGCCATCATGCTTATATATAAAAAGGGCCACTCTTACCTCGTCAAAGATGGTTTGTGGGCGACCTGTTGCAGCTGCTGACCACTTGTCAAGGATGTAGACGGACCACCAAACACGCCTTCGAGTCTCCTTTTCACTTTCTGGAATGTCCCAATTGTCACTCGATCGATGTAATCCAAGATCTTGTGCCTATCATCTACATTGAATAACATGTCTTGGAAATGATACTATTGTTATTCACATACCATTCGCGTTGCCTAGTTAACCACGTTGATTAGAGAAAGAGATCCAAAAGTAAACAATGGGACACATTTATACTTACAGCAGAGTTCAAGAGCCATCCACTTGCCATCTTTTCATCGAGACTTGCGCGATGGTATTGACTAATGACGAGAGCTTGTATTGTAGCAACGCATGGAGTTGTATAGCGTCCTTTGAGATAGGTCAATAGGTTGTCGAATAGGCTCTCGGACCATCCTTCTTTCATGTTGGATATGGGAATATCGGAAAGCACCTTGTCGTCGAATATCCGACATGTCTCGATATAGCGTGCAGCGGCGCCATATATGGAGTTGAGGAGTGGTGGTGATGGATAATCGCCCAATTGCCGTCGATATTGCTTGAGAAAAAGAATTTTATTGACGACAGGTAAACCAGGATGAATATAAGCAAAGTAGCTAAAATCATTGTGAGGATCGTTAGTAACGATCGGGCACCATGGCCGCCGTATCCAAGTGAAACAACTTACACTTTCATCAGCCTGTCGCTTGTCATTTTATCAATTCCAGCCACAGTATAGATCCAATCGTTCATTGTATTGATGGTCTGCCCGGGTTTCAGTTTGCCGAGTTGCTGCAATAAGCGTATGTTGCCATTTTGACCCTCCTCATCTTCCTTGTACATGACCAAGCTTTGCCCAAACTTTCGCACCTTGAAGCCGATATGAGATGCGACACGTGCGTCTTCGAAATTGATCTTTTGTGCAAGAAACGGCAAGGGGCTCATGTCACCAATGTACCGTGCGCTGCCACTACTGCTCAAGGATGATAATCCCGATATCCGCTCTTGTTCGGCGACGGCAACTTTTTTGCCCTTTTCAGGAACCGGAGTCGCTGTTGTTGTTGTATTATTGTTGGTACTGCAGGTGCCATTTCCTGGGCCGTGGTTATTATAGCTGTTGTTGCTGCTGCTATTACTGCTGAGGGTGCTGTGATCGTCATTTTCATTCCCAACTGCGTTGTTGTTACTGCGACGTCGTGTCGTTGAAGAGGATTCATCTGCCGTATTATTGTTGGATTCATCTTCATCTGCCAAACCACCCAATATACGCTCCATTCGTTTCAGCCTGTTTTCCAATACTTCAATGTATCTATAACATAAAATGAATAAATGATGGTTCCAAAGAATGGAAAGAGAGGAGAAAAAGTTACCCTTTCGGAGGACCACGCTTCTTGGCGCTTTTTGGAAAAGCATGTCAGCACAACTCGATATGAATATACCTAATCGAGATAAAATTTCCTATTACCTATCGTTAAATGTACACTCGACCTTGGCTGCTTGACAGTTCTTGCAAGGATGACCAGGACCTGCAGTATCGCATTTGATCTTTTTGCGTCGACATCCATCACTATGAGAATACGTGGTATTAGTCAGCCAATGGCTGTTGATAATCATCGTGTCGTTTTTCTTTTACCATGCTCTGCTGATACGCATACGTTTAACATCTTGTTGCCTGTCATCGTGTGATGATAATGTAGTGTTGGATGTTGATGATGGTCGGTATTGAGCATAAGGGGGTTGATGTTGCTGAGTGGGAGGAGGATAAGGTGCTAGTGGCATAGGTTGTAAATAAGGATGTGGTTGGAGAGGTCGTAGTGAAGAAGCATGGGCCGGATAGAGTGAAGCCTGTTGCTGCTGTTGTTGCTGCTGCTGTTGTTGTTGTTGCTGATCGTGAGAGCGATCGTGTTCTGTTGACCATTGTAGTGACATTGAGGGTGTGTTCAATCCTCGTGAATGGTATATTCAATTGTAGAAAGGGTTGGTTAAGCGTCTTTCAATGTTGAATCGACAGGCTCGGGGATTCAACAAAAAGTGTCAAGGAAAGTAGGTGTGTTGTATGTTGCGTGCGTGTATATGAGTTGAGGCAGTGAGCGAGTGTGTGTGTGCGTGTGTGAGAGAGGGCGAGAAAGAAAGAGAAAGAGAGAAATTAAAGGGTGCGTCAGGTAACCTTGAAACACTAAAGTCCGAAGCTTCAATGCCTAATGCTGTTATGTTGCATAGAAAGAGAGACACGTATCCTAAAGATGATGATCATGTTGCGTGAACCCTTTATTTGCAAATGAGTCAATTGGTACCCGATAATTTGTATTTTCTTTGAGTCATATGATCCTATCGGTCAGGTCGCCGAATCACTCACATCTTCCCCGCTATCACGTGTATGCTATCCCATTCTTCCTTGTCATTGTGGCATTCATGCAACAATGTTGCCACGTACCCCCATCTTACTAAACATGGCTTTGTGTATTACATAATAGAGTGGTGTTTATCAGCTTGTCTCCACATGCGGAAGAACTTTATTAGATGGATATATTGCAGTAATCGAAAGGAGCCATTGTAACGCATAAGGAGGAGGTACACTGTGGCGATGATGGGGTGATTGTGGCGTCATAATTCATTCAACCTACAACATGATGCCAATGCTAGCCGTGTTTAATCATCAATCCAAAGGAAAAAAAAAGGTATCGACTTACACGAGTAAATCACGGCAACTCTAGTTGAATAGAGCCCATACAAACAATCGCATCCTCGCTACCGTTGTCGATTCCAAGAAATTCGTGACAATGTTGTTGTGCCTTGAGACCAGCCAATAGTCGATCAGTAGAGAACGTTAATGATACATCTTCATCATTGTTGGTTGCTGATAGTAGCCCAGCTGCATCATTGCCTATGGGTCGTCTCACAATCACTTTCCACTCCTTGTCGTTATCATAGTCCTTGACCACGCAGTCGTAATAGATTACTGATTCAAGGCAATCGTTCCAGTCGGGCTCATTGTACTTTGAAAGCCGTTGTCCTGCAATGCCGTATACTGATTGCTGCTCTCCAATGACATGACCTTTGAATTCGGCATAGGTGCCTTGCTCGTCAACAGGTGGTAGGAAACATAAATGTGCGTGGCCACTGATACGCATGATGCTCTTGTCCAAAAGAAAGGCGTAGCAGTGTAGTTGCTGAGTCTCACACCATGTCAAATAGTGCTCTCATTATCATCATCATCTCATTCGACAATAATAACACATTTTCTCATTGTTGGCAAGACCAAGATGATTTTACTACAGGATACAATACTGATGTGGACATGATTTGATTGTGTGTGTGTGGGAAAGAAAACAATGAAATACTATTTACAGAACGGTTGATGGTCTGCACCAGCTATCTTATCGCATGTAACGCGGGGTTCAAGGTGTGCTTTGGCTTTGGTTGCACGATCAGAAACAGGTGTCGGTTTGTCCAAGGAGGAGGCGGATGCAAAGGCTTGGATGGCAAACAAGAGGATAACGATGATGTCCATTCGTGTCATGGTTGAAATAAGAGAGAGAGAAAGAAATGAGAGATGCTCCATTCATTGGTTGTATATGGCTAAATATATCCCACTTGCTTGCAAGCACCCCCTATTTTCCTTCTTGTATCTTTTCCCGCTAGTACTACTACTACTACAAGTCGCTTCTTTTTGTTCTGGATCGCCGATGATCTTGCAGCTGCTTACTGCTGCTCCTGTTGTTGTTATACATTTTCCTTACTCTTCCTTCTTTCCTATTGGCAAAGCAGCAGCATCAAAGCTATTGGTTGATACACTTTTGCTTGCCCATTCATTTCGTATGTGATGAAGAAAGGGACACATCACCAAGCAAGCCTTTGAGGAAAATGTCATGTTGGGTTGGAATTTGTTATCTCTAAAGAAAATTCATGCGACGATAAAAGTTGATAAGGGTCGTGTAACTGAAATCTTGGTTCCCATATGTAAATGGTCAGGAATGAACAATAAAGATGCAGTACTCATGAGCATAACAGCTGTCGCCAAGGGTCTGCCTGCTTTGTGCTAGCATCACGATTTGCAACTTTGTTTATCCACCACCACCACCCTACCACATTTTCACGTGAAATGCAGATAAATCATATCCTTTGTACAAAATGTCGAGTGTAGCTCACATTTATTTATCAAAAAGGAAGAGGTGATGTATACCAATGAATACGACAATTAGTGTTGCTATGTGTGTGTGTGTGTGTTGGCTAATTTTGATAAGATTTCATTCGACGTATTTCGATTGCGGGGTGATTGTTTATCTTCTTTCCTTTTCTCCTTATGTTTCCACGAGCCGTTCGCAGTAACTTGTCAAGACGAGTGGCATGTCCACGACGACCACCCATTCGACCCGCCATTCGACCACGAGCAACAGTGCGTATGCGCACTATCAGCAAACGGCATCAGTCGTCTGTAGCTACAGCAGAAGAAGCAGCAACAACTGCAACCAATGACGTCCCTTCCACACCCGCCAACAGGGGATTGAGTAAGCCAGGCACATGAAGAAAACAACATTGCTCATACTCACATGCAAGTTATCTAGTGGCACCCCTTGAACGTTATGACGCATTGACTTCTGCAGGCAACACCATTCGAGCGGATCCGCACCAAAGAGCCATTGTGCAAAAGTTGGACGACCTTTGGCATGAGTTACAGCACTACACAGCACCTATCCCGGTGACAAACACACCACCACCACCAGACAAGCATATTTACGATGATTTGGAAGAGTATGAGAGTGTCTTTACTTCTGTGAGTGTGATACCAAGGATGGTGAATTTTAGTGTTACTAATGACAAATGAATTAGGTGACCAAATGGTTCAAGAGCAAAAAGCCTGTTGTCCAATCAAGACCCCAACGACCTGCCAATGTTCCAAAGTCGATTTATGTATATGGTGATGTGGGCACAGGCAAAACGATGGTGATGGATTTGTTCTATGACATGTTACCCATCAAGCGGAAGCGACGAGTCCATTTTCATGCATTCATGCTCGATGTTCATGCTCGTATTCATCGAATCAAGACAAGTCAACCTACATTGCCGAATCCACTAAGTCCTATTGCCGATGAGCTTGCCCGAGATGCCTATGTTTTATGCTTTGACGAATTCCAAGTGACCGATATTGCTGATGCCATGATCCTACGTAAGCTATTTGATGAATTGTTCGATCGAGGTGTTGTCCTGGTGACCACGTCCAATCGTCATCCCACCGAACTCTATCAGAATGGTATCCAACGCCAGTCCTTTTTGCCTTGCATTGATCTATTGATGGAGCGTTGCCATGTATTGAGCTTGGATTCTGGAACGGATTATCGCAAGATGGAACGTGAAATGTCTCAAGTTTACTTTTATCCTCTCACCCAAGAAACGCATGAAAAGATTGATCGCATCACTCGCCAACTCACGCATGGCAAACCGATGACGCCTATGAAATTGGAGTTTTTGGAACGATCCTTGACCGTGACCGAACAAGCCGATGGTGTAGCGCGTATGAGCTTTGCCGATCTTTGCGATAAACCTCTGAGTGCTGCCGATTATCTCCAAATTGTTCAACACTTTCACACGGTCGTTCTTACTGATATTCCACGCATGTCCATGAAGCATCGTGCCATGGCTCGCCGTTTCATTACGCTCATTGACGCTCTTTATGAATCCCATTGTACGTTGATTGCAAGTGCTGAAAGCGACTTTTTGAATATCTTCAACGCATCCGAAGGCAGTGATGAAATTGACGATGAAATGCGCATGATGATGGATGATCTCAAATTGGATACGGTCGAGTCGCCCCTCTTTAGTGGTCAAGAAGAAGCTTTTGCCTTCCAGCGTGCTCTATCACGTCTAGTACAAATGCAAAGCAAGGAATGGATTCAAAAGAACCTGTAGATTAGAATAAATTGTATACCTCTCGTCAAAAATTTGTCTATGTAATGGGATCAAGTGATGTCAAAATGGTGCATGTGCTGCTCAATGTTTACTGCATGATCATGTAGCTGAGCTTCTATATTTGTACAACAACTACCTAATTATCAATCATCATCATGCTCGGTTTGCACAAAGATGTTGTCTACATATGTATTCCATAAAGCGCGGCTCTCATCGGTTTTTCGTGTCATGCGATGAGCTAGATCCAGCCAGCTGCCCACCGTCAGGTTATCCATTGCATACGCTTCATCCGTGCTATACTCAAGCTCAAATCTTGGTAATGCATGATGTTGCTTTTCATTGTTCCAGTAGGTGAGGTTACAGTAGTATTGGTGATAGCGAGTCCAAGTGCCAAAGTGTGTGCTTTTTGAATCGTTGTCGTATTCATTGATTCGGAAACCTGGATAATAGATGGGCAAGATCGGGGGTGCAACGTGTACAACAACCGCCTTGTCTTGGTCGTTTCCATTGACCTGCTGATATTGGTGTTTGAGATTTGTAATATAGCGCCCTGAATCCTTTTGAATGTTGATGATCCTATTTTCTTCTTGAGACTGTTGTTCTTGTTGGAGCACAATAAAGTGGTCATAGTTGACATGTCCATAAAGATGAGCCGCGATGACATCTCGGAATTCGATTGAGAGCTGAGTATAAGCGGTTAAGCAACTACCATAGAATGTACGTGACGAGGGAGGCACATGGCCAATCACATAGACACGTGCTTGCATTTTACGGGCTTTGGTGAGTTCCTCACGTATCCATTCGAGATGACGCTTTCCAGCACTTTTTGGGTCCTTGCAAGCAAGGACTTGGTCATTCGATTCAAAGAAATACAATGTGTTGAGCGAAAGTACACGGATGCCAGGGAGTATGTTGACAGCAAAATAGCCTCCTTGTCTAAAGACTTCTTGTTGCTCGCGTGGAATCATGTCGCTCCACAATTTACTGTAAGCATCGAGAGTGGATGAAGCAGTGGATCGGAGTTGATTGTGTGGATGGACATCATTGTTGCCTAAATAACAATGGTCAACAAGTCTTTTCTTGCCGTAATAGTAGAATGAGCAATGTATACATACCTATGCATGGTACAATAGGGATGGTCTTGTTATTTTCATCACGAAATTCCTCTTGTAAAGCAGTTGTTATTTTGTAATTGAGTGCCAAAATCTCTTCTTTTGTTCTTGGAATCTTCTTGTCAAGGTCGTGTCTACGATGGGTCATCATCAATACATTAGCAAGTTTTTATGCTGTATGCGTTACCTTGCATTATCACCGGTCCATACAATAAAGTCTATTTTGTCCTTCCAATCATCGGCAATGGTCTTAATAGCATGATAGACCCATGGCTCTGATGAATCGCAATCCGTGGTAGGAGCACCCCAGTAGCCTGACAATTTGCCTTTGCGTTGCTTTTTCTTTCGATGCTTCTTGGGTTGGTTGTGGCAACCGGATTTGATTGTTGCTCCATTTTGATAATGTGGGTCAAGCTGTTGATGGATATGAAAAGTGGTCAATACGTTGGAATAGGAGGGGGAGAGAATCGACAAACAACAACACGACGACGACGTACGTGGATATCAGTAATATGTAAGAATCTTCCATGCAGGTTTGTATTAGGATGTACTGCAAATGTATGTTGTTGATGCTGTGCAAATGCAGGGACAGCAATGACTAATGCAACCAAAGTGACAAGCCAGTGCATTTGGTGGAACAAAGAAAGAAGGATAAAAAGCTATTGCCTGGGGAACCGATGTCGTCAAGGAAAATCTATGCACCCTTACTTTTCCTTTTTTGGGACATGGTGGTACAAACGAGGGCCCAAAATGCCTTGCACTACATGGTCCGTTCTTTCTTTCATCTTTTTTTTTTTCCCTTTTATCTGTTACTCTTGAGCTCCTGAGTATCATCATCACCACTAATACCGCTCCTTAATACTACTACTCTCACACTCCATTCCTTTCCTTCACTCTTGTCCCCCACTTTGAACTCATGATTGAATACTTGCTGTCAGCTGCAATGGCCATTGGGCCAGCATTGGGTTACATTGATCAGGTCAGTCTTGGCATTGCCGGTCAACAACTACTTTTACTCATTTCAAAAGCTTTTTTACAGTACTTTATTATAAAGAGACAACAATCGAGCAGTGGATTTAATCCTGTAACATGTGCGATCCTCTTGTTTTCAAAGTAAGCATGTTCTTGTTGTAGTAGTTTATGCAGCGGAATACCATTCCTGATTTGTCTCACATCATCGTCATCATGTAGTATCGTGCGCATCTTTTTCTGGCAAGTAACATGAGATGACCCATCTATATACAACATTCTATTAACATGTTGCCCTTTAATGATAGGTTTGGCAAACGCTTCGATACGACATTGTTGATTCAGTCAGCCGTCATGATCATAACACAATCAATTCTATTGGAGACTGTTGTACGCCATCGCACCCCTGAAAAGCACGAGAGTGAACCATTAAAGGACCAAGAACAAAGACGACTACGATGGTACGATACGTTTTGGCAATGGCCCCATTATTTGGATTACGTCAACTGCCTCTTGGGCTTCACGACCGTCGTTGGTGTGGCCTATGTGCTATTGGGCAAGCTGCCTTGGTTTGTGGAAGCTCTGGGGATCATTAGTCTTGGCATAGAAAGCACATTACCACTACCACAATGCATCTCGAATTTCAAGACAAGATCAACTGCTGGATTTAGTTTGATTGTGCTGGCCACATGGGTAAGTCATCAACATTATTCTATTGTTAGTGGTTGTTGTATATGCTCACAACAAAGACCGTCATCTACTGCTCCTTGTAGTTTCTGGGAGATGCATTCAAGCTCTTTTACTTTATCTACACCAACGCTCCTCTTCAATTTGATTTGTGTGGCGCGATCCAGCTTTCGATTGATTCATTGATTGTCATGCAATCCATCCTCTTTTCAACCAAAGTGAAGACATGGCTAGGGATCCACCACCCACATCCAGATAAACACTTCTATGCATCGATACCTTAAAGAGCACACTAGAGTGTCATAATAATGAATTTGTTCATTAAATGGATATCAGCTAGTTCTAGTGGTAATAGCAATTATAATAGGAGTTGCTTTGTAGATTGGGGGTACTATTTATGGATTATATGACAGAAGAAGGTGTTGTGGATGCAAATGCATAGAAGGAGATGAGGATGATGAAGACTACTACAAATGTAATTGCTGTATAATAGTGAATGATGATGGTGGTGGTGGTGATGTGGAATGTTGTCGCAAGGTGATCAAGATCGATTCATCTTTAGAGGAAACCATTTGCGTGTGGGATAATTGTTGCCGAGGATATCATCTTCTATCGGCTCAACAGGAGAATACTTTAGCGGTTTAGGAGGGTATTGGGTAACGACAGGGGGAGGAGGCTGGATGGTGGCGTAAAAGTGATCCTGCTGCTGCCCCTTGCTAAAAGGAATAGTAGTGTTGTTGGCGTCTCGATGATTGTTGTCATCTTCATCACATATGGCTGTTTTGAACTTGGCACGCAAATAAGCTGATGACCGTCGAAGAAGATTACGTGCGCATCGTCGTCGTGGTTCAGTTACACTTCGATGTATTGGAGCATAATTAAAGGGTGTTGGCATTGTTCGTGCGAGTGGCGTAGGTGCTGTTGTCGTTGAAGATGGTTCCACATGTTGTTGATTATTCGCATCATGCCGCTGCTCGTCTTCGCTGTTGATACTGCCATTGCTTATGCTACTGCTATCGTAAAGACTATCGCTGCTGATCGTATGGGGTTGGAAGCAAATGCTATGTCGATACTAGAGATCAAAGTCATGAGCATGTGATATATTAGATGCATGTAGAATACTTGTATAAAGCCTGCTTACACCCAACTGCTCCATTTCAGCATGCAAACGCGTTCGTCTTTTATCGAATTGCCGAATGAGACTGTGTGAAAAGGAATCGCTGCTGTCATGGTCGATTGCCATGGGCAGCCAGTTTTGTAAAGAGGGTTGAGCTGCCGGCTGCTGGGCACGAGACGCCGACATGTATTGATGTACGCTGTATCGAATATACGAACAAGACTTGGAAAAGTAAGCAAAAGGATCAAGAGAATGAAAAGAAAGGTTTATAAAGGTGATCGCCTACAGAATGATAGGTCGTCCCTCCTTCCACACTTTTATGTTTATAATGCACGTGTCTCATGTCGCGCCCGTCCGACATAACAGGTTTGCTGGTCTATGCTCACTTGCTAGCATCCCCTCTCTTGTTCCTCCTTCATCGTCTTTGTATCATTCTCCTTGTCGGGAAGAAACCTAGCAATTCCATATCCAAAACCGATACACTTACAATGTCTCATTATCTACATTCTCATGCATACCTTGAATCAATACATTCTATTATTGAATTTGTGTGGGCCAGGACAATCGGTAGCACAATCGTGCTACGCGCAGCAAATTAAAGTCCATTTTCTCAGCTATAGACCTTGCTTACCAAAACATCACGTAAAAGGGATCCGCTACTAAAATTGACATGGCTCGAATATGAGATCCCACATTGTAAAGTCATTCAATCATAGCGTTGACTTTCATTCTCAAGATGGTTCAGCCAACAAGTTGATGCTTTTGTTAGCGGATAGGGCAGCAGAGTAGTATGATTGATACATTGTCTCATGTCATTAATGTGTATTGGATCGATGGTTTTCATTGAAGGAGCTGGATGGTTTTATCATTAGATCGTGAGTACCCACGATAACAAGAGCTTACTGTATTCGAGAAAGAAAGGATACTATGCATAAGGGGTGTATGGGATTAACTAGTTGCACTGTTCTACAAGCACGATCAAGTCCAATAATCGTTGTCTGAGAGGATGGCGTCTCCCCTCTTATTCAATGCCGATATGAGCAAAAGTGCGGCCTTTTCTTCCTATCGCTTGACCACCCACTTGCCATGAAACCAGACGATGTCGTTGTGCAACTAAAACGCAATGGCTCCTTTGATCAACTACGCAAACAGCTACTCACAGACTTTCAGAATGAGGTACGCATGCTATCGGCAGACAATGGACTATGCTAATGCAACGCAACTTTTATTTAGCCTGAAGGCAAAGCATTTCTAGCCAAGATCAACGACTTTATGGAGACTATGATACTCAAGGATCCAACACTGCTGGAAAAAGATCGTTCAGCGTTCCTTTCGTTGGTTACCAGTGAGCTGGAAAAGTATGGGATTGGCGTCATTGTTGGGTGTGTTTCATTGTTCAGTAATGGACCTTGTCTATCGTATAGGGAAGGCATGTATCAATCCGTCAAGGAACAGGTTCTTGAAAACATGCTACAAAAGAAGGATTATCAAGATCAGATCGATGAGCAGATGGAACAAGTGATTGCTAGTCGTCAAGAGCCTTCGTCGTCGTCCTCGTCATGATACGATGCAACAATCATGCGATGCGGTGGATCCACCAGCAGCAGGATACTCGTCGTCGTGCAGCAATCACCGAATGCTTACAACACGTCAATGACCGGTTCATAGTTACCTTCCATAATCATGTGGGGCAAGTGATGCTTAAGGATGGAATAGTTGTGCTAGTTGCTAGTGCTGGTTTCCTTTATTCAAATAAAGAACCCATTTCATTGTCGCTAAATAACGATGGTGGTGGTGGTGGGATGTTCATGCTTTGAGATTGACTACAGCTGGCGGAAGAACTCAACTAAATCCACGCTCCTTTTCCTGATACACATACACACACGCACAGAGAGAGAGCCATGGACCGTGTATTGCGCAACAAGATACTTGTCGTTGGTACAGGCGTACTGGATTTTGTACGAGGTAGCATGCATATCCATCCAAGCTTGTTTCTTGTTTGTTCACTGTATTGCCAGGCGTTTTCAAGTCGTGTCAACTTGACTTTCCTCAGAAGCTGGTGGACGATGAACTAAAGAAATCGAACGGCTCCCATTCTGGCATTCGTATTCCTTGGAAGATCACCACCAAATACTACGTTGCCTCGGTAGACTTTTGGTTGGACGAAATGGCTAGCGATGTCGATCACAAGGAGGTCATCAAGGGCTACACTGATCCCGACAACGGTGTTGGTCAAGTGGTGGATGCGTTCGTCTATGTGTTTCACAAGGATAACGTGAGCAAAAAAGTTTCATGCGAGGTGTATAGTGTGGTTGCTAATACAATGGTTGCTAGGTGAAGAGCTTTGAAGGTGTCAAAGATTGGATCTCATTTCTGGACAAGTATGAACCATCTATTCGATTATGCGCCGCATTGCCGTTCAAGGAAGAGAAGAAGCAAGACTTTGAAGACATTGAAGAATGGTGCCTTGATCATCAATTTGAATACGTTGATATGGATGAAAAGACCGTGGAGCCTCTTGACAAGGGTGGATGGGATCTCGCTGTTGATATACTTCAAACAAACTTGTGGGATGGTATGAAGGAGCACAAATCGTCTCATGACAAAGATGATGAGCAAGCAGCAGATGAAGAGTTACTGAGAGGTAGGTTGTTTATGGTGGAACAATCAATGTCAATGCTAAAAACGGCTACACAGAGTTACAAATGCTGAAATTGGAGAACGAGCGTGACCAAGGTATGAACCTGAAATCATCACCTATTATTATCATGAGCTTACATGTATACTTTATAGGTGAAGCTGATATGCCATCCCAGAGTGAAATCAACGAGATGCAAAAGCTCCTCTTCAATGATTTGGACAAGGAAGATGGTTTGGATAAGGCATTTGAAACGATGCAGGCTTTACGAGGTAGGAGGGTGAAGGATGCTAATTATGGAAGATGATGACGCTAACATCAAACAATAGAACAAGGCAAAGACTTACCGGATGAAGAGCGGCGGAAACTTGCAGCCAAGGTGGCCTTGTCATTTGCAGCTCAACTCGGTGTTTAGATGACATGATCCTATTTGTACATTTTGCCCATACATAAACCATGACCTTTTTTATCGAGATTGATGATTGATTGATATCTCAGACCATGCGGCATAGTGGTACATACGCCGCGGGTTTATGCTATTGTTACAGTGTTTGTTAATGCAAGGGATCTCTTATTTGTTTGCATCCATCTACGCATTTGGTTTTTATGAGGAGGGTCGATGAATCCAAGGAGACAATTAGCACATGTACATTATTGAATTCAACAAGCATCATTATTACATACAACCGAAAAAAGAAATTCGTCAACAAGAATAGCACAGGAATTTCATAGAGTGGCTCACTTTCACTGCTGCTACAGCAGACTCATTGTGTCACCAGGGGTTGCCAAGACGCTTCTAATCAGGAACTATCTTTTGACTCCGTTCATAGGTGAATAGCTCAACAACGTGCGCCGCTCCGTGTCGACCCAATTTTTCTCTCTTTTCCCGCTGGGCTACGACGATGCGGTCAGTCTTTGGATGTCTACTACTGCTTTTCATCTTTTGCTTCCTCAATGCACTATCACCCGTATTGGGTCATATGTCTCCACAAGAAGTGGATGTTTTGATGCAGCAAGATTTACTCAAAAGAGGTAAAAGTGAATGATGGTTTATATGCTTTAAAAGCAGCTTTTTAATCATTTAACTTTTTGTATAGCACCCCAAGGTATATATAATCATCCACATACGATCATTCACGAACAGCTCAAAAACCATCTACATTCTATCTCTAGCTGATACAAATCCTTCGGCACCACCAGCGAGTGGACAACAATCACAATCACAAGGAGGAGGAGGAGGTTCAGCACCTGCTGGATCGAATGGAGGAGGAGTCAACACAGCACCACAAACAGCAGCAGGATCGAGTTCAGCAGCACAAGGAGGAGGTGATGCACTTGGTGACTTACCAACATCCACCAGCTTTGGCAATACAGTGTTTCCAGGCAGTGCTAGTTTCCTTACGCCTACCGGTAGTGGATCCGTATCACCTCTTTTTCGTATCGATGGCCGAGAAAATGTCACCTTCGTTTGGGAATATGAATCGGTATCCGTACGTCCTGTCAACTTGACGCTTGCTGCAGCAGGTCCCAACTCTGTCACTTATACCATTGCCGCTCTTCAAGGCGGTGCCACCAGTGCAGAATGGCATATTGCAAACATTCCTCGAGAATCCCCTCTGATGAACGGCTACTACGAGATTCAACTCTATGATCAGCGAGGCATCTCAGCAAGCGAATCACCTGGTTGGCTATCACCCCAAACGACTTTGACCATTGCATTCTATTCCGGAGAGACGTATGCAAATGCAACCGATACAGCTGGTAAAGTTATTAAAAGCAAGGAGGGGGGAGAAAAAGAGAGAGAGTGTGCGTGTGTGTGTGTCCTAAAAAGGGGGGTTTGGTAACTGACATAATGGAAACCAATAGGTAATGATTGTCCGATATGCTTGTACGATGCTGCATCCACCTTCAAGGCATACGGTACAACACTTGGAGTTGCTCTCGTGACCTCTGCCTTCTTCATCTATGGTATCCTCTACTAAGTATGCATGCCGCATAAACGCCATATATATCAACGATTGGCTATGAGTCATTCAAGTACAAAATATACAAACAAAAAGACGGCTCTCCGGCACCTTTCTTTTTCTTGTTGCATGTCCATTCAACCTATTTCCACAATGACGCATCGGCTTATCAGCTATATTCCAACAAGATCATCATCCACACATGCTGCTGTATAAAGAGATAGTCACTTGTAATCCAAAATTAAAACAAGATCATTTACAGGGACCTATGCTGCATAATCACGAGTGATGGGTTATGGTCGTTTTTTGAATGAGCGCACGAGTATTGCCTGTCATCGGATAATCAGTTTGTTGTGATTCCTTGCATGCTGCATTATTACTGTTATGCCCCCAATGAGCGCGTAATGTCATATATCAGAGTGACATAAGGGATAAGGGAGAGGTCACATCAAGGGATGATTATGCGCGCTGTTTCAAGGGTGGGAACAAGTGCACATTGGAACGGGTGTTGGCGGATAGGGAAACGCGTTCAACCCAAATCGCATTCAGACGACATTTTAGGAAAGCACCTGCTGTTGCTGTTAAACAGAAGAGCTCTCTCTCTACAAGCACACCGAGCACACCTTTTCTTTTCTTTCCCATGGAACTCAATATTTGCTTGTATTGCGAAAAGCGTCTACTCGATGATGTATGTTGCATTCTATCATCATTCTACGCCATGACAACCATGTTCTGACTCGGTTATTTCTAGTCGCTGTCATTCTGCTCAACGACTTGTCAAGCCAAAGAAGCTGCCAAGGCACCCGACACTGAGCTATTGTTCAGCAATATCACCCACCATCATTCGCATCGTTTTCGACACTCCTCGGCAAATATGATCTGTCATAGCCCACCACTATCACGGATCTCATCCACTTCTTCCTCAACAGTCTCCTCAACGGATGATGGATCTTCCATCTTTCTTCCATCCGATGACAAGCATGTAATCTAAAACCGATTATGTGTGTTATCAACCTTTGTCTTTTTCTTCTTCACGCCTTTTTTTTGTCTCTCTCTCTCTCTCTCTCTTTTTACTTTTCACTCTTTCATATATGTTATCCTCTTTTCTTTGTCATGGCATTTCTTCCTTAGATTGTAACCATTATGTCCCCACCCCCTTTTTTTCACATTGTATGTATGGTCCCTTATCATGTACATGTCGTCCCTTTATATGCTGGCACATCTTTATGACTTATTCAGGCACAATTCCATTCGTTGTACAAAGTTTCCACTTTCCCATTGCTCACATCATTAGTATTACTTGTATAAATGTCGATCATTACTTATACGCACAGACTAATGATGGACTTGCCTCTTGCCTAGAGTGACCATGAACGCGTATTGGGTGTGTAACGGACCAAAAAGACGGGGCCTGTGCGCGGTCCAATTGATGTTGATCTTTTTTGGATCACACAAAGCTGATCCCTCCGCAACGTAAAGGTTGCGTATTACGCCCTACGATTGATAAGAGAACGATACAGAGGACATCCCACCTATCACTGGTCGTTTAATTCCTCACATGACAGCTACTTATCCCCCCCTTGCAGATAGGTATTAAGATTTTTGATGGCTACACGACGACTTTTCATAAATAGTGTGCCTCAACAAGCAGCAGGGGCGACGTCATTCGATCCACCACCACCAGGGTGTCGTTCATGATTTGATGCTTCCTTCTCATAAAAACCCCCCTCAGCTTACGCTACGATAAACATTTATTCATGCACGCCAACCTTTGTTTGTATACAGAGGATAGCATCATACTTGTTGGCGTTCTACTTGCGCATCCACAAGTCTCATTTTCCTTTCGTATGGAATCGAAGACGTAATACCGCCCCGTAACTATCGCTATCACTGGCTTCCTCAATACATCGCAATGGATCAGGAATCCAACACGTCGATAAATAGATAAAGCTGAGATGGAAGTTAAGGTTAGTGAAACCTTAACTTTGAAGCTTGGTGCGCTTTAACTCATGTGCCGCGTTTTTTTTGCTATCATGATGCACAACAAACCCCACACACAGCATCACCCATATGTGTCGAATGCCCAGGCCAATTTGTGTATGGGGTAGTGTTTTCAAAGGGTGGTATGTTGTACTATGCATATAGTGTCTCCAATGGCTCATGTCATCGCGTTGCTATGATACCAGGTGTTGCTGTGTTAATTCTGCAAGGGTCGATCGCGCACATGATTTTTCACAACGACCAAAAGTCATTCATCTGCTCGTCACACGTCATCTGTTTATTCGACTTGAATGGCTCTCTTAAAGGAAACAAGGTTCTTGACATGAAAAGTATTTACTAAGAAGATGAGTTTACAAGCAAGAAGGGGATGGCCATCAATCAATCACGATTTAAGATGATGCATGTTTAGAACGATATTGAATAACCAACGCATTCTCCCACAGAGCGATAAAGTGTATTTTCATATAGCATTATTGAGGGTGGATGAAGAAGAACAAGGGCGATGGGGTTATTCGATGTCTGATGTACAAGTTGTAGCTTCTGGTACTTCTGTGCTTGTCGTATCAGCGTTTTCAGTGGCATTCTCAGCATTGATAACAGGGGATGAATCATTGGCTGGGGCCTTGGATTGGAATCGAGGATCGGTCCGCCACTTTCCATAGCTCAAGAGTTCCATGTTGGCTGCTTCGGGTGTGATGTGTAATAACGAACCGGCATCTTCATGTTCACCTCCTTTGAGAAAGTGCTTGATAGCTTCTTCACCGAGCTTGCCTTCCTTGACATGGGGAAGGTTACTGTCGTACTTGACAACAATCCACGCGTTATTCGAATTGACCCAATGAATATCCAAAGGTACCAGTTTGGGATACAGCGCTTCAATGGACATGTCCTGCATGCCTGATGGTATGCCTGTGAGGTACAGCCGGTTTGGAAGCTCATATACAGCTACAAAAAGACAATGAGTACCATAGTCGTTGGAGGGAGGGATACCCAAAAAGGGGCGAACAATGTACTTACGTGTTGGCTCTGGACCAGTAAGATCAAGATAAGGATAATCACTTCTCATTTGATATAGCCGGTTGTAGTAAGGAATCAGTGTGCTTGCCAAGAAAGGATTCTTGTTCTCTTCAACTGCCTCTTTGTCTTCTGTTTTCTCCTTTTTCTCTTTGTTATCTTTGGCTAAATAGTAAGGATTAGCTACATGCCATGTTTTCAATCATGCATCCACTTACCTTCGGATTCATGGATATACCGCACAAAGCCAAGATAGATCGTACCAGTCATATAGGCGTCAAATCCCGCTTCATGCTGTGGTGATTCACCATCGTGGGTATAGCGGTCATAACCAGGAGCCATCTCTTTTCAAGTACCATTAGCATAGATCCTTGCCATAAGATCATCACCACCCAATATCTTACCAATACGGATATCACTTGCCATCATCTCATCATGAATTGTATTGTACAAGGGAAGTAAAGCTGTTGTATCAAAGCAACGCTATGATTATGGAGCGTTAGCTACCATATCCAATTTCTGGGATCCATTGCTTACCTTTAGCCTGGGATGAAACTCAGCCATATACTTGGTGTCGACAATGCTAAAAAAGGGGTTGGAAGATTATTAAGATGCTTGGATTGGGTTGTTTGCATACTTACTTGGACCACATATCGGTTACAATTTCTTTGAATTCATGCAAATGTTCGGGAAGGTATTGCCAAAATTGGTCCACTGTGTGACAGAGATCCAGAACACCATTATGTACAATGATTGGGCATTCAGCCGACTTGATGAGCTCGATGATGACACGGAAATTCAATTCATTCTTGATCTACAAACCATTCATTGAGCATGATGAGCTATTGGCGTGATTCAATGACTTACATATACACGTCGGGTCTTGTCTCGCTTTTCCTCGGCTGAAAGCTTAAAGATTTGCATATGCTTGGTATCACGACTTTTGGCCATCAAGAAACCATTGTATCGCCTAAATCAATACATTATGGATTAGCACATGTGATACATTATGCATTTGTGATCACTTACGGATGTTGTAGCTCTTGATGTAAAAGGCGGCGGATGAATGAATTATTGGTTTGGACCAACAATGGTGATCGTGCTTTGCCATGTTGTAGCCAATGATCGATATTTGACCTATAACAAACACACATGGTTACTATGCCACTTGCTTCTTTCCATATGGGATGCTTACCTTGTGGTTTGCAGGAACTTTTTTTGTGGTTTGGTGAGCGATTCCACTATGTAGAAAAGGAATGTGAATAAGGATGTCATGATAATGGCAAGGATGATGTGATCCACGTACAATCAATGTGATTCTGGCGGTTGATGACAGTTCTAGTTGTACCACGATAGCCTTTACTCTCGATGCCCGTCTCAGAGTAGTTGTAGAAAGGAATGCCACCATCAATGAGCTTGTTGAAATCAAACTTGTGTTCACGTAGAAACTGCAAGCTGCTGGCATTGGATAAAAAGGTACGCTGGCTCGACATGCCTTCAGTATCGCCACCGAAAATGAAAAAGTTGAAGGGCTTGGCTGTGTAATGTCGATCATCCACCTTTTTAAAGGCGCATACGCCGTATTGAATAATCGAAAACTCTTTGGCTGCCTGTCGCATCTTTCGATATCGATCGTTCATATCATCGCTGTGCTGAAAATGGTGACCACTCGTCATTAAGCCTATTGGAGAAAACGAGTATAAGGTATCGTCCACGTTGAACACTGCAAGGCGTCTCATTCATACCAGTAAACTCGGCATCGATCGATATGCAATCAGCCTCCAGCAATGCTTTCTTGATTTCAGGCAAGGATCGTACGAAATCTTGTTTGAGGATCTCCATGATCTGGAAGCGAAAGAGGAAGGGACCTTGACAAGGGAAGCGTACCCTCTATTTGACATTACGCGACTGCTTTTTAATCAACCTTTGCCCCCTTCTTTTTTTTGCATGGCTCATCAAGTAGAAGATATAGTACGGATATGAAGAAGAATGATTGTAGGTGCATGGGAATGGGTGGATGATAACCCTGGACGCAGTAGACAATGGCACATTTTTTGGATGCAAATTCATTCATGAAGCGATAAGCAAGACGTCGATGCATGAATTCGCACTACATCCAAGACATCCCTTTTCATTGATTCGACCACCACGTTTGAAAACTTCAAAAGTGATCCATTGTGTACAATAAAGGCTAGCAGATTGTACCATATCCACTCATACTATCGACCCACATTACACTGATGCATCATGGCATGGACGAAGAAAGTTTATTCCAAACGTGCATTTATATGACAAAAGGGCACTTTCAAGCATGTAGAGTATGACCAGGAAGATCATTGTCGGTATCCTTTGTGTATGTGTATGTGTGTGTGTGCGCGTGTGTATGTTTGCACATGTGAGGAGAAAGGGAAGACTAAAGAGAGTAAGCTCCGGTCAGTCACATAGAGAGCCCCTTCTTCCTTCTTCCTATCTATGGCCTTCAACTCTATCCATCGTTCACGTTAATGACACTAAGAGACAAGGGAGAGCCTGATATTGAACCCGTGCAGGTAAACCATTTCCACCATTCCCATGGGCGTGCTTTATGCAAGATGATTGGCGACCTTGGTTCCAGAATCCAGTGACACTTTTCTACACCACCCCCCTTCAATGACCCACATTGTGATATCCATCTAATATACAAAGTTCATTTGTAGTTCCATAGCGCCAAGGAACTGGACGCTGACTTCGCTTCCATGCTGGCAGTATATCGAGACAAGGAAACAGAGCACAACTGGGAGTCGAGAGACAAGTCGGTTACGCGCCTTCGAGCTATTTTACGAGGAGACTCGAATGAAAAGTTCCATGACAACTTGTTACTCGGGTTTCGACAAATGGTGGATGGCATTATCAAAGCTGTAAGTGCAAACATACACAACAAGTACGTTGCTATGGAATTAATCCCATTTTGTTTGTCTCCAAGGTGGAAAGTTTACGTACATCGCTTGCATTGAATGCTCTTACACTGGTTGGAGAAATCGGCATTTATCTTGGACGATCCATCGATCATTACATCTATGAGCGACTTGCAGATTGTTTGGTGCGATGTTCAACAACAACCAAAAAAGTGATTGCTTCAGCATCTCTCAAAGCAACGACGACCTTTTTACGACATGCAACATATTATCACAAGGTCATGAATATGCTCGCTATTTCGATGAATGAAAAGAACAACCAGGCACGCGACTTTACAATCACCTACGTCAAAACAATCCTTCAATCACACGCACATCGAGATCATACACGAGCCATCATGGATCGATCCGGCAACACGGAGATCATGGTCAAGATACTCACCAAGGGTATAAATGATGCGACACCATCGGTCAGAGAGAATTGTCGAGAAGCGTTTTGGATATTCTGGGAATATTGGAGAGAACGTGGTGAAAAGTACGGTTTTACTCTTGGAGATGGAGAGTGATGTCTTATCATTTGTTCTTATTCTTGTTTCTGCAGTATTCTCAAAAATTTACAGCCGCCAGCAAGGAAAGCATTGGAAAAGTCAAAAGCAGCAGCTCTTGCATCAGCATCAAAGCAACGAGGTCTACGAAGTCCAACGAATTCGAGCAGCTCTCTAGGATCACATCGCAACATGGGTGATGCGCATGACTCTGTATCGCCATCTTCATCCAGTGCATCCAATGGATCTGGTACATCAAACGAGCAGCATTCTCATCATGACATACCCCGAACAATCACTCGTTCAATATCACCAAGAGCTTCATCACCATCCATTCGAAGCACGTCACCCCATTTAATGCGTTCAACTTATGGATCACCACCACCTGTGCCATCACAACTTCATGCATCCTATATGGCACCACCCACATCTCCTCCGCCACCACCCGCCACAAACGCCACTCGAAAGACACGTGTACCCGGCTTATCTCGGAAAAAGTCGACTATTGGATCCGGCGCCAAACGCAAATTGAGTCTCATGTCCATGTTGACCCATGATGATTTATCAATGCGATGTGATGGATTACACATGTTGGCACGCAAATTGGCTAGTCATCCTTACAGCACCATTCATGATCTTTCGGGTATCCATATTGACAGTTCTTCGGGTGCAGTCGATGGTCCAAAGTTGAAGGAGGTTGTTTGGGGGATGTTTCAAGAAGACAATGTGCGTTTGTATGAGACATTATCCTCATGGGAAGGAGTGGCTGGTCTATTGATGAAATTGGTTCCTTTCGACGAGTATATACCCAAGCTGATTTTGGATGCGTCGGCAGATGCTGTTTCTCTCAAGACCGAAGATGACATTACCAAGTTTGAATTCGCCAATCAAGCCTTCAAAAAGGTCAAGATATTCTTACGACGACATGATCCTGATCTTGCTGAACGACTCTTTGCCGCAGTGGATGAAGTTGGGGGCTTAGGTTCAAGTACACCATCGCTAAGACGGCAAGCAAGCAACATGATGATGATGATGGGTGGTAAGAAAGATCCAATGCGGCAACCAGCTGTACGTCGCAAACTCACCAGCCGCTATCTCGAATGGCTTGATGAGTTGGTTATGCCTATCCTTGGCTTGGATGTCAACACCAATGAAGAATCGGAGGCCGATTTAGCAGCAGCAGCTGAATGGATTGGAGATGTACCTGACAACGTGGCCTCAACATGGTTCGATTCGGATGCACATGTACGACAATGCCTAGCAAAATTGTTACCCCCTGTCAGCACATCAGCGCCTGGTTCTATTGTTCATACACCCTTGGTTTCACTTGTTGCTCATTTACGTCTCGTCAACCAAAAGCTATTTGAGATTGCCGCTTCAGCGTATGACACATCCACAGTCAACAAGATCAGCCGAGTGCTTGGTATCCATATTCGAGCTATTCCTGATTACGTGTGTCAAGCAGCACCGATTGATCATGAACCAGAACAAGTCTCAGATGTTGATGATGATCTACAATTGGAAGAACAACAACCTATTCAAGATGAAGTGGAAATGGCATCTGTTACATCACATGATCCAGTGGCAACTGATACCAGCCCGGCAACAACACAAGATACACCCAATTCGATACCGCAGCAATCACCCATCAATGAAACGATCCCAACTTCACCAGTAGTTACCCAGCCAACCATTTATAATGAAACAGCATCTCGCCATCACCATGACAACGACACCCTGGAATTAGATTCACAAGTTACTTCTTCACCTCCTCCACCACCTCCTATTTCTCATGAGCCTCATTCTCCATCCGTGGCACCACCACCACCACCACCACCATCTCAACCTGTCATGGAATCGATGCCGGATACCCCAGCAGCCGAAGAGCCCATTAAATCACCCATACCACCTTACCCCACTGAATCTGTTCCTGAACCAGAGCCATCACCAGAGCCAAGTAGACCATCTCCCACTTCATATGCCCCTCCTCATGATACACCAACAACCTCAGCTTACAATACTGCCTCCGACATGACAACCACCACCACCAATGGAATGCACATGGATGATCTTACAATTCCTATTTCTGCACCAGTAAGTTTTGGCGTCGATGTTTGATTATATTCTTGCTCATTGTATGAATGCATTCATTGTTGTAGTATCACAATGACACACCAGCACATCCACTCGTTCCAAATAATCACAAAGCAGACGATATGCCACGTACGGATGCTCCCATTAATGGAATACTCACTCACCATCACGATGATATCCATCGTCAGCATCAAGGATTGAATGGCTTAATGGCACACAATTCATCACTACACCATGAAGACTTTGATCATTCGAGAAATATTGATTTTGCGCCTAATTCGCTTAATGATCGATCGAGTGTTTCGGGCAGTGAAGCAGGTCTTGTATCCTTGGATTCAGCCACATCACCAACACCACCACTACCACCATCGAGACATCAGCATGCCACACGACCCACCATCAGCACTGAAACAAGCAACAACAACAACAACAACAAACCCCCTCGTCGTATTCAAGGCACAATGACACATGTTCCATACTTTGCACCCAAGCAAGTGGATGATCCTTTGCCTGTATTTGCCGAGAATAAGCGATCGGAGGCGAATGTAGCAGCAGCAGGCCGTGGTGGCAAAGATAAGACAGCGACATTGTATGCTATGGTGGATAAGCTCAAATCGGCATCGGCTGACAATGGGACCTTCCGTAAGTTGGCGCGCTTGGCACGTGAAGCATCCATCATCCAACCATGGGATCAAGGTGGTGCCAATGAAGCATACAGTGAGGTGTGGGCAGGTGCTGATAACAATGGTGGTAATTTTGTGGAGCTCATGCAAGGCATCTTTATCTACCTTGGTGATGGCGGCAATGATCATGGTTGTAGCAAAACAGTATCGATGATTACCGTTTTGGATCTCATACGTCAGCTGCTGGTTACTCAAGTGGGATTATTCAAGTATTACGAACGTAAGGTGGATGCTCAAGGCATGAGTCTAGAAGCACGATTGACTGAAAGATTATTGGTTGTGCGAGCCAATGATGATCCCTCGGTACGTATGTCAACATACAAAAGTGAACGCATGGCTCATGGCATATATATGATTAGGTATCAACGGGTGCTGAGGATGCCCTGGATACATTATTGAGCGTATTGGAGCCACACAATGCTTTTGACATGATGATCGCCTATCTCATACATCGGTTGATCCTAGCCCCGTCATCGGAAGATCAGAACAATCAATCGCGGTATCACCCCGTGGGGACAGCATTTACATATTTGGGTAAATGCGTAAGGGAGGTTAGCGACACATTCTTTGTCGACGAATGGCTTTCTCAAGGTGGTGCCATGGTGTTCATCAGGGTGAGTTTCATCATCGTCATCATCACACACTCGCCTTTTGTGATTCTTTATTCTCACCCTTCTATTTTTCTTGACGATAGGGCATGAACCATCCCATGATTCACGTACGCAAATCAACTGTAGAGTCTATTGTCGAATTTCAATCAATATTGGGCGATGACATTTATCAATTCTTGGACGATCTACGAGCAGATCAGGCAAATTTAGTCAAACATTACGTTTCTCGGGCTGTAAAGCAACGCTCAAGCCATAGCAGTTTCACCCCTCCTAGCCATCAGCTTTGAATATACAAATCTTTCCCTCGCACGCAATCGAATATTATTCCCCCCTTTTTTTCTTCCCTGATTATCATCGTATCTAATATCGTTAACTTTTTCTATACATCACTCGCCACTTGATGATATGACAGGGGGTTGGCACTGGTGCATGAGGAGAGAGAGAGAGAGAGGAAACGCAACATGGTAGTGATAACGAGGAGTGCATTCATGGAAACGTTCTGTATGTATATATTCACCGTGTTGCGCCCTTACTTGTCCCTGCATTATAGTGGATAGAGCGCTAAGCGAGAGAGTGTGGTGTGTGGGTGGGTGATAGAGGGTCACGGAAAAGAAATTTAATATGACACGGATGTGCTGCATAAATGGAAAAAAAGCCAAGGGATCACGTGTGATGTAATTGTGTATGCACATAGGAAGCGCCTATCGCACCGCATTGGCATCACATACAGAAAGCAGGGATCTGGCGTCAGCGTTGATTGCAGATCAGTTGATAAAAAGTCATCATATACATATCTATGCTCCTTTGCTTTGATGTTGTGAATGTGGTGGCGCTGTATCCTAGCAACCCCATCATCGTCGTGTTTTTTGTTTCCTCGCCCCTTGCTGCTCATTAGAGCTTCCAAGCTAGAAAGCCCGCTGGACGTGATTCAAATACTAGCAGCACACGCTCTATACACTAACGCACAAAAACACAACACCAACTAATCCAGGGAACAGAGCAAAAAACGAGAGAACGTGCGTACGTAGGAGTAGTAATGAAAATTACACCGAGTGTCCCATTCATGTTTTGTCCCATTGTGATGCGCCCATACATACATACACATATCATCGTTGTCCCCAAAGCATCATCCATTTCCATGTTCAACAACATCCATGTGGTTGCTTTGGTCATTGTTCAGGCTTGCCAAACAGTTAAACGTGCATGGACGTAAAAGGGTACATCGGTGAAAAAGAGGTATCACCCCTGTGTGGTGCCTATATTTACTATATTATTCCAGGCCACCACCATGGCTTTTTTTCCCTTTTATCTTTGCCTAACATTTATCTTTTTTTCTTTCCAAGACTCACATCTCTTTCACTTTTCATATACTTTTTGACCCTTCCCTTTCCTTCTTTAGTCTCTCCTTTACACAACCATTCGCATACACTCTTTTTGATCATTTCGATAATACATCATTGGGCATTATGCTTGCAGATAGCCAACAAGAATTTATTTTTGAAAACGCACCCCAACAACAAGACGATATGATTATGTCTGCCACCTCGTCCTCGTCGAGTTTCAATTCGGTCGAGAAGGAACACTATCATAAACGATCCAGGCAATATCATAGAAAGGACCACCATTTGATGCCATCCACATCTACCACCACCACTACTAGTACAGCAACAACAACCACAACTACTTGTTCGCCTCATGGCAGCAAGGAGAAAGAAGAGGTAAATAGTGTTGGAGTGCATTCGTACGACATGATCAACTCAACATTGAATATCCATTAATAGCAAGTTTGGCCACCGGATGTGGAAGCTGCGTTTATTGAAGGTGAGGATTGTGCTTGGACCACTCACTTGTGCGCTCCCCTATTTTTCCCTTGACCCGCCATTAATGCATTTCCTTTCTTGTCAATGATTTACAGCCCTGGAGTCTATTCCCAAGCTTGGAAGACGAAAGATCCTTGTCAATGGCAAACCATGTGGTAAGCAAATCACGTGTTGTCATATCGTATTCGCTTTTACTCACGCACTTGAGCAGGTCGCAATGAGCTCATTTCAGACTACATTAAGCGTAAAACAGGCAAGATTCGTACGAGGAAGCAAGTATCGTCGCATATCCAAGTGCTGAAGAATACAAGAAAAGGAGAGCCACAGTGTAAGTTTTGGATGATTGATAGACATAAAAGACAAAACCTAATCTTGAGCTCTTCTTGTAGTCATGCGACTCCTGACTGATGCACCAGCAGATACAGAGGAGGATACACAAAAACCACAACAGCAATCACAACAACGACCAAGCAAGTCTTCAAGACCTAATGCAAAGCAGCCTAGCAATAACACAGGCTCATCACGTCGTCCATCTCAACACCAACAATATACCTTTCACCAGGCAACCAACAGCATCATTTCACTTGGTGGGCTTACTTCATCAGAGTCTTTTTCATCATGCGATGATTCATCCCTCAGCAGCAGCTCTTCACCTTGTCATGATTATGTCTTTGATATGCTGTGCGGTGGCGCTGGTAGTGCTGGCGGTGTTACTGGTACCCATGGCAACAATGATTTCCTGCAAATGAATAGCAACACCCTTCAACATCCGCTTTTTGGTGATGCTTTACAAACACTTCCCACAGCTGATATTACATTGGATGATCCACTATCATTTACGGATCCTTTTATGCTTGGTGCCGATTTAATGTCAACAGCCGTTGGAGCAGCAGGTGCATCCACACAGCGAGCAACGTCACAAGTGTTTGACAGCACTCAGTTACAACAGGAACAGCAACAACAACAACAGCAACAGCAACAACAACAACAGCAACAACGGCAATCACTGGTAGCCACAGAAGTCAAGCAGCGATTTAATGCTGAAAAGATGAAAAAGGTGTCGCAATGTGCTTCTCTGGACAATAGCACTTTCCTCGAAAAGGAGATGGTGGATCAAGGAACGTTCGTCTTGTGGCCAAAGTATATTTGTTTCTACCTTGAATACGTGTTACCGTATGATCCAACCAACACACAGGCGCATCATCTTGCTGTTATGCAACACTGTTATCCCAATTGGCTATCGGTCGTACCTGCATCCAGAGTCATTGAGAAGACTGAATGTCGACCATTAGCTGATATTGTTGCAAAGTACCCAGCTAATATCGTGCTGCATGCAAAGACACACCTTGATCTCAACCTTAACATCCCTGATTTTTGCTTCAACAACAATTGTTTCTTTGAATCTCGTGATCGGCGGACAATTGAATGCACTACCACAATCTACTCGTTTGGCAACGTTGTCCTTGAATCCAAGGAAATCCAGCAAGCCTTATGTCTCAACCAGGATCGATACATTTACAGCTTTGCCTATGTCAATCAATTCTTTGGTGAATTCATGAAAGGGATCCGGTCATTACACACATTCGAGGAAATTGATGTTGTCATCCAAAACTTGTGTATTGTCCAGGTAAGGACGTCTAATGTAAAATGAGTAGCCGATGTATTAAGCTATCATATCATCATCAGGTCTTTGAAGATGTGGAAATCAAATATGGCCCCACTGCAGCATTCTTTGAACAGCCTTGGGATTTGTCTCATCAACAACAACAACGACCACAACCAGAACAAGCATCACCATTACTGGTCATGGCTTATGAGTTTGAACGGGGACAGGGCAACATGGACATATCAGCAGTAGGCGATGTCGCCATGATCAACAAGCTCGGTATTGGTCGTGCCATGGATTTGGATGATTTGTAAAGCACTCTCACACACACGTACATACATAACACTTTTCTCTTCTCAAAGCCTCCTTTTCTATGCAACTGCGTATGGCAGTATATAACACGCTCCAACATAGTCTTTGTACCACATCACCACCCCCCACACACAATCAATGCAATCTAAAATCTCGCTACAACAATGACACACACATTTTCAAGCTGCTTGTCGGTTTTAATACATTCCTTTCTTTTCCTTCTCTTCTACTATCTCTAGTACGATCTACAGAATAATTATATACATAATAGTCTACTTGCCTATTCTTTGAATCATATCATCGATAACAGGTGAGCGACGCTTTTCAAAGACTTGATGGACAAGGGGTATCCAGTGTTCCTTGACCAATGCCACTAGCGGATGATCTCTGGGTAAAACCAATTCCAATACACGCCATCCAGCGAAAAAGGCAGCCATTGGATTATCCGGCCAAATGTGTTGATGAAGATATTGGATGTATGCTTCAGCCTCGTCGAGTCCTTTGTCCATCAAACCAAGTCTTTCAGCCAAACCCTTGCCAAACATGGTAGGAAAGATACGAAGGTGATATGCAGCGAGTGCTGATTGAGCCATCCCATAGACCCAATGATCCTTTGGTACATTGTTCTCTCCCAATTCTTCAATCAAGTAGGGCTCGATCATGCTGATAGCTTCGGGGTCTTCTTGCAATCCATGGGCCACGGCTGCCAACTTTAGAACGGTTGCTTGCATTTGCTTGGATACCACATCCTCCTCTTGTTTCTCCTCTCCTTCTTCCTTGGTACATCGAGTGCATTGACAATGAAAGAACTTGAACTTGTCGAGTTTGGCACGGCGCATGGCGGTTGTGCCACATACGAGACCACCCAATGACATGTCATCTTCAGGCAAATATGAAAACGAGAGCACGGTACCAGGTTCAAGATGTCGAACAGCGCGAAACACCATACAGTTCTCTTTTGGTTCGTATTGCAGGAATAAATTGGGTGCGCACGCATGAGCAAACTTGCTTCCCCAGCTCATTAAGCAAATCATGCCACGTTGACGTGATAGATCATCATATTGAAAGCTGTACGATTCACCCCATTTGGATCGATAATACTCGCGGCGTTGCTTGCGTCGTGTATGGGTTGTCTTTCCACGATCATGATGGAAGGAGACTGTATGTGCATTGCCATAGATCTTGAGAATGAATCGACTCATGCTATCAGCATCCACCTTGGCAAACTCGGGTAATGTGGCCGTAGCTTCATGGCATACTTGGCGAACAAGGTCAACCGTTGGATGGCTGAAATCAGGATAGTAAAAAAAGTCATAGTCGTCGTCAGGGTGATCAAGGTTGAGATAGGCAAGCATGGCTGCTGGAATGCCAGGAATAAACTCATCATCGTAGGGATCGAGGATCTCTTCAAGCGATTGCCAAAGCTTCTTCGTATAGTGGGGTGATATAGACGATCGACATGTTGGGTTGAGCAAGTACTGCAAATGAGGACGTTCAACAAGGACAATATCACCAGGGGCTAATGGCTGTTTGTTGACAAGGGATCGGCCTTCAATTGGGCATTGACGAAATTCGACTAGTTGTGTAAAAGAGTCTCGATTGAGAACCGTGGAGAGATCGTATTCGTCTACGTCCGCTTGCATATAAGTTTTGATAAGCTGAACAAAGAAAAAGAAAAATAAATTGGCCTTTTATGGATGAAGGTCAGCTGACCTTGGTGCCACAGACACTACACAACCCTTTCTTTGGTTTCTGCCTGTCACAAGTACATGTACATGTTGTTTATTTGTTATTTGCCTCCCACCCTGCAGTGCAGCGGGTTTCAATCTACACACATACTAACTACTACTAATGATTGCCAATTGTACAGAAAATGGATCCACCAAGGGACTCAGCACATCCTCGATCGTGATATGGCAAGGGTGGAGCCTTTCGCACAACAAGTCGATCTACCGTGCGTCCCAATGCTCCGTTCTTTGGATGACTTTCATGATGAGAGACCAGTAATTGTCGTGGCGATACTCGAATTGTGGAGAATCCATAACCTTCGTAGCGTAATGCAGACCAATCGTCATAAGGTACAGTGTTATTTTGGAATGGGTCGACACCTTGAAAATTGCCTGCGTTACCAACAATCAATTGGAAAAAGGATGGGGCATCTCGATAGGATGTTGCAATACGTTCATTATGTGCTACAGGATATGTGCGTTCATAGTTATGTCGATGCCCACTGTATGTATATTTGTAAATGAGCATGATTGTATGTTTGTACATGATGTAGTATCAAAGCAAATAAACATACCACAAGTAAATATCCACGCGATGTTTTAGCAGCAATGCTTCGAGACCACCAGTGCGTTTGCCATTATACATGGGTCCCAATCGCATCGTTTCGGCTTTCCATGTACAATCTTCATGCTCTCCAGGAGAACAATACATGGGTCGATGTGCCATCACAATGATCCAAGGTCGTTCATGTCGATTCAAGTTGGCACGCGTCAAGTCGTCATCGAGCCATTTTAAGGCAGTCTGGATTTGGTCATAGGAACCCATTTCAAAAAAGACTTCAGATGAAAAGGATACCAAATGCAACGACTTGTAATCAAATGAGTACATGGTTGGATCCGGGAAATCGGATTCTGAAAAGGGCACAATGCTGAATCGATTCTTGTAGTGAGAAAAGTTGTATGCACCTTCGTGATTACCCAAGGCCGTCATCACAGGGATGGTTGCATAAATGTCTTGAACAAAGTTCATGTATTCATCACCCTTGGTTCCTTCAAAATCAGCCATGTCGTATGCTTGATCTATTGTTGTGTGTAATAATGTTATTACCAAAATAATGCATGATTTGGCGGTGATCTCATTCTTACCTCCAGCAAAAGCAATGAAGTCATATCTATGTGAATTTGCCATGCGTAATAGATTGGGCATTGATACTGCGTTGGAAGTGCCCTGTAGCAATAAACAAACAAAGCGCTTATCAGATCACAAAAAGTGCCACAAAGAACTCTCATTTCGTATGTACCATATCAGCTGTCGCAATGAATTCAAAGGAATCATCGGTGGATGGCGTATGGAATGTATAGATTTCGGACCACGTGGTTGTATCATCTCGTACAGCACCCACTTGATACTTGTAGATCATGCCGGGAACTAAATGCCTTGTTTCGAGGTTATGCAGGTAGATGGTACGATTTTCTTCTCCACCATCAATGAACGCCCATCCCTAATAATAGATGGAACATTCTGTCAGCATCAATACACAAACATGCAAGCGTATCATCATCGTGGCATTTTTTCTTTTGTACCTCAACACGGCTAACCATCATTGCTGAAAAGTCTCGATCGCCCTCCAACCAATATTGCAACAGGGCATTGTCAAGAGGTACGAATGTGGCAAATTGAATACGGCAGTTTTTGCCATCCGGCATCCATGCCATATGAAGTTGTTGTGGCTCGGATGGACCATACGTGCGGTTCCAAATTCCATTGGCATTGAATTGATCTTGCACTGCACGTGTACCAGGTGCACCAGGAAGTGGTACACTTGCACCCAATGTAATGAAGAAACCAAGGAACGCTAAACCCCACAGCGATCGCTGTAACATTGCAAAGAAAAAGAGAGGGAGAAAGGAAAGAAAAGGGTGCCCTTGATACGAAGACGAATTAGGACAACGCAATCTTTAAAGTCGCTCAGGGGATGCAACACATGAAACGCTTGGAAGAAGAAAACATGCAATAAACATAAATTACCATGAAGGGAAGGACATGTGCATTGTTTCAACAAAAGTAAAATAATATGTAAACTATACAAGTGCATTATGTAACATTTTTGGGTTTATCGTAGGTCATCATCACGATCACTTCCACCAATATCAATCTCCTCATCTTCGTCTTCTTCATCTTCCTTGATGGTTGTCAATGTGGCTTCGTTGGTTGTTGTTGTTGTAGTAGTAGTAGAAAGGGTGGTTGATGTCATGTTGTTGTTGTTGTTTTTGTTAGAGGAAACAGCTGTAGATGTTGTTGGCGTTGTTGGCGCATGTTCCACAACGCGATTGTCATCGTCACTGCTGATGCTGCTATTGCGCAATTTGCTAGGCCGTGTGACCCCGTTCTGTTTCTTTGTAGGTTGCAGCGGCCTTTTGTTTGGCACAACGACACGTAGCGGCGGGCTGCTCATGCTTCCACTCCAAGTAGCTGATCTTTTCATTTTGGAAGGCGCAATCTTTCCACCACCACCACCACCACTTTGCATTTGAGGTCGTCGACGAGCACTTGTCACCTTGGATCGCATCTTTTCATGAGCTGCTGCTGCTGATATTAATCTTGGATCCATGTTGTGGCTGTGGTTGTTGTTGCGATGGTTACCACCCATAATAGGACTACTGGCTCGCCGTAATAATTCCTCCAAATCCATAGAACTACCGCTTTCCATGGCTTCAATGGCAGCATCACGCATCCGTTTCTTTCGTCGTCTCACTTCTTCCACATCATGATCCGTATCAGTCTCACCACCATCATCGTCATCGTCATCATCATCCGCTTCAGATCCGCTGTTGACAATATCCACATCACTTCCATCATCCTCTGGTCGTTTACGCGTACGTTGCTGCTTCTTTTTCCTTTTGGATGCTAGCGCCATTCTTGATGCCACCGAGGCACTATCAATCACAGACACTTTGCGTTTATCATCATAGTCATCAAATGTGCCAAGTAATGGTGCCTTTTGCGCGTATTCAGCCAATTGCCTTGAGTTGTGTGATAACAGCAGCTGATGGATTTGAGTAGCTGATGTGGTCAATGGTGATGGTGATGGCGTAGTAGTAGGATGATGCTTATTGGGGTTGCGTAATGCTTGTAATGCAAGGGAGGAGTGATTGTCGGCCTTTGTTGTTGTGGAAGGTGATCGACGTGTGATGGTGATTGGTAACGGTGAAGGAAAGAACTTTTCAATATTGTCACTTAGGAATACGCCAAGACGATGTTGGATAGAGTGAGTGACAGCCAATTCTTGTGCCCGTCGTAGTGGAATCCACGTTCCATATAGTCCACTTTTCTGCTTAGGAACACGACGTCGATCCATTTCAAAGCTGAGAATCATGCTTCGTTCACTTTCAGTCTCGATACCGCCAGCGGTCAAAAGAATGGTGCCATTAATATAATTGGTGTCCAAACGTCGCATAATACGGCATTCAGGTACAGTCTCAGTGGGTGCCAGCACCGCAACACAAACTGCAATATTGTCGACAACCGTTATGTACATGCTGGGATTGGTGGGGGTCGTCGTATGCACCACGTGCTCTGTTGTTGTAGTTGTTGTCGTAGATGTATTTACATGATCATTCTCGGTACCCAATGATGTTGTATCTTTGCGTAATAATGCCTCGAGTGCTGGAAATCGTGACAATGCTGCTTTAAATTCCACCGTCAAGTTGTTCGTGGAGCTCAAAGACTGCAAGTATGTTGTAAGCAATTTTGTCATATCAGGCATCGATGATGTTTGGTGTTCTGGTGAGCCATCTTGGAGATTCAGTGCCTTCAAAAGATCAATGCTGCCATTGGGTTCGGGCTTGATATCGGCTTTGAGTGGTAATGCAGGGATGTTGGGTGCAACAAATGAATCAATGTTGGTCACAGTGTTGGTCGAATCGGTGATCCTTTTATCATCATCATCCTCAAACTTGACAAATGCTTCATCATCAATGGGATCATCATCCGTAGTGCAAGATAAAGCTTGATTGTCTACGTTGAAAGATTGTTGGTCATGTTGATGATGATGATAAGCTATCTCGTTTGTTACCTGGGGGAGGATCCGTTGCCATGGTAACGGGTGGTACTTGATTCTCTTGTTCATCCAATGGATCATCACTCAACAGCTTTACGAGACCTTGGCATTCATCCAACTTGAATTCGGACAATAATTCACGTGCTCGGCTCAGTGGAACCCTATTTCATTTGTTGTTTGTTAGCAAATGTATATGCAAAGGCTGACTATGAAATAGGATACTTTACCATGTTCCTCGACAATCCATAGGTCCTTTTGTGAGTGTTACAACGACTTTTCCTTCACTGGATTCGGATGCTGCATCAAAATGGCCTTTGCCAAGAGTTGATCGAGCCACCTTTCGCATTTGAGTCGCGTTGACATACCCTTCACCCAAATAAAAGTGTTGACTGTTCTTTCGATCCTTGGCATGATCAGCAGCATGTCGTGTACGCAACGCCACGTGTTCAGTTGCACCATCCGTGGAAGCAATGAATCGTAACACTTTGGTATCCTCCTTGATCAAATCAAGCTGATAGCATTCCAATGCACCAAGTGTCTTTTTCTGAATGTTGTATGAATCATCCTTTTTCGGTGTTGGCCATTGAGTTGATTGTCGTCGCGTCTGCTGGGATCGAGGTTGTTGTTGTTCATCATCATCCTCATTCTTTGCAGGTAATGGTTCATCCTTCATTTCATCCACATTGGAAGGTGGTGTGGTGTATACTTGTTCATCTTCGTCACTGAATAATGATGCACCAGATGTGGCACCTTCCTCTGGCCATGATTTTCTCCGCGGTCGTGCAGGTTGTTGTTGTTCCTCAAACTCCTCCTCAGGTTGATCCATTGTCGCTGATGTTGTGGAAGCTGTATCAGCCATGCCACGAGCAGCTGCCGTACTAGCGAGCAATGCTCGTTGTAATAGCGACGTCTCTTTAGATCCCATCAATGCTGAAAAGCTCTTTCGAGAAGACGTCGACCTTGATGAACCAGTAGTAGAGGATGAAGGTGATGATGATGATGCTGGTAGATGATAATGGTTGTTGTTGTTATTGTTGCTGTTGCTGTTGTTGTTACCATTGTTGCCATTAAAGTATGCTTCAAGCTCAGCGACAGAAATCGACTCGGGAGCACCAATATTGAAAGGCGACGCTGTAGCATCATCGGATAAAAAGACCGAGCTGAAATCGTGTTCATAATTTGTAGCGTCCCATAGATCATCACCACCATTGTGATTGAAAGAGGGTCGTCTCGATGAAGAGGATGAGGATGATATTGAGTTGTTACGTGGATTATAGTTGTCGGAGACCGTAACTTGAGCAATGCTTGGACGACGTGAGCTAACCAGTGATGGACGACGCATGGATGAAGTATCCACATCAGCCAACATGTCATCTCCTTTAAGCATTTCTTCATGATAATCCGAATATTCTGCTTCACTTTCTTCATCCGATAGATCCATCAACGTGGGTGGTGATACAGGTGGGATCGTTTGTGGCAAATCCATCTTTTGTTTGTCGACAACAGCGGCGGAGGATGATGGTGAGTAGGACGAGAAACTTCCCGAAGAGGATGATGACGATGATGAGCTTGGAGTTACAGGTGATAATGGTAACATGGATGGATGAGGATAATGATGATGCTCGAAATGATGATGTCGCATTCGTTTGTTGTTGCGTTGTCGTTGTTCTTCCTCTTCCTCCTCTTCCAATTGACGTTGTCGCCTTGTCCTATTTCGAGTGGAACGCGTGGTGGGTGGTGTAGTTGTCGTTGTTGTTGTTGTAGCTGTAGTAATAGAACTTGCAGGAGATTGATGATGGGATGGCCGTGATGATGCTGGTGTCATTGCTGATTCATCCTCAGAGGATAAAGATGTATCAGATAATAGCGCGTCGTTACCAGATGATGGTGGCTCTGTTGCAAGAGAATAGTTGATTTTGCGTGAATGGCGTTCATCATAGTGCTTTGCCAATAAAGGTGGTCGTGGTGGATTGTGAGCAGCCGCACGTTTGAAATGCTGAGAAATACGAGACGAGACTGTAGCAAATGGTGTAGCACCCCTATTCGTGATCATATGTGAGTTGATCCATAACGCGTCTACAACGTGTATCGATATCTCTATACTTACCCCAATGTTGCATATTTGTACTTCATAATCACGTTGGCAAGTTCTTTTGGTGAACTAGGCTTGTTGCCCAGTTTGAGTAACGCTTTCATGATAGCAGTGAACACCTTGTCTCTAGCATCGTCAGGGTGAATGGGCACCGGTAATTCTTGTTTGGAGTCATGGCTGGAACTGCCATTGTCGGTCAATGACCCTGCTCGTTTATCTGACATTGCAAGGTGAGAAGGCGATCGAAGAGTGTCGTAATGTTGGTTTTTGACAGTGTCGGTCTTTTGCGGCAAGTCAATAATGGTTTGACAAGAAAGGGTATAGTGATTTAACAGAAAAAAGCTGTAGTATGTATATGGGTGTGAGCGTGAGTATGAAAGGAGAACGAAAAGAGAGAAGAGAAGAGAAAAGATGAATGACTCAAGGATGAAAAAGGGTAGAAGAACAAGAGACGAGACAATTCCAATGGACGGAGCCTATTCCATCTCGCTCTCTTTATCCCATCCAGGCGGAGCATATAAGTCAATCAAAAAATACGAACACATACATACTTCTTTAAGACGCACCATCATGTCAAATATAGTCATGTCATTATAGATACCATCATTCCAATACATATAAACCCCCCATTTACGTTCCCTTTTCATCATCTTGGATTGCAACAACGACAACGTTGAATCAACATTTTTATTGTTTGCTGTGGGATTATTCCGCTACTAAAAGGGTATCAGTGAAACAATGTCTTTGATCCCTTTCTTTCACATGAATGAGGGAGTATCATACACTTTACCAATCACAATGTCTCCCTTCAAAGCATCATGAACGTTGTTAACAAAGCTGCTTTTTGTATGTCTCATTCCACCTTTTCATTCTTGTCCACTTTTTGTGCTGCGTTACACATCTTTACTTTTTCAAACAGCGCGAAACAGCTGATGAAGCTTTTGAGAGCAAGGGATGTCAAATCATGTGTGCACAAAAGACACACGCACACACACCGATATCAAAGCTGCATTACATAAAAAAAGATACGTTTTCCCGCTTTGTGTGGGAATATTCTCTGATGAAGATGATGCATTCCACAGAATATCCTGAAACAGCATTAGACAGCTTTTGAGTACCACTATTCCACACACAATCCTCTCCACGTGACTTTTAAACGCTCATTTCTTGCTGCTGATTCCCATCATGGTGCAGCTGTTGTCTAAGATCAAAGGCGCATTGCCCTTAAAAGCACATCCCATAGCAGCCGTTATCAAGATACCGGTCCACTGACATAGCCAGCTCCCACTGAATGTTTATTCTCATAATCATACAATGGTATACCTTGTTGTCGTAGTAGAAAGTATTATGTGCAGTAATGAATAACGAGGACTGGTCAAGAATGCTGCTCCGGCTGTTGTTGCGAGTGATGGTACCCTTGTTGATGCACAAATTCAAGAGAGAAAAACTGGGTCAGGAGCATGAATTGTTATTTGCAAGTGTAATAAGTGGTATCAAAGCATCGTGGTGGTATGATGGCATGTGCTACTCAAAGTTGTCGCTGCCTGGATCTTCTTGCATGACACCCTTTGGTACACCGAAGTACTTTCTTTTTGCCATTGACCATATGCATAGCACGCGAATGACCGTGTTGATCCTCACTGCAGGAAAAAAACGCCCCAATTAGGAAATTCAATCACACAAAGAAAAAAGGCTGCTTTCCCAAAGGATGCCTACTATTGTCCGCATGCATTGCATACGATGTCACCAGCTTTGCTTTTTCTCCATACAGGCGTTTTGGTGGCATAACAATTCGAGCAATAGCGAACAACCTCGTAGGATTCTTGAAATAGTCGAGGGGATTCGGTGGGCGAAGAATTTGTTTCCTCATAGTCTTCTTGTGGAGCTAGAGGAGGAGACTTGCAAGGTGAGGATAAAGTTTAGCTTTCAAAAGAAACAAGTATTACATTCACCGTTGCGTTGAAAGGGAAAGAACCCTTCATCAAATAACCAGCTGTACTCATCACAATAACATGAAGAATCCATTTGACATTCGTTAGGGATGATGATCATGTCTTCTGGTGGTGGTGGTGGTGGTGTCATTGTAGGGTGGTGAGAAGAAAAGTAGCATAATAGCACTGCTCACAGCTATGCACCATTATAGATAGTAGGGCTAAAAGTCATGCACTTTGTCGTACTGAAAAGTCTAGACCATCACCCACATAACAACATTCCCATTGCAAATGACATGCAGCTATCTTTGGTGGTGTTTTGATATTGTAGTTGATGGATCATGATGGCCATTCAAAGGGATCAATGCGACAACGATCTACAATGTGGGCTAACGATAATAACTTGCAAAGACCTGGATGGACTAGCCAGCCACATAGACGCTTGAACGCTATGGAATAGGTGTCAAAAGTTATCCCAGCAACGGTCGTGCACCACGTGCTATGTGCATCGTCTTGGCTGACAGCAACATTTAACAACTTTTCTTTGACATCAGCGTATGTACAATGGTCATTTTATGGTATTCACAACAGCGATATGATGGATTATTCTGTGCTAGGCCCCCTAATCTTCCTCACTTAATCTTCTGTTTCCTGCCTTGTAATGACGAATAAGCTTTGATGAGCCATCGGTCCTGTGGTCAAATTTTCTGTTTACGCTATTGTTGCGAATACTAAAAAAGTATACGTATCAGCAAGGAAGTTCAGGTGCAAGAGAAAACGAACATGGACGATGATTTACTATAATCCACACGCGTTGCAAAGCTGCATTCTGCTCTTTGGATCCAAACGCCACGTGCTATCCTCAGTCTTCCCACAATTATGGCATAGACCTCGACGAAGCCTTTTGCTTGAGGACACGGTCTTGGTGGTTGGAGGGTAAAGCTTTGTAGCTTCCTTTCTCTTTGGGTACCCGGTGGATGATGCCATGGTTGTTGATCTCACTTTAACAGTTGGAGGATCCGGTGCTATATGATGATTCATCGTTTCATGCCAAAAAATCTCTGAGAAGAGAGAATCAAAGATATCGGTATTGATGTATCTGTTGTTGCGCATAATGGATTTAATGAAAAAGTACAGAGGGGGAAGTATCTATGGAGTATGATGTCTTTTATACAATGTAGAGTCGCGTGCTTGTGGAAAGTGGTATGTATATAAGGTGTGTTTTATGCAAAGGTTGCTACTGGCTGGCAGTGGTTGTGTGAGTGTGGTTTCAGATTCCAATTTATCAGGCATCCCCTCATGTTTTACTTTTATATATAAACACTATTGTATGCCTTCTTGTGTCGAAAGCAGTACACTTGATGAAGGGGTACAGTGGTATGCAAGGTCATTGGCTGTATGGGATATTTATACTCAGCGATATCATGACTAGGGAAGTGTAGCGCCACCGGTCGGAAAAGTGTAGCCTTTAGTAATCCTCATCATTATATTAGGATGATGATGATGATGATGACTTGGGTTTTGCTACAATATAACATGTTGTGCCTAAATGCCACCTATATACTTTGACAATCTCAAGCTTCTCCTTGACCTTCTCACGCTCGAATAATTCCATCAGATCTCGATTCCACCAACAGCCCCAGCGGCGCACGTGCTTATCGACATTGGTATCCAGGATACGGTTGAGCCACTCATAATGGGAACGACCATGTTCTAAGAGTAAGATGCGTGATTTTTCAGAGGGCTTACAAGCATCCGCCAGTGAAATCAATGCTTGCTCAGGATCATTGCAAGAGCATAAACCAAATGTATCCACGACTGTATCAAATTGCTGCTGATGCCTCCTTCCATTGCTATCCTCTTTGGTCAGCGTGTGCACATGATCCACATTGGCTTGCTTGAACTCGACAAATGTCTTTTTGAATTGATCGGCATACTCTGCAAACTTGCTCTTGGCTTGAGTCAGTATCCCCTCGTTCCGATCCGTAAAAGTCAAGGATGATAACTGGTCGTCCTTGTAGTACTTGAAATTACGGCCTGTACCTGTGGAGACTTCAAGCACATCACCCTACAGCAGTATCAATATTGCACGGGATCAATTGGTCATCCCACAATTTCTGGAGCCCGAGGATTTGATTGATGTTGAGTATCCTTATGAACCCAGCGTGATGGTCTATGTCAGCGAGTTTACCGAAGATCGTGGTTGCTAGGATTATCCTGGTCCTTCCAAGACCCAAGTATCTGATCTCAGCTTTGAAGGCTTCACGGGCACCACCAATGGTGCCTATAATAACAATGTCATCATCTTTAACTGCCCTTATGGACCAATTGCCAGAATATTGTAGTTAAGGATTTTGATGTCACCTCCCCAAGGGTGATCCTTCTTATGTTTGCAATAACATCGATGAGGGGCATCTCGAAGGCATTGATTGTGAAATCACTCAACTTGCCCCCACTTGATAAAGACGTATTATGCATTATGCACGTAGAATAAAGAGAACAACGAGAGCAGTACGCCATTGCATTTGCAGGTGACGTGATCATCTCTGATATTTTACCATATAAATGTGTGCGTGTGATTTGCCTTTATCATTTGTAAGGATGAAAAAGTGACCCCAATGCGTGTGAACGCGTCATATTGTTCTTGCTGCAACCATCACTGATCCTCTTTTCCTCGCTCTTTATCACTCAAATTACGCCATCATCACATCCATTTTCGCACAACAACATTATCAAGCATCATCCTCGCCTTCAGCCAACAATCACCATCATATATAGCTTAGCGTAGCCGTCGCCCATGATTTGATCTAAATTGTACAATGACAATAAAAGTCGATCTTTTCATTGGATAGTTTCTCTAGCATAGACATCATGGGGTAGATAATGACAATGGAGTGGAAGGAATGAATGTATATACACAATGAAGGACTGTGTTGGGGTTGTGGCGGAAAGATGCTGCCAGTGTTGTTAGGCAGTTGTGGGCTTTTCGAGTCATCCTCTTGTTGTGCATCCTCTTGAATCGGTCGTTTCTCCTTGTCACCTTTAAAGAATGAGTCATCAAAATCATATACACATACACTTCGCTTACCTGCTGGTGTCATGTTTTGCAAGAGGAGATGGTGTATAATCTCGGTTGTTGTTATTGTTGTTATTCGTATTGAATGGGATGGGCCAATTGAATGCATGTGTTGTTGTTGGGGTAACTGGAAAGTTGAGTGGATTTGGTAGTTTATTTGTTGATAAAATGTGCTTGGTGAAAACAGTCCCTGTGCAAAATGATATGGCAAAGTGTCTTATTTCAATTCAATTATTCTGTCCTTGTTGGGATGAATCGGATCAAACGGAGGAAATGGCCTTTTGTCTTTGCTGAACATCATTGTCGCTGCATTCACGGCGATCGCCCGGGCAGACAGTGCGTCTCTGGAAAAGGTATTTGTACCCTTCTTGTAACTTGAACATTCACGGTTTATACACATTAATGCACCATGGACTGTAGTCCTCTTCCGCTTGCCATCCTTGATGATAGTTGCCGGCATTTTAACAAGCGGGGAAAAGCAAGTCATGCAAGTTTGGCTTGTACGAAACTCGTCCTGCACAATAGTTGGCCCTGCTTGTAAGTGATGCTTTCGATGCCAGAGACCCCCACGTCGATTGCGTCCTTTCAAGCGACTACCCACTCCCGTTCCAGCTAAGCCTATGCACATGATTGGTCGTGTTGAACTCGGTTTGTGAACCTTGCAATGCTGTTTTACATAACGCCGTTCATCTTTGCACACTTGACTATATACATGTCGTTGTCGCAAGGCTTTGTGTCTGCGTTGTTTCATGATTCTTGGTGAATAATAGTATCTGCGCAGGGTGGGTGCTAAAGCGACACGTTGCTACCATAGACATTTTTAAGTAATAGCCCTTGTCCTCATATACTATATGTATCATACTTGTTGTTTACGGATAATGGCGTCAGGATCAAACGTGGTAGCAAATTTCAGATCAGCAAGCTCTCGTTCAGCCTCCTTGACTTCCCCCTGTTTCACATTGTTAGTTGATTTATCGCATGTAGTCCGTGATAATCCTTACTTTCTTGTTCTTATTCATCTTTGCTCTCATCTTCAAATGGCCTGTAAGGTAATTCAATTCTTCGCTTGTGGTGTTGTGCGGCTTTGGAGGATGATCATGAATTTGGTGCTCTGGGTGGTTGTAGTTGGAGACTGCCCTTTCTACCTCATCCTTTGTCACAGGTACCATGCTTGCCATCACACAATGGCCATAATCGACACCACCGAAAGCAATCTGCTGGGGACCTTCGAATATGAAACGATCACCGGTATCTTCATAAAAAGGCTTGTCAGGACGTACAACTTTTCTGGCATGTGGTGGGTGTATTGCCATTGCTTTTCCCTAGGTGGACATTGGATTAGATGAGCATTGTGTATGGATCAATAACCGAAAATCTTACATTGCGAATTCTCCAAATCTCATTACGTGTGTTCTTCCATTGACGACGCAAGAGCAAGCTTTCATGGTGTTCATCTTGGAACTTTCTCTTGAACCATTTTCTTGTTACACCCATTGCCATCTTCTTTTTCCCGGAAGCCGCATTGAACAAAGTATCCAAACGATTAACCAACGTCGACAATGTCCGCATCTGCGCGTGTTTCTCTTCCAACATACGATGTTGCTGATCGGCATTTTCTTCCAGTTCCTCCAGCTGATCCCTCATGCTTTGATCATCTTGCATGTCAATCTTCTCTGGTCTCTTCTTCTTCTCGCGTTTCTCATATGCTGAAAAAATGGGTGGATGAGAAGTATCCATCTTGCCAACAAATCGTACCGTCCCATCAACGGTGAAAACAACGAGTCGCAATTCCTCCATATTGTATGATGAAAGCAAGCCCTCGACTGCTCTTCGATCGAAAAATGACCATATCATAGCGTCCTTCTCCTTTCTAGCTGCTTCAACCGAGGTGATTGCGCTAGTTTGACCGTCGGCATGGGCACGTACCACCTGATAAGGTCCAATGGGATATCCATTTTGATGAGGTGTCAATATTTCATATAACATTTTTGCGTTCAATGACAATGCGTGAATGGAACTGGGCTTAACGTCAGGGCATACAAGCTCAATGCAATTGTCGAATCCAATAGATATAAGAATTTTGTTGGCCAAGACCACAAGTGGAATCTGAGTGATAAAACAAGACGTGCTTTTGGTTGGGATGAATGGCAGGATTGCTTTGCTGATGCTGGTTACAACCGACGCTTCATGCTTTTCCAACTTTTTGGTGTGTTCCAGAATGAATGTATCCACGTCTGATTCTGATGCCGCTTGGTGAATTTCATCACTTTCCAATATCCTTTTCACAACTGCTTTCAGGGCTCGAATACGCTTTGCTGAAGCTGTAGACTGGTTGCTGCTATTGGGATCCGTTCCTTCATTGTTGATTTCTTCATCTTCGACATCCTCTTCATCTTCTTCATAAATGTCATCATCTTGTTGAACTCCTTCATTCTTATCTTCGTCAATGCACATCTAATTGACATCATTAACACCAAACCACCTCTAGGAAACCATATGCTTACCAATGATGATGATGATGATATATCAAGTTTCTACGTATATGATAGTCAATAGCTATAATCAATTGTATGTAAACATTGTATACTCACTTCCAATCCTTCAGTCATTTCAGTGGCGTCAACCATCTCCTGATCCTTTGTAGTATCCTAATGACATGAGTGAATAAATATACGCTTGAAAAGGAAGGTATACTAAGATACTTACCGATAACCGACACAGGCGTCTCATACAGGATGCAATTCTCTGCTTTGATTTGGTATTTGTGACAGGATATTCAACCGCGATTCTGATATGCTTTGCCATTTCCTTTTGTTCATGCTTAATTCGGGCCTTTGTCTGCTTCTTTTGATCTCTTTCTCGTCGCGTGGGAAGTCGTGCCGTTTTCTGGGGCTTCTCCTTGTTGGCCTTCTCCTTCAAGTTGATAGTCAAAAGCGCTTGGAGCAATGAATCCAATGACTTTTTGAATATTGACGCATTACTCCACATGTTGGCGAAGTTTACTGCTAATGTACGAATAGCGGAATATATTGTATTGCTCAATCTGGTAGTGTCAACGTGATCCATCTTGAGCCGTGGTTGTATGCTATTCCATACAGGATGTGATTCATTTCTGATTCCTTCTTTGCTGATTCGCGTAAAAATGAATGACAAATGATGAAAAGTGTACAGCTGATTGATGTCGGCAATTGCTGGGTTATTTACTGAATCCAGGTTCGCAAGTTGACAATTGACTTTTGCTGCATAGATCACGCCATCAACAATATGCGTATGATCCTTCAGTTGATAAGCTTGTGGCAAAACATCAGAGAACGTGAACGTGTTTGTTGTGTTGGTGATTGTAATTGCATTGTTCTGCAATCGAAATTCTTTGACTCCCAATCCGTAAATGCTTGCTCTCATCACTGCACTAACATCAGACAAGGAAGTGGTAACGATCTCCGCGACTTCTCGTAACCGCGCAATCATGCATCCTTGCTCTTCAAGATCCTCTCTAAGCAGCTTCTGCATCCCAATCGGAGGTGTCGATCTCGTATCCTCATTCTCATCCTCATCCTCCTCATCCTCTTCCTCATCCTCTTCATCCTCATCCTCATCTTGATTGGTGGTCAGGAACGCTTTCTGCTCTTCGTGAAAAACCTCTTCAAATCGTTGCTCGACGATCGCCTTCCATCGGTCGATTGGTTTGATGTGTCTGGTTTTATATAAATCGTATATCTGCTGCGTTGATAGGTTGTGTCCATCCTGGTTGATATGATGCTGCACGATATTCATTGTCCCGTATGGAATCGATTTTCTGGTAAGGAGCACGTTGCGCATAACATCTTTTTCGAGAGTTCCGGCATCCTTTGCGATCAGCTGCCTTAATCGCGTCGTCAACACATCATCCAATGTCCCCAGCAACAGCTCATTGTCGACATCTCGATGGCTTTGGTTTTTGGGTCTTTCATACGTTGTGGATTGTGTGATACGAAGTGCAGGTGGTTGTGGCATAGTCGATAGTGAAAGGAATGAAAATCTTTGACTTTCCAGCACCACTACATAGATACATAGACATGACTTGCATATTACCTTATGTCATGTGATCCAATATTGAGAACTCCTCTTAAAGCTCACTACCTCTTTTTTTGATAACTATAGCAATGCATGCACCCTACCTGCTTACTACAACGTGACGTTCCCTATTCAGCGAAGATGATCTAAAACCCCATCGTCTTTATCGTACCTCAAGTTCATATAGATAAACATACAGCGTGACATAGTATCGTACCAAGATTGAAGAAATGAAAGCTTTCAGTTACACATGTTTTATTATTGATCGGGATGCAACTTCTAAGCGACGTTCATGCGTGTGACATGGCTGACTTTGGTGATGGCATTAAGATCCTGGGCGCGGCAGCCAATAAAATCGAATGCAGCGTTTTGCGTAGGAAGGTGAAATCACGTGTGCAGCATGAAGACCCAACTTGGATCATGTGACCCAGGATCCTGAAGCGTCAACCAAGATCACATGATTTGAGCGAGCCCTTCACCTTCATCCGGCCCATCTTTCATTTACACGTCGTTCATTTCTTTCCCTTTTGATTCATTTTCCATTATGTTCCTTATCATTCCTGTCACTTATGGTAAACACGTCTTTCCTTCTTTTATTGTCGATTCCATCAATTTCTGGAACCATAGTATAAGCATCTCTGTCACTTCCATACATCGAGTATATATACATGCAAAGTATCCATTCAATAAACGAGGAGGTTTTTGTCGAGTTCTTTTCTTCTTTTACGTTTTCTCCTTTCTCTCTCTCTCTCTTTGCTCTTTATTGGAGGGCTCTCTTCTCCTTTCGTTGTCGTTTAGATTGAGTTTCCTCGTGTTTCTCAATCATTCGGATCATCATTATTGTTTCCATCTGTTTCCTTTCTCTTCCCAACAACCATTACAACAAGACCAAGTACCACACGTGTCAGATTATTCGCATATCGAGTTACATCTTGTTTCAAATACCTTCCCAAAATGGAAGGTGATACAATGTAAAAACCGAATGGTAACCATGGCAAGATGCATATCATCATACAGCGGATTGTCTACAGATTGCAAATATCAAATCGTGGAAGTATCAGGGAAGGTCAATCAGGAGTAATGGGTGCATAAAGACATTTCAACATTGAGATCCAGCAATTTGCCCTCAAAGATTTCGAGCTCAGAATTGAAAAGGGCCATGTTCCCCCACGCCGCCTGCCCTTTGATCTTTATCTTTTATGCGTACCCTCTTCACTTTACAACGCGTTAAAGCTGCAACTACATTTACAGCAGCCCGAACCATATACACCAAACCACCAATACACGGCAACCCGTACAGCGAACAGATGTTGCCAATGGCAACTGCATCACAACCACGATGCTCTCAAGGAAACCGACATGTTAGCGGTGGGAGTTATTCATGCGTGATAACGTATTTATTTAGCAAGTGTGTAAGCAGATACAAAAGTAGCAAGAGCATTGAATAATAAAAGCAAAGGCAACTTGGTTCATCTTGCTTCTTGTAAGTAGTATAAATCACAAAACGGCGTTGTTGTCACGCATAAAAGACCTCTCTTTATTTTCGTTCAAGCCAATGTCTACCCTATTATGTCGCTCCTTGCATAACCAAACACAGGATCATCGTCTCCTTGTATGAGTCGAATCGAATTGATGTAAGCTGCTGCAAACTTGAAGGCATCCAGCATGTTGTATTTCACGTATGATCCATTTCATTCAATAGAGCCAAGATTCAGATGTCGTCTGGGTGGTGAGACACAATGGATGAAATGTGTAGATAATGTTGGGATGGATCTCGATATCGGCTACTGCGAGGCCATTGTTGTCCATTGCTTGTGGTTTCATTGTTGCTTTCCATCATTCAATCAAGTACTCAGAACGGCTGCCGTGCATTCAATCACCAAACTTGTCGGACGTGGTTCCTGATGCTCATGATTGATCTCAACATTTTTGTTCTCTTGAAATGATCCATATCCATTGACAATCGTCACGTATCCAAAGCGCCATGTACGATCCTCATGTATTCCTTTGCCACAGCCACCAACCTTGTCGATTTGAATCATGTGCCGCGAGCCTTCAAGTGGAATGTTGAGTGTCGAAGCGGCTCCCCATTTGCCATCATCTGATAACGTAGCATCATCCACAATGAGTCTCGGCATGTCGTACAGTTTCACTATACACCTTGGCGATTTCAATCAGAATCCGTTTATAGCGCAACATAACCCAACATCAAGAGCGAATAAACATTGCAGCATCGAAACTGCAAATATATCTTGCTGATAATTGATTGCATGTGGTGCTGTCCACTGTGTCCAAACATAGCCTTGCGTAATAGCGAGATACTGGGTCAAGGTTGAAAGGCGTGTAGCTCGTGTAGATAAATGAATGTGCTGTTACAAAGTAATCCCTGGTTGCATTTGACTTGAGCACGTGTATCGTTCGTAGTTGTAAAATCCTCTGGCCAAATAGATGAACCGCCATATACAATCCTCATCCGCATATACGGTGACATGATCCATCCCCCCCTGCTGACGACGTGAAAAGTAAGCACCGTAGGATTCAATCTTGACGACATCCATCCATAAATCCCACACGACAGGCAAGCAAGGAAAGCATAGGCCGCAGAATGATGGAGCCGTACGAGCAGAGAATGCATGTTCAAGTCCAAGCGGCACCGTGAGTCGCACCCATTTTCGCTAACACAACAGGGCCGTTTCCTCCAGACGGTACACCACATTGGCTTCCTTGACGTGCTGCAGTGATAGAAGTAAAAAGACTGCCAGCTATTTCTTTTGGTAAGTTCACTTGAATCCAACCAATCCCAGAATGATCCCTTTACCTTCAAGTATCTTTCGATACCATCATTGGTGCTGCAGATAACCTTGTATCCATGCCATCCATATTGTGCTGCTGCTGTTTCCTTGTAAGACTCATCATTCAGCAAGTCTTGCGTTGTAGATCCAATACCATGCGTACCATTTTGACCCAACGTAGTATAGCATTCATGCTTTGGGATCAGTGTATGTTGTTGCCGCCATAGGTGCCATAATACAATGTAAGACAACAAGGATAGCATTCGCTTTTCGTGTAGACATAACAACGTGTTGGAACATCTACACCTCCTTGATGACGACCATGGAAAGAATATACACACGACACACGACGCCCCCTTGGATCTCGTATAAACGCGCGAATAGCAAACTACACGTGAACTTTAGAACCACAATGCCCAACTTGGATAATAAAGCAATGCAGCGATGGAACGTACATGTTGTATTGCAATGGAAGCTTGAGTCATGGGTAGATCGCGCGCGTACTTGTTGTTGAATGTTTGTAACTGGAAAGTGTCGTCATTGACCACCTGTTCGCCCAATTGGTGCTGTCCATTGAAAGGAATGCCAGCTGTTAATGTGTTGTAGTTTGTCAATGGAGACAAGCTTACCTTGCTTTGTGAAGTGGGAGCGAAGAAGAAGAAGGGGCTCGTTGTTGCTCCTACCACTTCCCAATTTGTGCAGCACACGCCACCCCGCTTGCTACAGTTACTGTTGTAAATATGTACCTCAACAATATCCTATACACTTGGGTCAATAATAGCCACAATCGCTCGATCTTGTAATTAAGCTATACATCATTTTACTTTGGCGGGATTGGCGTCTATCAGGTCCGTGCACATCAATGCAGATCAACTCCTGGATTGTGCAACCAACCCATGACTCCCCTACCAAACATACAAAATGTATAAATTCATTGTCATTGTCATTGTCATGATGAATAGCTTTTTCATGTTTGGATGCTGTCTACGTACTTCCTAAAGGCAATCATCATTCACTTATGTAGCAACCTGTCAAGGACGTGTCTGTGTAACCACAACGTGCCGTTTCATTCAGCTCTTCATCTTTCCGTTCATGCCGCCGACACCATCCACCAGGAGAAAGCAACTCCATCACGCTTACGGCATAGGTAAAACATAAAGGTGCCTGTATCTCTAGACTTTACAATCAAACGTGGGGTTTTAAATAGAGCAATGTGCTCGGCTTGGCCAACTACACCTTGGGTGCAAGTTTCACGTTCATCGTGGCCAATCCCAGATTTCGCAATGTCGCCACCAGCCAAACTGGATCTCTGGGGGGGGGTCGACCTCTTCGACGACGACGACCAAAAAATATTTTTTGGGCTGTTTGCGACATTGAACGCGAAACTTTCACACAAGGTGCTGTTGGCCAAGCCGAGCACATTGCTCTAATAAAAACCCCACGTTTCATTGTAAGATTCTAAGTTATGGGAGTCTCTATGTTTTGCATATGCTGTATATGAAAGGTGGTCTTTGTTTAATGTAAAGTAGCCAGACCCTGGAGAGCCAAAGATGCAGATAGACCTCTTCGTGTAACACAGCCGGTTTTGCATGATTGGAAGCGCCGACGCATGATACCTCCAAACCATTCAGCACCAGCTCATCATTGGCAGCTAATAGCCTCTTCCTCCCATTCACCCTTGTTGCCCAACCCAATGCATGTGAACGATTGTACTGCTCCAGCCCATCATCTCCATCCTTCAACTTTCTTGACTCGAGAGGATTTGGGTGAAAAACGCTCAAACACAAAACATCATCCAATTTCAGAGAAATCATTTTGCAAAGTTATTTGTAAACTGCCAGCTAATAGCCCATTCCTCCCAATCACCATTTTTACCCAATCCAATGCATGTGAATGGTTGTCCTGCTCCAGTCCAACATTCCCATCATTCAACTTTCTTGATCCCAGAGCGGTTGACTGATGTGCAACACTTTAACAAAGAAACGTCACCCAAGCATCAGAAAAATCTATTTAATTTCAAGGTCTTCCACTCCCTGTTTCTTGCCTCTTTCCCCCATTCTCACTGTTGGTGCATTCAAGCACAACTACCACCTGCGAACGATTGTCCTGCTTCAACCCATCACGTCCATCCTACGAACGTCTTTATCCGATTGTCTTGGACCGAGAGGCAAGTTGATGGCGTGTACACATTCTTGTCACTCTTCTACAACACACGAGTCTCTCGACACCACACACACTCTTGCGCGCTTCCCTGGCACAATCCAATGTAACAGTATTCAATGCAGCAGTTGCTATCAGCAAGCTCGTTACTCCATCGTACCCAACAGCGTTCTTTACTTGCAAGCGTGTCTTACAGCTTTTTTACGTGAACAGCAGATAGCCATCATAGAGGAGCAGCTTTATTGACATGTAGCAACTTGCTTCAATACATATGACTTCTTATGGATATGGATATGGATCTGAATACTGTATTACTTTGGTACATGAGATGGAAGGAATGGATCTATTGACTAGTTTGGTTCCCTTTTTGGCCCATTTTAAACGTGATGTCTAGTTTGGATGACATGCCATCAGCCATCAACGACGCCGTACTACAAGCAGTCTTCAACTGATTGAGTTGCGATGGAAGTGAACCACGGAGAGAGTGACCAAGGGTCGATGGGAAAGGGAACGTATCAGCAGCGACCTCTGGGCTTCTTTCTATCAACATTGGATTTGTAGTGGTTATGGCGGATGGGTTCAATCAAGGCAAGCATTATTTGTCGCGTTGTCAGAAGGATGAATCATACCATATGCATACGGCTTAGGATGGTGATAGATTGGAGGAAGTGACAAAAGGGCTTTATACCTTTGACAAAGGAAGGTGTTTCACAGCTACGGATGATATTGGAATACTCGAGCCAAAGTATACAGCATCTATTTTGCAATCATGGATGAAGAATGATCATGGCGGCAGCAATCAAGAATAGGATGGCACAATTATCCCTGTTCCCTCTATGTGATCCACCCGCTTCTTATTCAATGCTGTTCTTTTATCATATTTGCTTGATAAACATCCACAGTACCGTGTACTGGTACGTGCTCTTCGACTTTTTATTGAATGAAAATTGGAATTGGATTCAACATAATAATTTGGGTATCGTACGATCAGCTTAGATGTGAAAGGGGTGGATCACTTGGTTATTTCTGCATTGAAGGGAAAGGATTTCATATATTTGGTAGGAGGTTACACAATAGGCACAATAGGTTGCACAAGTTGGTTCAGGAGTGGAGTTGCATAACTAATCGATCTATGTGATGCGCACAGACCTAATAGCTTAATTACGAGGGCTGTTCTCAATTGAAGTCTTGAGGAGTGGTCATTCTTATTGAGCTAAGAGCATAGGATATTGTGGAGGGTACGTATAAACAATAATAGCTGTAGCAAGCGGGGTGGCATGAAGTGCACGAATCAGAGAGAACAGGAGGAACAAAGAGACCACTCTTCTTCACTTCCACTTCACAAAAAAGGTAAGCTTGTCTCCATTTACAAACTACAACGCGTTAATTGCTGGCATTTCCTTACAATGTACAGTGTTCATTGGGGTGAACATGTGGTCAATGGCAACACATTCCAGTTCCAGACATTCAACAACAAGCACGCGCGCGATCTGCCCATGACTCAAGCTTCCATTGCAATACAACATGTACGTTCCATCGCTGCATTGCTTTATTATCCAAGTTGGGCATTGTGGTTCTAAAGTTCACGTGTAGTTTGCTATTCGCGCGTTTATACGAGATCCAAGGGGGCGTCGTGTGTCGTGTGTATATTCTTTCCATGGTTGTCATCAAGGAGGGTCGCAACCTGTTGTTACTATGGGTATGTCGACATGAAAAGCGAATGCTATTGTTACCTTACACTTCATTTACTGTAGCTTGGACACGTTGGATGATGTTACCTGTGGCAGCAACAGGATACGGATCTCAAAGCAAGGATGCTGTATAGTTGGCTCAATGGTATGCGTGGTATTGGATCTACAAAGCGAAACCTGTGAATTAACGAGACTTACAGTGAAACGGCAGCAAGACAATATGGATGACATGGAGATACGGCTTTATTTGAGGCAATGATGCTATTGAGGAATACCACAAGGTAAGAGTGTTCATTATGGAATTTGTCCCTTCAAGTGTGCTTACGAAAGAAATATTAGGTCAGGCTCTGGTTGGGCGATTATTTTGATCAATCAGCACGTCAAGGATGTCATTGTATAATACTATGCTCTCCTGGGGAATTTTGGCCCGGAAACAGTGTGACTCAAGATGCGATGGCAAGGCCAATTTAAAAAGGCATCCGCTGTGCACACGGCCTCCATCCAAGTACGGCTATTGATTTCCTTGCCTACAGAGAGAAGGTGGATATCTCTTATGATGCCAATTTCAGGATCCAATGAGAGTATGGTACATATGGTGGCATACCTTGACGCTGCAGGTTGATTATTGTATTGCCTTCGGATGGTGTATTTGGTTGCAATTCCTTGTGATCACCATGGTTCAGGGCGTCGTGTGCCTTCCTTACCGAGTTGTCCACAATGAGAGTTCTCAAGACGTCTTTACATTGCCTCTTTTGGGTATGCTGACAACAAAAGCGTGTGGGTTGGTTTTACTCATTATCTCACATTGCGTTTATGGTAGGTTGAACATGTTGGATGATGGTACCTCTGGCAGCAACAGGATACGGATCTCAAAGCAAGAAGGCTGTATGGTTGGCTCAATGGTATGCGTGGTATTGGATCTACAAAGCGAAACCTGTGAATTAACAAGACTTACAGTGAAACAGCAGCAAGACAATGTGGATGACACGGAGATACGGTTTTATTTGAGGCAATGATGCTATTGAGAAATACCACAAGGTAAGAGGTTCATTGTGGGATTGGTTGGATTCAAGTGGACTTACTAAACGCCATACAGTGGCAGAGCCTCTTCCGGCAATACTATTATTATCAAGGCTGCACGTCAAGGATGTCATTGTATAGTACTATGCTCTCCTGGGGAATTTTGGCCCGGAAACAGTGTGACTCAAGTTGCGGCCTTAGGGATTTAAAAATGCATCCTCTGTTCGCACGGCTCCATCGTTTTACGGCTATTGATCTCCTTGCCTTTAGAGAGAAGATGGTATCTCTATTGATGCACTTCATCGCGTCGATCCACAGGAGAGTACTGGTACTATGATGTTTCTTTGGCTGTGCGCTTTTATTATTACTTTACATCCTGATGGCCTATTTGGTTCCAAGTCTGCGGGTGGTGATTGTGTGATTCAGGTATGTATGACTCTCATGCTTTTTGGGGACCTTTGCTGAAACGCCTACCATTATTTAGAGGGACCATTGCAGAGAGCTGCTTGTCTTTTGGTGCTTTGACGTTTACAAGATCACAGCTATGAATTGCTAAGTATCGTTGGATGAGTTGGGACAATTGTTTATGGTGCATCTTTATAGGTGAATCATGTCAGCCATGGGGAAGCGTTTATGTCTTTTGGGGGTGTCAACCTTTATTGCGTCTCGGGTGGTTGGTTACCAAGCAACGGGCGATTTCTCTGCAGAATGTCAGCCAATGCAAGTCCCTTGTGAATGGATTGTATCATCAACAAGCAACAGCATCCATATCTTTGGTGTCGTCTCAAGCTTTATCCCATCCCAGGAGAAAAAGAACAATGCCGACAGGGCTTCTTGTAGTGCCACGTGAAGTTCGCCGATCTTCTCAATTACATCAATCATTACCAACAATATCCACGATCCCTCCTGACAATCCAGCCAGCAGCTTAAAACATCCATCAACATTGACCCCTCACACAACGTTCTATCATTGTCATTTGATATTATCCCGAGCAACTATCCTACGGCAACTCGTTATCTACAACCACCAGCATCCAAGCCAATTCTCGGTTCGTCATCAAGCGTTCCAAATACAAACCAAAGCGACACCTCCCAGCGATATCTGATCTATAACAAATGATATCCTCGATGTTAGTTTCAACCAATCTAGACATTGTGGTAAATACAAGGAGTATGGATATAAAGGCAATGAAAGCCTTGGTAGTACATAAATAAACATGGGCGATGCAGGATGTTGATAAAGTTTTATTCATTGGATATAAGCGAAATTGTGACAGCAAATGAAGCAAATGTATGTGCTATGGTATAAATTCATTCCTCAGCATGGAAGATTAATGTTTCATCAAGTTTCAACTATTGTATATTTCTACATTAGTCGTATGATGCGTTTCCATCACTTTTTGTTACCTTTTTGGGTTTGGGTTGTTTTTTGATTTCGGCCATTACATCCTTGTCGAAACTTGCATTTCCAGTTAATTCACCAAATAAACGCGCTGTCTGGATAAATGAATTGGCTTTGCTAGCGCTAAGGGCCTACAAACGATGCAGTCTTATTATACGGCGATAAATCAAACTTCATATACATACCTGTTGTATGGCCTTATGTTCCGAGTCTTTGCTTGCACCGAATCCAAACCCATAACTCTTTGAAACACAGGTGATGGTGAATTAAAAGCGGCTGTGATATCATACATATACTCACCTCGTGGTTGCCTACTCCACGAATTTCCAATTCTATCTTCATGGTACATCCTGCTTCGTATCCTTTACTACTTTGTTTGATCTGTATGGTTGTTAATCACGCTTACATGCTACTTATCATGCTTGAGTATGTACTTACATGATCGTATCTCACGTCGATCTCCTTCTTAGACCATCCACTTGGACCAAATGCCTCGTTGAACAATTTGATCATCTTGGTGTATGTCAGCTTCGGATCGTCATCTCCTGGCGTTATTGATTTAAACACCTGCTTAAACGACAAGCTAGAATGAATACCTTCAAAATACTCGCGTCCAGGTACTTTCTTCAATAGTTCAATCAATGGAGCCGTTTTTGCTTGGGAGAGTGGATTCATATTGTATGGTGCTGGTCCTTCGATTGGGGTTGGAATGTCACATGCAGCTTGTTGGTCAATCGCAGCTTGTTGATTGGTGGCGATCCTATCGCTTCCTGATGCAGTAGTAGCTGCTTGCATTTCGGCTTTCTTTTTCTTTTTGTTAAGTGATAATGATATTTTTTTTTTCTGTTCGCTCATAACAAAGATGTAGCCAAAAAGTCCAAAAGAGATTTTTATACAATATTAAGTTCAACAACTCATTTATGCAGCAGTTTTGCTATACCTTTCATTTACACTCTCCCCTAAAAGACTACCATCCCAGGTCGTTCGAATCGCTCATGTATACCTGCATATAAAAATTTGTTTTGCCGTTGAGAAATAAGTAGAAGCGGGAAGCCTTAATGACCTAGTCGAGAAAGTAACTTCCTCGTGGAGTCGATCCATCAAATCACGTGCACAGGTCAATTCGGGATCGGATGTTCTCCACCAAAATCAGTCTTTATTACGATAGCAACTTAAAAACACTCATCATTCGTCACTTGCCGCAGATGAAGTAAACATTTCTCTCTTTGATATATGCCATCGGGGTAGACATCTACTTTGTTCACCTTGTTACCTACACTTGTTTTAGCTGCTGCTTTTTGTATACAACCAAGTCCAACTTTTACGTTTGATGAATGTTGCTTTCCTATTGACGATCGTGAACTATCGTCTCTATCCGACTTCACAGTAGAAAGGGTATGCAAAACATGCTTCCCTCCAAATAAAAGACCCCTCATAAACGTGTGTAGCTGCGCTTTGATATGAATACAAGATGCGGTAAGTTAAACATCGTTGGAGATAGTGTTGACAATATTCATGGAGCCGTTAGGTGTTTCACATCTTAATTTCGTCTTACATCCTGTATTACTTCTTCAAGCATATGGAACCACGTAGCACATGGTTAATGTATCAACAACCAGATTACCTAAGAAGCAATGTAAGCTGTACAAACCATACTTTTGACATGGATCCAATCTCTACCTGGTTTCACCTTTGACTTTCACAAGGATGTTGGCAATAACACTGGATGTTGACGCGCCCATTGATGAAGATGATGTATGTATTGGCTTCGTTTTTTTCATGATAAGGTGATTCTGGGATGATGGACCTATCGGATATGCTCACACAAGAAAAACCGGGCTTGGTATATGTATTGATGCAACCCGAAGAGCTACATGTGGACGAGCGGCATAATGAAAGCATTTGGATTCGATACACTGGTGGATAGTTAGCGTTGTTCTTTCGCTAGTCCTATTAGCGTGGTGCATTATTTCTATCAAATAGGATGAAGAGAATCAAACCTTGAAGAAGACAATAGGAGTAATCGTGGTGGTTTATTGTTATCATGATGTATTTTTAAAACACAATTCTTTAAAGACGTCTATCATGGCGTTTGGGGATCGCGTCAAAACATCGCTACCCCTCTCTCGCGTGTAGACATTCTCTTATGTAGCAACCCTGTAGAACATCTATCAAAACAAGCATTTTTACTGGGTTTGGGTTATTTAATTTTAAGCCATATTATCCAACATCACTACCTATTGCTCGTCAAGATACAAATACCGTTTCAGATATGAGATGTACTCATCTATTGATCGCAATGTCCGTATGATAGGACCATAGCAAGAAGAATCCTGGTAGATCCCTATTATCTCCCTTCATCAACTTGAACCTTCGTAGAATGTCAAGTATAAGTCACCAGCAGTCTCACACAAGGAAGAAGGTACGCTATACCATAAAGAAGAGCAAAAGCAAAACCACAGCAGACAACCAAGGTTTATACAAGAACTACATTTGGGTCAGAGCTAGATTAATCGTATGCAAGGTTGTTTCAAGTAGAATAAACCTATCAGCTATAGAGGAATCCCATCGAGAGCAAAGAAAGTCTTTTCACCTATTAAGAAGTAAGGCAATCTTTCTGCTACAGCAATTATGATAATCTTACCACCAAGCTTCACTTCTTCAAACAAAGCAAATGATCGTGTTGTATTGTTGGGCCCGAAACGATTTGTACTTGATCGGTTAGAGAATAAAAAGATCTCACATTCGTGATCAAAGGCAATAAAGGTCAATAGCAATGTTCCTTCAATGACAGGTATGGTTCTGTTGTCTTCGATCTTCATATAGCATGACACAGGTATTTGTCTTGATAATGCTTGCTTAATCACAAAAGCAGGATGCATAGGATCATGGCATTTGACAATGTCAAATTTTCTTAGCCGACGAATACATTCGTCGGCTTTAGATGAAAACGCTTGCTTTTTGGATTGTTCGTGTGCTCGGGATACGTTCATTGTGAAATGTACGCTTGCATCGGTTCTGTTCATGCTAGCATGTAGCCAGTTGCGTGGCTCGAATGTATGTTCCGGTATCAAATTTGACATTGAAGAGAAAAGGATAGGTTATAGATCAAATGTGGTCATGCAAAGTGCTTTATGCTAAAACAAAGTCAGCTATGTTACACACATAAAGGGCAATCAGAAAGCTGTTTGTTCATGGCCCGTGGGCATTAACAAACAGCTGGTATGGCAGAATCACGTGGTGTGCCATGTACAAAAAGGGATCAAGGGAAACAGATAAGAAATGTCTATATCAGTGCTCGTCTATCTAGGACAAAATATGAACCAGGTGGCTATTGTATTCCGCCACTGAGGTAGAAAAGAAATCGGTGATGTAAGAAATGCATGATCAATGGGCGCATCATATGGTTTGCATAATGCAACCAGAGGCAATATCTTGATGAGCTGAACCCAGAAATCGGGCCCGGGTAACATGGGTGGGGTCGTCCTTATTTAATTTTTTGGTAGCATCAGTTTGGTTGAATGCTTTTTGGATGTGTTGTTTATTCTAGATATTATCACATTTTCCACGATCACCGCTTCCTATACATCCATACTGATTACATTTGCTAAAACGTCTACCTCGTTTAATAAGGGTACCATCAAGGATAAAACTGGTCGTGAATGTATGTTGGGGAAGGTTATTTCTAGCAATGTCGAGCTTGTGGAGTTGTAGTAGTAACTGGCTTTGGTGCTAAAGTTGACTTGTTTGATGTATCATGCCACATGCTGGGAGTTACAATGGTAGATGATGGTGCTGGTAAACGTTGATGAGTACGAGGAGGTAGTGTTGGTGGGTGATTACAGTTGTTGCTGTTGTCATGGTGAGCGAGTTGTCGTATCGCAGGATGAGCTGATGATACGAAGGTGATGTTTGCGATTGAATTGCACATGATAGTTTTTGTGGTCTTGGATGAAGTGCTGATGGTGCTGTTATTTTTCTTCTTGGTAATGGGCTGGTCATCCGAAGCTATTGCATTCTCATTATTGATCCACATATATGCTGCATTGATCGATCCTTCCACGCCGTGTGCCGTGAACGTAAATACTCGTGTGTATTGTAATGCATGCTGGATCCATCAGCGTAACGTGACCGCACGCTCCAAGTAACCTGGAAAGTGTTTCACCAGTATGTGTGGTATCCAAGTGAATATACGTGACAAATACAACATCCTGGATCAAGCTTACCACGCAAAACAAAGAAAGCATCGAGAGGACTTGTTCTTGTATTGGTGTAGCTCACCATATCCCTTCACATCATCAACCACTTGCTTTGCACCTTGAGCAGATATCCTTGAACATGGCCTTGTACTTGAGTAGCTTCTTCACCGCAATCATCATTCACGTCACTTTCTTGTTGGTTTATGGCGCCATCATCAACATCATCCAGAGGTCGTCTACACGTAGTGATTCCACGAGATTCGATATCCACAAGCAACTGAGATAGCGTTACACCTGGTCCCTCAACCTTAAGGTCTCTAATGGGTTCGTCATTGGTGTTGTCAATCGAAATGAGGACAGGGGTCGAAGGTGGTGGAGCTGACAAGACTGATTTGCTGGGTGTTGCTGGTTGGAAAGGAAGGCAATGTCGATCGTGTAGTACCGGATTCCTTTGTTCTTGGTCGACGAGCTTTATGTGCCTATTTGCTCTTTAGCCCCTTTGGATGTCCCGGTTTACTCATTAGTGCAGAAGTGAAAAGCAATGAAAATAAAAGAGACCGACTTACATAAAACGCGTTGTGCCTGTCCTTATGCGTTTAATGCAACAACAGCGACTGCTGGTTACTATTCCCCTTTCTCATTGGCAGTTACTATCCCTCTTTCTCATTGGCCAGAGCTTGACTATTGAGCATTCTTATTCGCAGTTACTCTCTCGCGATTTTAATGGCTGTCACGGCCACGCCCACTCGTATCCGCTATCCGTGCTTGATGTAACGGCTTCCCACTGTAAGACGAGGATCCGCAGTTTGTCCTCCTTGCATCAAGAACAAGAACCGTATACGTGGAATTCACTTTGATGCAAAAAGACTTTTACTTGTATCTTGCGTCTCATTCATAGAACCATGCATGTTGGACACGTATATATCTTGGACAGCTTTTGCAATAAAGGTCGTCAATTTTTAATGGCAATATCAATATCTGTCACTGAAGCAAAGGTGGATGGAAAGGGATGGAAAAGGATGGAACTTCCGAACCAAACCCCGCTTCCATGCATAACACATTCCGAACATCGAAGATTGACCAAATACCTCTTTCTTTCCATTCGCTTGCGTACGTATCTTTTATTCATGTTATTATACTCTTTGGCTGAACAAAAACGTGGCTCAATAGTGCGTGCCCTCATCTCGCTCTCGCTCTCGCTCTATCTCACTCTTCCAGGTCCACTTTAATGGTGTGATTCTTTTCTTTTTTTTATCCCATACCATCGCTAGCCACGGTATGTAAATGTGCTTTACTTCTTGTTTGTTATGCTGATATATGAAAATGCGTAGGTGCGTGTGGGAGACCTTGGTCATTCCGGGTCATGTTTTATGTCTGCGTGATTCATTGCTTTCCTTGGTGGCTCCTTGTTTACTACTTGAAAAATCTTTTCATTGTTTGCTCTATTTTTCTATTTGACGCAGAATAAAATTATCAGGCAGTTAAATCATCCTCCTATCCTTGTCAAGCCTCGCAATCCAGGTTGTACTTGAAGCAATGGACGTTGTGTGAATACGAATTTCTCTCGTAGGATGGCAACGGTGTCGTATGTGCAGGTGGGCTCGGTGGTCGTATCATCGTCATTATCCACATCCATCACTTCATTGTCCTTTAATCCACTTTGATCACCTCGTTTACGAATCACTGCCAATGGCTTAGGAAGCTTGACCTTTTTGCCTTCTAATCGATGATGTCCCAAAGAAAGGGTCGCCTTATCCTACATCCCATATACCATCCTGTTATTCCACTATACAACCCTTCCCTTTATCATATGCGTACGTTATTTATGTCGACGTTGCCAATCTTGAGTTGCTGGACATTGTCTTCTTTGGTTGTAAAGCTGCCTTGGAATTCAAAGAGGACGAGACCGGAATCTGTTTGTGATTCGTCCAAGGAATAAATGACAGTGTGGACCATAGTGTGTGTGTGTGTGTGTGGCTGTTGGAAAGTGAAACAAAGACGGGAAGCGGCAATCAAACACGGCACGACGCGAGCTGAAGAAAAAAGGGACCTCTTTGTCACGCGTTCTACTCTACTCTCCTACTCCTTCTTCCCAACTCCTCTCTATTGTACCACCACCACCATTCCATGTTCAAACGAAAACGAGACTCGGATACACAATTGAACGACGACAACAACAACAACGCGATTAGTAGCAGCGGCAACAACAACCAAGACAACCAAGATCATCAACAGCTAGCTTGCAATGACACTGCACAAACATCCGTTATCGACGTTGAGAACCCCAAACTCTTTCGTCAATGTACCGATCCACTTGAATGGAATCTGATAAAGTATCGCGACATGCGTTCAACCCACGCACGAAGGGCTTTTGGTCGTGTATTATACCGTATGTTGAAGCGTCCCTTTGCTATACCGCCAACATCTAAACCTTTGTTTGTTGACAGCTCCTCAACGCATGTTACTGGAACGACTATCATGTGCGTTAGAAGATCGATATCACTTTTGCTTTCCAAATCAAAAGAAATGCGTCCCTTTTGTTTGTGCCTACAACAACAGCAAGTATTGCATTACCCCATTTCTCATCCCTTTATTCTAATCGTTTTCATAAATAGGCGCTTGTGATGGTCAGATTCTTGCTGTTGGTGATGAAGCAAAGCGGATAACATTGCTACGAACCGATGTGGGGAATTCAATCGATTATCGTACGTATCTTTTATCGAATTACACATTGCATTGGATTAATTGAATATGCAGAGGATTATCACGTCTCCTTTGGCGCTCACACGAATGCTGTATTGACACTCAAATGGAGCAATGATGATACTTCACTGGTAAGATAATCCAAATTCATATGGTCTCTCATGCTGATACATCTTTTTGCTTTCGCTTGCTAGCTGAGTGGATCTGCTGATGGCAGGGTCAGGTTATGGGATACTGAATCAAGAGCATGCGCTGCGACATTTATGGGACATTCATCAAGTTTACGATCAATTGACTGGCATCCAACCAATCCTAGTATGTCCATGACGAAACCTCTATAATGGATCTCTATCTAACGATCTTTTAGATCTCTTGGTATCATCTTCAATGGATGGCAGTTTTATGATGTGGGATCTACGGCACAAGCAGATCAAGGTCCACAAGGATAGTAAGTGTTATATACAGAAGAAAGCTTCAGGATAAGCGGGTTTGATTAACATGGTTCATCTTCAGAGCTCGATGTACCTGGATTGGATGCACCTGTTTATGGGCCTATCAAGATCACGAAGCATGCACATGAAATGTCAAACTACAAAGGTTCCACGATGAAAGAGAACATACACAAAAAAGTGAGTACCCCCAACAAAGGAAAATGATTTGGTATGCAATGCTGATGATAATGATTTATAGCCTCCACATTCGGTCACGAGTGCAATGTTCATGCCAAATTACGAAGACAGGATCATTACTTCAGGGAGTCATGATGGGTAAATTCGAAAATGGTGGTTCATGCTTCCCTTCATATGATTGACAAGGTTGAATTTAGTACTATCAAAATCTGGGATTGTCGTGCTGGACGCGACGCCAAATCCATTGTGCATTACAACTACGATGGTGATTCCAACCGGCCTCGAGGTATAGCTGATATGCGACTTGATCACTCTGGCACCCGTTTGTTCAGTTTATGCATGGATGGAAGGTAAGAAAGAAGGATCTTCATATCAAATAGGGATATATGAATATAACATGTTATCATTTATATAGCGTCAATCTCCATTATCTTACCAACATTACTCGCCCTGCCGTTCGCTTCACCGATCCCGATTATACCATCTCATCCTTCTTTGTAAAGATTTCCATTTCACACGACGATCGCTTCTTGATTGCAGGGTCATCATCCAACACCGTATTTGCATGGGAAATCGATCGACCAGAAGCACCCACAGTCAAGTATACCGGGCATAAGCGAGAAGTAGGATCCGTTTCATGGTGTCAACAACGATATCAGGTATGATCATCTCAACAGCATGTTATCTAGATCCCTTTTTAACATGTTGGTTTTATAGTTTGCAAGTTGTTCCGATGATGGTTGTGTGCGTGTCTGGGACTTTGATGTAGAGAATGATCCTGCTGACGGATATGAACCTTCAGATGAAGAATAAAAAAAGTATGATGGTGGTGCACATCCATTGTACATACCCAAGCACCTCTCATATACGCAATACAAAGTCATTTTCCATCGCCTATATGTATGAAGTTATCAATGGGTTGGGGCAGCGATATCTCTATACACACTCTTTGATGAGGGATGGTTAATCGAAACCATCATGGTCTTTATTCAAACATAAGCATACAATGGGTCCCTATTTGGTGACTAAGAAACGTCATTGTTCTTCGCTACTATTACTATGTTGCACAGAGAAAGAGGCCTGAGCTTCATATTTATTATGCTATTGTTTGATCTGTGTAGCCAAGAAATGTTATACTCATTCGATTTGAACATGACATTGCTGACATAGTATGTAGTATCCATGTGGCGCGACATGATGATATCGATAGTGTGGCAGGTGGCATGAGACAAATATAGTAACTGGCCATGCAAATGGGATTTGGAACTAATTTGCGAATAGTGGGGTATAAAGAAAGAACGCACCTCTTTCTATTTTCCTTGCGTCAAACAAAGAACCAATGTACGGTGTGGGACAATCTGGAGGCCCTCTAGGAGCATCTCCCTCTGGAGGCAAGTACAAGAACCGATCCATGCAAAAGACATTGACTATAGCTGACAAGGATGTGCTCTTGTAGGCATTCGTCTCAACTTTATTACTCCCAGTGACCAAGCCAAATTCGAGGATCTGTTTAGTCGTGCAGCAGCATCTACGGGAAGCAATAAACTCCCTGGTAAGTAAGGCTGATGATGGGCTGAATGCGATGGAGTGCTCATCAAGGGATTGCATGTATCTACTATAGCTATGGCTGTGCGTGATATCTTGACGCGGTCGAGGGTGGATAACGATTCACTTGCGAAGATCTGGTAAGTGGTTGCTATATCAGGAGTGGAGGTTGGGGGGAGGAGGATGTGTTGTCTCATTGCTATGATACGTACAGGGATCTATCTTCGATTGCCAATGCACCTTATCTCACCTTTCCCGAGTTTGCCATTGCCATGTACTTGACGTCCGAGAAACTACGAGGCAAGGTGGTACCTGCTACATTGCCAAGTGCTATTCGAGAAGAAGTGGAATTGGCCATAGCAACATTGGCATCCAAAGAAGGTTCTAATCCTCCCATGTCACAACCATCCATGCCACAAGCTTCATTCATGCCACAACAACAACAACAGCAGCAGCAATTCATGCCACAAATCTCTCAACCACAACCACAATTCCCTCAACAACAACAACAATTTGGAGGAGGTTCGATGATGCAACCACAAATACCAGCCATGACGGGTGCCTCTCCTTTTCCAAACATGATGAATCCATCACCCATGACAACACCACCTGTGCAGGCACCAATGCGAACAGGAATTGCACCACCCATGTACAATGACAACAAGCCGCGTCTTGCAGGACAGGATTTTGCTAGTAAGATGATGCCCAATCAAGCAGGTGGTGTGGTGGATCTTGTCACTGGTCGTTCAACAATGCCATCAGCAACAACATGGAAAATCAGTCCTGAAGAAAAGCAACGTTATCGTGACATTTTCACAGCATGGAATGGTCCTGGACTCACTTATATGCCCGGCAATACAGCACGCGAGGTCCTTTTGCAATCCAACTTGTCCGAACAAGATCTCATGAGAATTTGGCACTTGGCTGATCGTGAAAATCGTGGAAGTCTTGATGCCGATGAATTTGCTATTGCTATGCACTTGATTTATCGTAAGCTCAATGGCGTTGAAGTTCCATCCACTTTACCTGCAGAATTGGCAGCACCCTCAAGTGTTCTCAAAAAGTTCGTTCGTGGCTATCAGAGCTCGCCTACACCACCGCCTATGCAACGTTCGCCACAACAACAACAAGAATACCATCCACCTGTTGAAGATTCTCATACTGGATACGTATCCAATGCTAGAAGAAAGGGTCCTGCAAGCCGTTTTCGATCATCCATTGCCTCTCGACCTCGAATGCAATCCTATGATGAAGAAGAAGAGGAAGATCAAGATGATGGATATGACAACAGTGCTGAGATTGAGGAGCTACGATTCCAAATCAGAGGTGTTAAGAATCAATTGGATCGTTTGAATGCCACCAATGCACGTAATCAGGATACATTCAGTGGTGATGACAACCGATATTCAGTGGAGGAGCTTAAAGATAAGATCCGTAAGACCCAGGAAGAGCTTACACGTGCTTCGCGATCCAATCCCAAGTACTTTGAAAATGCCGAGACGCTGCTTGATCTGCTCGAGACACAAAAGACATTGCAGGATGAGATTCAGTACTTGTGTAACCGTGATATTCCAGTATTGGCACGACAACTACGTGGTGCAGTTGCAGAGTTACGTGATACCAAGGTGCGATACGGACGCAAGAATGATGGATCACAGGATTATATGGCGTTTGTGGAACCCACAGGCCCTGGTGGTATTGTGACAGAGAGTGATCGTGTTCGTGCCAAGGCGAAGGCTATGATGGCAGCACGCAAGGCAGGCACTTCAAGCTCACGTGATGCATCTTATGATCTCAAAAAGGCCGAGCAAGAAAAGGAAGATTATGATCGTCAAGCTGATCAGTATGAGCGTGAAATGGAACGTTCGAGAGACGCGTTACGGGATTTACGTGGCGAGTTGAACTATTTGTCGAGTCTTTCTGAATCCAAGGCTATCAAGGATAAGAAGCGATTTGATAAGGGTCAAGATTTATCTTATGAACTTCGACGTTTTGTGGATCAACTTGAACGTGATTCTATTCTTGGTGGAACATCATCATCTTCAGTATCCACACCATCCACAGAACCTCGCTATGGCTCTTCTTTCCTATCAACGGGAGGAACTTCACCATCACCCAAGCCGGCAACAGCACCCACTAGTCCCAAACCTCCAGCTGCCTCTACACCACCACCTTCTAAGCCAAGAACTGCCGAAGAAATCAAAAAAGAGGTAACAAATACATTGGATTTGATCATAAATGAGTTGCTCATTGAATTTTTATTCCTACAACTTTTCAGGCAGAACGTCGTGTTCAAGAACGCCTTGCTGCATTGCAAGCCAAACGATCACCTTCAGCACGATCACCCAAACCAAGCCCAGCCGCCGCCTCGACACCTAATGAAGATGAATTGGCTGCTCAACGTAAGTTTACATTTATATCCTCTATTTACTTAGCTATGTTAACATGTATCATTTATGATAGGTCGTCTTCGCGAGGTTGAACAACAAGCTCAGCAACGGTTGCGTGAAAGTGAAATGCGCCAAGAAGAATTCTCTACACCACCCGCTACACCACAAGATAGCCTTGAGAATGAACGTCTTCGACGTGAACAAGCTGAACGTGAACAAGCCGATCGTGAAAAGGCTGAAGAAGAACGTAGAATTGCTGAAGAGAAGGAATTGGAAGAAAGAAGACGTGCTGTTCTTGAAAAGGAGGAAAAGCAGCGTTTGGCAAGATTGGAAGCTATTCAACGGGCTGAAGATGAACGTGAGGAAGAAAGACGTCGTGAAGAAGAAGCTGCTTTGCAAAAGCTTCAAGGTTCTACACCAAAGGCACAAGAAGAAGAACCACAACAACAACAACAACAACCAGCATCATCTGCACCTCCACCACCACCACCTCCTCCACCAGCACCAGCCGCACCAGCAGCACCAGCCGCACCAGCAGCATCAGCTGACGCCAACGCCAAAACAAGCAGCAATAATCCATTTGCAAAGTTACAACAAGGCAAGGATGAGGAAGGCGTGAAATCTGAAGAACAAGAAAAGAAGCCTACAGATCAACCTGAAGAAGAGGAACAACAAGATGAAAAGCCTGTCAACAATAAGCGCGTTAGCTACAATCCATTTGCAGCATTTTCAGCATTCTCTGCTACTAAGGCAACAGGCCATGATGATAGCGACTCTGATGATGATGGATGGGATGTTGTTCACCATGACGACACCGATGATGAAAATGAGTTCCCTGCTGCTGGTAGTGCCAAGAATTTGGCGGGAATGTTATTTGAAGCCATGAGTCAACGCAAGAGCCCAATGATGCCTAACCGTGAATTGGGATCATCTTCTTCTCCAAAGCCTCCTGCTGCTGATACAAGTGTACCACCACCTCCTCCTCCACCACCACCTTCAGCACCTGCTGATGCAGCTGCAGCTCCTCCACCTCCACCTCCACCTGCACCACCAGCAGCTCCACCTGCACCTACAGCACCTACAGCACCATCATCCACACCAGCCCCTGAACCATCAGCTGGTCGCAGTGCATTATTGAGTCAAATTCAACAAGGCACCAAATTACGCAAAGCGGTGACGAATGATCGTAGTGGAGCTTCTGTTGCAGGCCATGTTAAAGAAGATACATCATCGTCATCATCATCAGCCGCTGCTGCTGCTCCTGCACCACCACAACCATCACAACCAGCTGCTACTGAACCACCCGCACCATCATTCCCAGCACCTAGTAGTGGATTTTTGGCTGAATTGCAATCACGCACTACAGGCACATCAGCACCTCAAGAACCAAGTTCTCCTGTTAAGCCTGAACATCATCCTGAACAACCACCTGCTGCCACATCAGGTGATGGCAAAGGTAAGGAACAACATTTTGGTATCACGTGCTCTTCCCTTACTGACAACATTTTTAGAATACGTGACACAATGGGCATACAGTGGCCAAAGCGAGGATGATCTTTCCTTTGAACAAGACGAGACGATCATTGTACTCAATGACAGTGATCCTGATTGGTGGTATGGTACTCATAAAAGCACTGGCAAAACGGGCTATTTCCCCAAGGCCTATGTCTCCGTACCTGGTGATAAGGTGCGACTCCCTGCCAAGGCATTATATGACTTTGATGGACCGGAAGGTGAAGGCTGTTTAAGCATCCAGGCTGGTGCCGAGTTGATTATCCTTGATAAGGATGCGGATGATTGGTGGCAAGCCGAGATTCCTAGCACAGGCAAAACGGGCCTGGTGCCTGCCAATTACGTTGAACTCGATTAATCTGGTTTAAAAAAGGAGAAAACAAAGAGTTTTTATTTACAACACATAGAATTAAAAGATCATGCAAAAAAAAAGAATGACAAAAGAGAGAGAGAGAGAGAGACTATTGATTGGATGGGGATATGGAAGTAGTAGGTGTAAAGGCAACAAGAGCAGAAGGAGGAGGAGGAGGAGAATGAGCAGATGAGGGATCGGATGATGATGATAATTTCGATTGTTTGTGAGAAGAGGGGTGTTGGTATGGTGAATCATCGTTGAAGGATAATTTCCGCTTGGCTGTAGTAGTCGCAGGCAATGAGGTATTTGAAGAAGAGGATGATGATGATGTGGGTGATGGTAGCTGTGTGCGATTGAGCTTGATGCGGATGGTTGTGGGTGATGAATTAGCCATAGCGGGAGATTTCTGCTGATGTGGAACAGTGGCAGCAGCAGGTGGTGGTGGTCGTGGTGGTCGTCGATTCTTATTTAAACATTCAATACAGGAAAATCGATCCATGCTTAGCAGGTCTGCACGCGTGAAATTGACACACTCAATGTGGAACCATCCATGGCATGTATCACAGCCGATCATGGGAGACGTTGCTTCATTCAAATTGAAAACACGCTGACAAACGCAATATACATCGCTTTGGAATGGTCCTGCTGCTGTCCTTGGTAACCATGGATTATGCTTGGGATGATGCTTTAACGATTTGTGCTTTTTAGATGGTGGGTCCTGTTGCTGCTGTTGTTGTTTGGGTGACATTTGTGATGGTGATTCATGCTGCTGCTGCTGCTGCTTTAATGGCGCTTCTTGTTGTTGTTGCTTTGGCACAATTTGTGGTGATTGTAATATGGGTGTTGCCTGATTTTGTGGTGGTTGCATTGGAGATGACTGCTGAGGCGGTTTGGAAAGGTCAATGGACATCAATTTGCTTTGCAATACATTCGCTTCATGATCCATGCTGATCTTCAACCCTTCGATACCTCTCAAGTATCTCTTGATGGCAGGTATATCTTTCACGGTGAATTCTTTGTTACAAAAGGTTTGGAGTCGACTGCGATATAATTTGAAGCGCATCACGGTATCAGACAAGGTGGGAAAGATCTTGGGTACAAATAACAATTGCTCTGCATCATCGACCACGGTGATCAAGTCATCGGCATTGATTCGAAAAGTAGATCTCTTGTTCCTTGTGTTGTCGCAAATAGGGCAAACAAAAGATTGATCCAATTCGGCGTCTTTGGGTAACATGTTGACGCATGGGCTATGATACCATTCATGACATACGTCGCATTCAATCATAAGACCTGATTCGGGACCATGGCAAAAGCAGTATAAATCTTGCTCCATCGATGTATCATTGTGCAATACACCGATTGTATCACGTGTAACTCGTTTGACATTATCCGCAAGATTCTCTACAGTTGCATCGAACGTCTTGCCATGTTGAATGCTGCCGAAAATCTTGCGTACTTTTCCAATCCATCCATCCATGCGCACTGCTTCATCTTGTAATTGATCGGTCCCTTCCACCTTGATAGGCAATGTATGTGCAAGCTTCAATACACGATGTAAATCTTTCATCCCAGGCCGATCTGCAAGGCGTTCAGAGTCACGTGCATACCCCAAAATCTCATCAATTTGTTCAATAACATCCAAAGCGCTGTTTGCTAACGAATGGATCTTGTTGTGCATAGACGACTTTGGTAATCGTTTACCATCTTCAACGAGTTGCTGGATCTCTTGTCGAGTCACTGTATGTGTCCTCCTTGACCCATTCAACATGTGTCGTGCACGTGACATCCAATCTGTTGTATGACCCTGTCGTTGCTTGAGAGCCAAGTAGGTCGAATCATTATGAGGAATCTTGCAATGAGCTGCATCAGATACAAGCTTGTCGAGAACATTCACTGCTGCATTTGGATTTTGTATAGCACTTGTTGCCTCATCGTACCACTCTTTGCGATCCACAATCTCCTTGAGTTGTAACATCTCTGGAAAATCACCACCCAAAGTCATCCCTTCTTCAAGCAAAGATCTGAATGCGTTGTATTGGGAATGCATGTCTTGATACTGTTGCTGACCGAGTGCTTGAATCATATTTGCACGATATTGTGACAAGCGATCATATGTGTCTCGTAGTTGTTCAATCTCAGGTGGATGAAATGCAATTGTTGTAGTCATATCCAATAAATCCCCCATACGTTTGTATCGCTTTCCAGTGTAATCATGAGCAGGCATCATAGTAGTAGTTGCCTTGCTTTGAAATGCCGAACGACGTACAATGAGCTTGTTGGCTTCATTGAGCCACTGGGTCACCTTGTCAACGTACATTTGCAGCCATCGAGTTTCTCGCACAGAGGCTCCTTGACGCTTAGCATCATCCAATAATCGTTGCATCGTCTCCAAACTTGGATTGGGGTCGTTGCTGAGAACCTGTTTCGCCATGTCATTCCATGCTGTGGTGCTAGCATTGGCACGTTGGGTCACTGTGCGTACAAGCATCTCGAGCTGTTCATCCGTGTAACGATACGTCAATGTCTTTTTCGAGATATCGCAATGGCAGAGCTATGAAAGAGATCATGTTAGCTATGGATCATGGTGATCATGTAGATGATTTACCTCAGCTATGTGATCCAAGCAACAGGCCTTTGTGGTGCATTCACATGTGACACGTGATAAATAGACATAGCAATGACAATAGTCGCATTGTTGAAGATCTTCAGGAAGCGGCTTGTCCTCGGTGATCATTTTGATGTTCCGATATCTTCTCAAAAACTCGCTTCGCTCCTCTGTTTCTCGTTGTTGCATTTCCATGAGAGCGCCTTGTAGCCAATTAGCTACTTGAGCTGAATGATCACCATTGGCAGCCGTCACAAGTAATTCATCGTGAGAAAAGCAAGGCTGACGTCGATATTTCTTGTATAGATTGACACATTCAAGGCCATGCTCGATCCATTCCAATGGTGCAAAGTTGACTGCCTCACAGAAATTGAACTAAGGTCATCGATGTTATTAGATATCCTTTCTCAAAAGGAATCCATTTACTTACGCCATGATTGAAGCCTGAATGATATGCTTTGGGAAACGTCACCACAAATTGACCAGGACGTTGATCCACAGCGTATACCTTGACATTCTCCTTGATAAGACGCTCAGGGCTCAGCATTGTCACCAATTCAAAGAGCAAATCAGGCTGTTGTTCAAACAATTCCGGTACAGCGGCTCGCATGGTTGCTTCAAACTTGGCCGTATCACTCCCAGGTACGCCATACCAAGTTTTGGTTTCACCAAAATGCATGTAGTTGATAGAATACGTGTAATGATCTTCATTGTGCCAACAAAATGCCGAAAAGCACATGCCCACATACAGCCATGGTACCATCATCCCACTGATATCCGTTTTGATGTGTGTGAAGAGCGAATTCGGAAGCACTGGTAGCACATTGAGGTTCCACAAAGCGTTGCCGCCACTACGATGTGCAACACTGCCACCACCACCACCTTCAATAGATTGAAATCCACTTTATGAAAAAAAATTCAATGAGTAATGTCACATGATGGAAAAGGAAAAAGATGCCTATGACTCACCTTCCATGCATTGTGCTATGGAGATCAGCGCCATATTCCACTTGACATGTTTCATGAGGGTTCTCCACTAGGCGCCAAAACTCATCTTCGCAATCCTCTTCTGAAATGATATCGTCACGATGATGATGTTGTTTGTTGGCAAACCAATCCGTTTTGAATTTGCTGCATAGTTTCTGAAACGACTCCAGCGTGTATTCGGAACCATCTTCAAATCCATAGTCGCGACCAGATGCAGTCAAGCATTTGACACAGAACCAATCCGATTTTGGTACAGCTTGAAGTGGTGGATTGAGACAATACATGTGATATCCACTATCACACCCATCACATAATAGAATTGCCTCTTCATTGTCTCCCGTATTGCAGATTTCACATACTTGGCCGATCTCATTGGTGGTGGGTGGTGCAATGTTGGCAGCCGATGATGATGCTGATGATGATGCTGATGATGATGATGATCGTGTTTGTGCTGGTGGTGGTGGTGTGGGTGAAGATGTAGCATAAGATGAATCAGGTGATGATGACATGAATGACGTTGTTGTGGTGGTAGTATTGGCCTCGACTTCCTCCTTGTGTTCCATCAACCATATTTCATAGGGCAAAATGATTCGACCAAACGCCGACTTGAGAGCATTCGACATGGATGTGCACTGTTTGCGAGTATAGCCAAGATCACGACCAATTTCTGCCCACTTTTTTTGCTTGGTTACCTAAGAGTGTCATGTTAACATGGTGTGCTTGGATGTTTAATGGATGATGATGGTACTTGCTTTTTGGTAACCACCCCGTCGAGCGACCTCCTTTTTCAACCGAAATAAGTCGATAGGTCGTTTGTCCAATTGGGGGGACTTGTTGATTGGGTGGCCGTGGAGACGATGGAATTTGTACAGCTGTTCCAGGTAATTAACATTGGCTCGTGTTTCCCCTTCCATGCTATTGAGCTTTTGCACACGAGTCTTGAAACGAAAGTCCTTTCATATCATAATTCAAGAGTGAGACAATAAAAGATGATAAAATCCATCATTGAATATACCTTTGTATTGATAGCGAAACCAGGCTTATAGGTATCAGGTGGGACAATCTTGACAATGCCAAATTTCTCTGCTTCAGGACGTATAGACTGGATGTATCGAATAGGATCCTTGAACTCAAGCTCTGTGGGATGATAGGTAGGTGCTTCCTGCAAACCGAATATGCGAGGTCGGGTTCGTGGGGTTGTGCTGCTGGTGCGCTTCACCGTGCTGAGATCAAGTGGACCAGTACAAGGTGGTGCGATGGCCTTGCGATCATCTGTTGCCGAGCCTGCCATCATGTCCCCGTGGATGGACTTTTCATTCAGGCGCATTACTTTAGTGGGATGGCAGCGTCGTTTGGGTAATAACTTTTCCACTGCAGGCCAAAAGAGAGAAAGCGGTGAAAAAGGTAGATGGGATGTTGGAAATGTTATAGCTCCACCACCACCACAACCACACACGCACACACACCACAACACCACAACACCTCTCGTCTCGTTTTCTTTTCATCATCACATTCACTCTTAACTTTTTCTTTATACCTCGTCTTTGATCATCATTGCTTTTTTATCATAATGAAAGAAAACCATCCGATCTATGATGGACACTACAACAACTATCCTATGATGCGTTACCCCCCATTGTACCGATATTGTTTTATTTTCTTTGATGAACAATGAAGCAAAGGATTATCATCATTGTATTGAGACCCAAGTGAATACGAAATGAGTACATAAGCTGGTTGATCGTCTACCTCATGGCTGATGCAACAAGGATGGTATATCAGATGCTATACCCAAAATCATCACCCTGTCCAACCAATCACCCCCTTTTATGTATCTTGATTCTGATTACTACTTGTGATAATGGACGTTGATGCGTGATGAAGGATTATCGTTGGCGTTTATCTGCAAATGATTACGTGTGCATTGAACCGTGAGACTTAATGATACTCTATAAACATCCGAGCACCGTGAAATATAGAGGAAACAAAACACACATCCCCAACCCCCCTCTCTCTCACACACACACCTAATCAAGAATCCTTTTGTAACATGTCATTTTCCATTCTTGTGTCATTCATGTTGGCATGAACGTTTGATAGTGCAAAAGTCAATGATTCTGATTATCTTTGGCTGCGGCTTAACAACCGTAACACAAGCAACGCACAAAATCCCATTTCTACCTGACTACAAGCTTCCATGGAGAAGGACAACAACAGCAATTCAAATGGTTTTTAACTCGCCAGGAGCTTTCTTAGTATTATATTCCAATATGGTCAATGCCATATATAGATTCAGTCGTTGCCATTGGTGACATTCATGTTGCCATGAGCCGTTGCCATAGCGAATGAGCATGTATGCCAAGATAGCAACACTTGGATTGGGCGGGGGTTGGGATGTTTCTAATGAAGGATGATGCCCCCTTTGCCTTTTATTCCGCCATGTGTTGAAATCCTACCTTCTTTTTTAAAGGACCTCCTATTAAATGTGGGCTGTGTTAATGCGAATCGTAGTTTTGGAAGCAGGTGATGTAAACAGAGAGATCAGAGTATTATTTCGCTTGCAAAGTAGACTGAATGCAATTCATCCACATACATGCATCTCGCATTTTCAATGTTAAATCAAGATATCATTTATCACATAGCAACAAGAGAAGAAGATAGGCGATGATGAGCTTATATGTTTTTGTCGCGGAGTGTCAGTTACCCTGGCAATAAAGTAAGCTTTATTCTTTGTTGGTGCAAATCAGCTACACTTTATGTATCATCAACACACGCTAATCACGATTCTTTGTCCCCCGCTCTTTTCTTTTTGGTCTCACAAACCGACTCGGCATCACTACATCATACACTACTTTTTCTTTTACACGCTCATACTCAACCCCTTCCGCCACTGTGTGTGAAAAAGAACCCCGCCCTGTGTGTGCCTTCTCTTTTCTTTCCTCTTGTTGCTCTTTAGCCTTCACAGTGCACACCTCCTCACAATCGCACTTCTCTTGTCCTTACTCTTTGCGTACGGCCATTCCCGTAAGTCCTTGTCGTCATCGTCTACGCGCTTGAACGCGCATTGTATCCACAATGACAGCATTGTCAAAGTCTGACACACTCTCTTTCTTTGTCCTCCGCCACCAGAGTCACCTAGTCTCGTTTATTTATTTATTTCCAGGGGACAATACTCGCTATTTCACTCGTAAGTTGACAGCAAGCAAGATACAGCTAAAAGAAACGTTTGTATAGTAAACTAATCAATGTTGTCATTTGTCTAGTCCATTGATATATCCATATTGTATTTGAAACGATGGTCAAGGTATGGCAGGAAATGAAAAGGGAACATGAAAACATGGGCATGGGTTATGTGTAACAGTGGATGTTGATATCTCTCTTTGGTTCAGCCTCGCCAATCACAACCTTCAAAGACATGGAACAGTAATGTAAGTATGCTATTTGGATGAGAGGGAAGAGGTGTATGTATCTAACCTCGATTTGAATAGACCATTAGCAGCAGCAGCAACAACGTACCAGAGAATAGCTTGCAATTCGAAGGTCCTTCTATCTTTAATGAACATGCGCCGGCGCATGAGGACTCTAGTTTACCACCTGACATGACCATTGCTCCCACTACGGTTGATGAATCACACGACCCTACCGCTACGAGTAGCAGCGTATTAGCCGTTCCCATGCTCCCTGGTGTATCCTTTGAACCTATTTACCGTCAACATCGAAGTGCATCGTTTTCAATGGGTGAGGATCCTGCTATTTTCGGTTACGACAAGGATGATGAGTATAGTGATGATGAATACCATGCTCAAAAGTACAAGACACCACTTGAGACAATGGCTGAGGAAGAGGATGACGAAGAAATCACCGAGGAAGAGATTGATTTTAAGCGAGTACGATCCATGTCATCTGGTTCAGCATTGGGTCGTTTATCATCATCACAACGAGGACATCTTTTTGAAAAGTACAAGCAACCATCATCCAGAAAACAACAACAACAGCCACCTGAGCCATCCTTGGCTGAAGATAGGTAAGATCAGGAGTGGATCATAAGGAAAGAAGGAAATGCTAAGTAAGCAAATGGGGTAAATAGCAACCATGATCAACAACAGCGACCAGATCCTGTACGCCAACTTGCCGAGCAATTGGAAGCTATGCAAGTGAGACAACAACAGCAGCAACAGCAACATGTAATGCACCCAACCGCATCACCAATGACGCATATGATCCCACCTTATCCTCATCACCCTCATCCTATGGCCCATCATCATCATCATCCTTCAGCTGAAATGTACATGGTTGCTGGTGGTGGCGGTGGTAGTAGTAGTGGCGTAAATACACCATCTTCACTTCCTCACACTCCTACGATGCCTCATTTTATCCCGCATGACAACAACACCACTGCGACAACGACTTCTTCAGATTTGGGCAAGGGTATCCCGTTACACAAGCTGCCTCATGGTGCATCGTTGTACATGGTTGAATTTAAAGCTGGTCGCACAGACTTTTTCTATTACAATGACACCAACAATGACACTATCCATTTGCATGATTTGGTCATTGTCGAAGCGGATCGTGGTAAAGATCTTGGAAAAGTGGCTATGGAACATCTTGAACCCGATCAAGTCTCACAAATGCATGCACAAAAGCAGCAACAGCAGCAACAACAGCAACAGCAACAGGATGAACACCATGAAACGGAGCCAACGGAGGTGCATGTCAAACGTATTTATCGGCAGGCATTGCCAGAAGAAGCGAGTGCATTGATCCTCAAAAGTCAAGATGAACAACGTGCATTGGCTGTGTGTCAACAAAAGACCAAGCAACGTAAATTGCCCATGGAAGTGGTGGATGCTGAATATCAATGGTAGGTTTCTTGAATGGGAGCAGGAGAATAGAAGGGTTCTTACACACATACACCATGTGCCCTTAGGGATCGTCGCAAGTTGACCTTTTATTTCATGGCTGATCGACGTATTGATTTCCGGGAATTGGTCCGAGAACTCTTCAAGATGTACAAGACGCGTATCTGGATGTAAGTTTGGGGTGCTCACAAACCTAAAAGTCGTTTATTTACAGGCTGTTTTTCGTTGTAGGTGCGCTGTCAATTCGGTGTAATGAGCCCATTGCACAATCACACAGCGTTCCTTTTTTAGTCTTTTCGGTTCTTTGTATCTAGTAGGCTTCCTTTTCTTTTTGTTCCTTTTTGCTTTTGTTCATTCTTCTTGTTTTTACCTTTTTGCGACGAGCCCTCTTGTCAACGATTCAGGGTTGTATACACACACTCTCTTGCACACTCATAAGCACGCACAACAACATCCTTTCAATCTCGTACATGTCACACTTTCACTCACACACACATCCGCCACATTCATTTATCGCAAGTCATTTACATAATGTCAACCAAAAAAATTCGCAATTTCGCATTCTATATTGCCTTGTGTGGGGGTTACATAATCATCTCGGGGAATGAGCAAGCATAGGATGATCCATTACTGCATCTACCTCGACATTGAGTGAATGCTATCCATATGCTTAACTTCGGCTCAAGTATGGATGTTAGATGCTATGTGATTGTGATCCCGTAACGTACACCTTCGAATGCTACAAGCTGTTTATAAGCGGTGCTGCGATCGTCGTTATAGTTTACGTAGCCCGATATCGATGCCTAGAAGTATGCGAGTAGCTATGTATCAACAACAAAGTGAGACCATCCCAACATCGAGGTACGCTTAAAAGAGACCAGGCAGCTATGTACGGAAATTTCCATTCTTTATATAAGAAGCAACACCTGATGCTATAATCACCACGTGACCCATTCTTGTCTTTGATTCCAATAGCATATTGAAGATGGATATGGTTTACGTGTATAAAGTTACCATGGGCCAAAATCTCAGTTGTTTTTCCTTTTCCTTTGAACGCGTCTATAAGTCTAGCCACCTTATCCAATTTTCACACCAATCAAACCCTATTTTCCGGAAGAACGATCGATGGAAGTCTGGGACGCCTTCTTGTAAATCCATCGTGCGCCACATGGGCATTCATAACAACATGTTGGTCATGCGTCTTTCTTTTTTACAAGTACTGTTTTTTTCTATGTGTATGTATGTGTGGCAATACACCGATACAACAAACATGCTATCCGGAATATTAATACATAATGTGAGAGTGTTGCTACCCTAGGTACTCATTATCGGATGATTTTGGGGGTATTGTGTATATCAATGATCGGCAGGTGGCGTGGATGTGGATTGTTTGCAGCATGTCAGGGAGTGATAGAATGAGAAGTTTGCTGGCTGTCAGCGCGATGACCCTTTGGAGCATTTAGCTGGGTTAACATGCCCTTATACAAGTTGCATAAATTGTTACGGTATGTTGCTAGGCATTCTTGTTGCTCCGATGTATATGGTTGGATGCAATCATTCGCTCGAGATTCAAAGGTGTTCATGTTTGCTATATTCGAGGAGGAGTTGATGGCTGTAAAAGATAGCGCTACTAGTGGTGGAGATGCCAATGTAGTGCTTTGTTGTTGATGCTGCTGGGCCATCCAATCCATGTCAGCGACTACACGCTCGTCGACGTCTTCTTTGGTTGTGTTGCTGCGCATCAAAGGTAGACAAGTAAAGAAAAAGGAGAAAGGAAAACCAAATTCCATAGCATGCCTTGAAAAGGCATTACTATATATCCGTGTGGTCACATGATCCTTAAGCGGGATGTCTTTGTGTACCTGAGAATGGAACAACCAATGTTTTTTACGCTGTTGCTATGTGTTTGTTGAAAAGGGATGTTTTCACATTGTTTTCTATCGTCAAACAACCGTTGCTCGGATTAGGGCTCATTGATGGAACAATCGGTACAGCTTCTCTTTTCTTTCATTCTTCTATTTTGATTGTTATCCACCCTTTCACTGATAAGCACCACATCGAGAATTTATTATTCAAAGATACATTTTGAGAACACACCCGCTAAGAATCAACACCACCACTACCCACCCCATTGCCACGACGAGAGCAATATAAGCCAAAGATGCCGTTATTGTGGGAGAATACATCGTCATCATCGTCCACTGATTATACCACTCGTATGATCGAGAGCGCGTGGCGGAGGATATTGGCCATTGCACAAAACCATTTGCATGAAGACCGACAGCAACCATCACCAGGTGATTCAAACTCTAACACACGACATGATTCGCAACGGTCATCACAAGAATTTTATGATCGAGAGCGCCGTATGGTTCATGCACTTGACACGTTGTTTCAGTTGGCATATGAAGGTTTATTGATTATGATGGGGGTCATTTATACACAAACAAGGTTTACTGACGACTCTATATTATATAACTTTTAGGCTCCGGGTATCTTGCCTTCATCTCGACCATTATATCCACACTTGATTCTGAGAGTCCAGTAGCCATGGCATTCTTGAGCCACATTATTGACCGAGCAGCATTACCATCACGTGAAACCATGGCATCAGTATCAAACGTCATTTTGGATCGACTCAACAAACCCAGCACGCGTCCTTTCTTTTCTCGTCGTACAACAGCTGCTTCAGATTGGAAACAACAATGTCCTCAATGTGGGTGCGATGCAGCGGGAAGTAGTAGTGAATCGTTACAACAACAGCAGCCATCCTCCTCCAACACTCCCAATGGGAAGCGTGCAATGGGACCCAGTGCAGTGTTGCGATTGAATGCGGCGTCATTGTGGTCATTGCTTGCAGAGAAATTCGCTGGTGATCTATGTCAAGAACTGTGGCATGAGCAAGTAGGCGACTTGTTGCTACATTTGCTAGCAGATACTGGGGAAGATCTTCGAGTAAGAACATTCGCATTGATTGCATTGGAAAAGTTTGCCTTGACAGGTAAGTGATCACATGTTTCAAATTGCCAAATTGAGCGTGTCCGATTCATGCAAACCATATTACACACATACACAGGGCCCGTCAAGAAGGCTATCCTAAAGCATCCATGCAATATTCGTGTCATTTTACGTGCCGTAGTACGGGAGTGTGAGTTGGCACATCAGCGTATTTATCTCAAGACACCCTATTATTACTATTCGCCATCAGCATTATCATCCTCATCCACGGCTACGACAGCAACAAACATGTCGGATGTTTCAACAAAGTCACCATTGCCATCACCCAGACAAAAGACAAAATCGTCTCCATGGAAACACAAAGATGGCATCAAGTCTCGTTTACACAATGCATGGCAAGATTGCAAAATCCATTGGGATCACCTAATCCACCGTAAAAGGCAGCACCAGCATCACGATGTCACATTGCAGCAGCAGCTAGACGATGAAAAGGACACATCTTCACTTGATCAGGATCCCATCAAACGTCGTGCAAGCCCTATTGAGTTTAGCAGCCTCAACAGCTTTGATACGGGGTTCATGCCACCGGAAGGTAAATTGCGTGATGAATGGACATTGTATGTTCAGCTCGCACACTGTGCTCGTTGGGCCCTCGACAATGTTTTTGGTAAGTGTCCTTGCACACATCTATATGCTGTATCTCTTTCTCATATTTATGCATGTGTGATGTTGATAGCCGATACCAGCACGAGTACCACTGATTCACCAACAAAGGTAAGCATGATTTGTAAAAAGTGGTAGACGTCATCTAATCCTTGCTCTCTCTCTCTCTATAAGCTTGCATGCTCCTGGGATTTGACTGGCTTGAATGTGATTATGAACACGTTTGATGCAACAGCACATTGGAAACTTGGTGGCAACGGGCTTGAGCTACGTAACGATCGACCTCATTTTGAATCGGTGCGAGCAACAGCATGTGTGAAACGAGGCAAATGGTACTATGAGACGTTGTTGCTCACAAATGGGATCATGCAACTTGGATGGGCCACGAGTCGATGTCGTTTCATACCCGAGGAAGGTTATGGTGTTGGTGATGATTGTGTAAGTAGTTTGTTTGTTGTATATGCATTGTTATCTATTATGCTAACAGCGCACATTTATAGAATGGGTTTGCATTTGACACGTATCGAACAGCTGTATGGGTAGGTTCATTGTTGATATAGAAAATAGGTGCATGTTTTTATTCACTATTGTGCGTGTGTGTGTGTGCTATGTAGGCGGATGGGGCAGCCGTTTATCCGCAAATGCGTAACAAGATCCAATGTCGTGCAGGAGATGTGCTTGGCAGTTTTCTCGATTTGGATAATGGCCTGTGCACGTATTTCATCAACGGGTGCGACCTCGGTTTGACGGTCGAGTTTGAACATCCTTCATCACGTCACCACCGTTTTGCCGGAAAGAGTATCGGTCTAGGATTGTATCCAGCAGTGAGTCTCACCACGCATCAACACATCTTGCTCAACTTTGGAGATCGTCCATGGATGTATCCACCACCGGTCTCTGTGAAATACAAGGGTGTCAGTGAAGCAGGTCGATTGGATGATGGATACAAGAATCGCATTCTTACCCACGTCCACAAAAAACATCAGCGTACAAGTGCAGGTGGTCGGTCAACAGATGCCTTGCTTATGAGCAATACTGAACACGATGATCATCAAGTGATGGCAAATTCAAGCAGCGATGATGAAGAATATGATTGGGATGGACCACTTTGCACTATTTGCTTTTCAGAGCCAAAGAATGTAGTTCTTTTGCCATGCAAGCATACTGGCTGGGGTCAACGATGTGCTGATGCACTTGACATGTGGTAAGTATTACTCACGATCATGTGTGATATCGAGCTCAATTCTCATTTGCTATTGTATGTAGTCCTTTATGTCGAGCTGATATTCAAGATCGTGTACGTACATCATCTCCTGTTATAAAGACATGAACACAGCCCCTACCATCTTGTATTATAGATCCCAACCCCTTCTTCTCCTATCCCATCCATTCATTCATCCCGCCTAAATTATATATAGTGATCGAAGCATAGCATTGTATCAATAATATCCTGAAGAAAAACCATCGCATCAATTCTATTGGGATCATTGTAGTGGTAGTAGTGGAGTTGTGGTGATGGTAACGAAATGAATAACCAAAAGAGGAGCAGATCAACAAAACTAGTAAAGAGTACAAAGTGCAAAAATGATGGTGGTAATAAGGGAGGTCATATAGTCAGGTTTGAAGAGGGCTGCTGTTGTTTGGTGGAGGAGGAGAAGGTGAAGTCGACTTGTTGCTGCCGATACGGAACATGCGACTGATACGAAAGAGGGATGATGATGAATGTGTGCTTGCTGATTTTAGAGCACGCTTGTAAGAATCAAGAAAAGCAATCTGCGGCTTATTGAAAGCGCCCCTGCGTTTTTCGCGGATATATTCAATGGCATCAAGCGGCTTCATGCCCATTTCAATGAGAGCAATCGCAACCAAGACAGGAGCTCTGCCAAGACCAGCTACGCAATGGACGGCAATGGTAGGTGTTGGATCTTGCTGCTTGGTCTTTTCAATCAATGTCAACCATTCACGCACAATCTGGGCTGGTGGCTATAGACAATGAAAATGCATAAGAAAGACCATCTTCTTTGTAATGGTTGCCATGGGATACATACCAATCCACCATCCTTGAAAGGCAAGTCAATCACTTGGATATTACGATCCATCAACCGATTGGCACTATACGTAGGCTGACAGCATCGTACCACCGCAGCAACCTGCAACCGGTCAAACTGCTCAATATAGAAATCGAGTGTGGACTCTGTCGGGCAATCGAGAATCAAGAATCGAAGCGATGAGTTTGGACAGTCAATGAGTGAGAGCATGCGGCCTAGTGGCGAGGATCCGTTGCGAGCTGTGAAACGCTTGTCGCTAATGTTGACCATTGTTATGTGGGGTAAAAGAGTTGTTGTTGTTGTTGGTGATGTGAGTATAGAGAGATGGGAAGACGAGATCAGGGAGAACAAGGCCCGTGAATAAAAAGAGAGAGGGGTGATGGGATATTCAACAAGAAGAATTTATGGAGAGATCTGCCGTCGTCGTACTGTGCCAGCAATAGGGTCGAAGATGTTTTGATCAAGGGTTGGATCAAAAGAAGGTGAAGGCATAAGTGGGTGGAAAAGGGAACAAGAAGATATGAAAGAAAAAGAAAGAGACGAGACGACTCAAAGAAAATTTTGCATGTCAGCGACCCAACCCACCACTTAACCACCACAACCGGATCAACTTGTTTTGGTTGGTTGCCCGTGCGATGCTCTCTCTTTTCGGATGCAGCACCATACTCAAATCCCATAAAAAGAGATAGAAAAGGGGTACACATGCAACCGCAGCGGCTGTGCGAGTCATCCCCGCCACACATACACACATACACATGCATTAATATGCAATAATAACTCATTCCACTACTACTACCCACCACTTCTCGCAGTATCATCTTTATTTTCCGAGAACAACTCGCCACCTAAAAAGTCCATTTGGGCCGCCACTTAACCCCTACCCAAAAGTAACCAGCCTAAATGCTCATTATCATCATGATCCCCCAGACAAACTGAAACTTGGTGGCGCCCTCAACAGAAAACGATAACGTTATTTATTGCCTCGCCTATTCACATGGTCTCACTTGTGCAAACAAGACGTATGGCATCATAATTTTGCTCCCGTGATAGGATGAGAAAAGGATTAGAGCGACATTTATTCTGTCACAAGTAATAGCTGGTGGTGCATTGTATTGACCATTTGCCTGGAATCCTCCTCGTGTACAAATATTCTCGCACTATATTACTTGTATTCCAGCTTTACACTACTCGACGTATAGCGGGCAATGATTTCCTTCGGATATAAAAGATCCTCTTTTTCTATTGGTGGTTGCCCAAACAAACTACCATAACGCTGATGACAATGATAATGAATGATCTTTACTCATAGCAACAACCCGGTTAGTGAAGAGTTGTACTATTGTGCTGTGCACATGCCGACAAGATGCGGCATTTTTCCTATTTGATGTCAGCGCCGTGCGCGCATTATGCACATATCTAGTTTACCACGGTGCATCTTTGGGCTTATCAGCTGGAAGGGAAAGGGTGTATGTAGGTCGTGGGGGGACCAAAGAGAGAAAGAAAGGGGGAAAGAACCAATGGCAGATTTCCGGATGATGCACATTGTATAATCAAACGTAAACATTTAGAGTATAATTCATTCCGTGATGACCACATGACGCAACTCAACATGGTTCCTTTTTAGCGGGGATCAGAGATGCATCACCACACAAGGGTCTTTTTCGCTACGTGCATCATTTTTCGCCTTTATCTCTGTATATGACCACACCTTCATGCTTGTACGTCATTTTCACACCCGTGTGTGCATATGATACCTCATTCATATACATTACCAAGGGACCCTATTGCTATCATTTCTCCTCCCAGATGGGGTCAATACGATGACTCATTACGACAACTGCGTCGTTTGTTGCTACGCCCATTAAGTCTGTAACGGATTCAATCCTTCTGTTGTGCGTTCCTTTTTCTACTGCCGTGGCACCGTGATACAAGACTATTTTTGAAAAAGCCTGTTTTTTATCATACTTGCGACAAGGCTACGTGTATCAAGTATTGTGTTTATCGTTTTCCCCATGTCCAAAATGGTCATTGCATCAGATGATATGCCATTATGGTAATGCTTTTGGCTGTGGCTGATGTACTGGGGATTGAGATATGGGACATCCAATGTCATTCTTGCGGATAGGAATTGGGATGTTGACCAGCGGTTGGTCGAGGAGCCAAACATGTGGATGAATACGGAAGAACTTATCCGGAGAGGCGATGGATGGATACCAGCTGCATTGTGTGGGTGTCAGCAGATGCGATAAGAGAAAATGAGAGAAAAACGTGGAGCGAATAATGTCAAGGGTGAATTTGTGCGCAACCTTTACACCAACATGGTCATCATCCATAATTTGCACACCCATCATGCTCATCGTCATAGCTAACCAAGACCATACATGATTGCTATAGATGGACAGCATAGCTCACATGACCTAAATTGTTATCGCTTGTGTCCTAGCCAACGTTAGATATCATCACCTGGTCCAAAATGAGCGTTTAGGTACTCTCTTATGCAATAACAACAGCACATCAAATTATGATCTACATGACATGATAAAAAGACATACATACAAATGACCCAGATACCTTATAATGTGCATTGACATGGAGCGTAAAGGGCTTAAGGGAGACGTTGGCATTGATCACCGGCTTAGTCGTGGGAAGTCTCTCGGTGCTTTACATAACTTGGATACGGTGAAGTATGTCAAGCTACCCAAAAACAAATGGAAGCGGTAAAAGCTATGCGTATCTTAAGGATAGACACCTCGATTTATGTTGAGGACGCTGTCGCTTGCCTCTTACAACATACCCCGCTTAACATAGTCGATGCATTGTGGTATACATATCCGTGGTCCTAATACCTGTCAACAACAACTACACGTTTGCATGAACGAAGCGTATGAATACAAATGACGGCAACATGAGCATCTTGAAAAGCATTCACCTGGAAATCACTCCTTTGCATTTAGTCTTCTATATTTGTGGTGCCAACGTTGAGGATTATCGCACAATGAGGATCATCCTTCAAAGCTTGATACGCTTTATGAAGGATTGTTCTGCTGGACTCAATGCTAATGCAAAGATAAAAGGGCAGGAAACATAGTAGGAACGAGGTCAAATAAGATACAATGGAAAGGGGGCTGTCGGGAGGATATACATCGTTAGGCTCAAAACCTCGTCGCTGATCTTTGATATTGCACACCACACGTTACATCCTTGATTTACGGCACTCGATGCGTGGTACTACAAGTACGATTGCTTAACGTTTATCGGGACTTTACATAGGAGAGAATAAAACAATGGTAGAGGAGAAAAGGAAACGTGCCCTTGCATATGGAGCCGACAATCACCTGATCGACGATCGTTTCCAAGTATGTAGGCACTTAAGTATACATACCCATCCCCAAGCTATTGCACAACACAAAAGCTCAAAATGTCATATAATGATCGTGAGAACTGAAATGCATCATGATCCGCCTCTATGATGTGTCATCACGTTATCGCTCTCAGGATTCAAGCTACTTACTCACGAATTTACAGTAGCACGATCATTGATAGCCTTAATCCGTGGAGCTGCTGTGGAGCTTTAAGCCACGCTGATAGGGGTGTTATTTGGCAGAGATCCCTTTCCCACATACACGACAACAAGGATCAGCTCGTTAAGGTTACACGCGTGTTAGCAACCGAGAATTTGGATGTTCATGTTGTTGAAAATATCAACAGGCAATGCGTAGGGAGTTAGAGAGGGAAAAAAGTCAACTACAAGTAAAAAAGGGGTTGCCAATAGAGAGAGGTTGATGGCATTGTTGTTGTGCTTATCATGTCATTGGTCATTTTCTCTTGTCAACAAGGTACATCATGTATGTACAAGTCCAGGTCATGGGCCAAGTTTGTCAATCATGTAATACCATGGCCGTATTGTTTGAGGAGTTGTTTGATTTACTAGACCAGCTATTGCGATAGGACCATCAGGAGCCATGGATGGCACAAGAGGTAACGATACATGCGTGTGCAAATGTACGGCGCGTCTCACTCCATACCGATGATTTTCATCGATTATTGCCATGTTCAGTAATCATCAACATTTGCCGTGTGATCTCCCGCACATGGATCAAGACACAACAACGACACCCCTGATATGACTCCACGCCTGGTTGCTGTAAATGTCATCTACCCATTGATTTGGGGTGCTAAACAAATGTCTCAACAAGGCAGTCATTCACGCTGATTCCGTATACGATGAAAAGGCTCATTAATTGTGATATGCAGGGATTTTACAAGCCAAGATGAAAAGATCATCGCTCGTTAATGTTAATGGATGTCTTACCAGCAGCAGCAGCAGCTCCTCCTACCCAACTCATTCTCACTCCTGCTAATAAAGATGATAATTCAACCCCATGAATATGAAGTTTGGTTCCACATAGTCGGCTTTTTTATTTGTTGCCTTTCAAAGAATAGAAATGAAAGAGCACAAGCGGCTCACGCTTTGTCGTAGTACAGTGTTGGGTGTGCTGAACATCTTGGTTCATTTCCCCAACCCCCTCTTTATTCGGAGGTACTAGTAAGTTTATCAAAACAAATGCACGTCCACTGTTGGATGCATGCCAATCACCTTGATTCCCGAGTCGGGGTGTCATTCAACGTCAACTTGGTCCCCCCTTGTTTTCTCTACCTGCTTCCAAGATACCCCAATCCTTCATGATGTGTTGCATGCTGGGATCACGTACATGTATATGTAATAAAGACTATATTTATATTTACTAAATACTATACCAGGGAAGAACCACAGAGGAGAGAGTGTGTGAGCGCAAAAAGAAGGCATCCAATAAGCTAATTATGATACAGAGAAGAAGAAAGGCAACGTGGGAGGGGGATAGTGGGATTGTGGAAAGAGAGCGAGTGATTGAGATGGGACATCAGGGGATGAACGAAAGAAAAAACTATGATAGATGAAGATAAAAGGAATAAACGTAATCATAAAGGAAATAAACGAAACACTCTTTGTTGGAGATTAACCTTTGTCAACCCTTGCCTTGCTCTTTCTCGCTCTTTCTTCTCACAAAAAAGGCGGGGAAAGGAGTTGAGATGAGATAGAACGAGAGAGAATAAGGAACACGGGATGAAGATATATATCGATGGACTATTGTAGCATAGAAGACGATGGTGAAATTGGAGTTGTCGTGATGAATCATGCTTCACGGGGTTGTTGTGTTGGTTGTTGTTTCTTTTTTCTGCGACCAGGATGAGCAGCACCTTCAACAATACGACGTACGAGTACAAAGACGCCTTCAGACGAGACGACAATGTCTAAAAGACCAGTAAGCATGTATTACAATCATCACGTATGCACACAACCCTTTCTCCCTTTTATCTTTTGCCGCCTGTGTATGTGCACACATACAGCAAACACGTTCTCATCCCTTTGTAAAACTTACTTTGCACCATATCAGCCATACAATATCCTCCCAAATTGGCCTGCCAGAAGTAAAAGTCAGCGATAACGTTGCCGGTTTGATAGTGGTTTTCGAGATCTCGTTGATGCTTAAGAGTGAGTGGATGGAAATCCTGTTCCTTCATAACACCCCACTCGGCATGGTATTGTTTGTTTGGATCAGCTCCAGCTACATTGAGTGATGTGTTGCTGGTTGAGGATGATGACCCATTTGGATTAGCTGGTTTGGTAGTCGTCGATGATGACGATGATGTAGTGGTAGCTGTTGTGGTAGTAGGAGTAGTAGGAGTAGGTGCACCACCTGTGGCAGCAATTGATGGATCCATATTCCAGGATGATGGTGGTGGAGGATGATGTTGTGATGGTGGTGGATTGGCTGTGGGTGAAGAAGTTGAAGAAAGAAGCGGTGGATGAAGGAGTCCATACGACATCATGTGGTTGGGACCAGTGGCTGCTGTTGCTGTTGCTGTATTTTGATCTTCAGGACGATATGCCATAGCAGTGGTGTGTTGTGACATAAAAGAAAGAAAGAAAGAAAGAGAAGGAATGAAAAGGGGGGTGGGTGAATAAGCCGGGTATTTAAAGTTTCGTGCGTGTATATATGTGGTCTCTTTTTTGTCATAATAGTTTGTTCATTCACCCTATCAATCGCTCTCTCGCTCTCACTCGCTCACACTCCCTCTACTCATGCACAGTATAAACAGTGCGCTGTGCGTCAAATGTTTCCGGCGGTGGAAGTGTGCCTGAAATGATCGAGTCGTGTAACCTGTAGAGAGAGATCGTCAGTTTAAAGTGAAGCTCAGCCATATTTGGGGGTCGGGGGTTGGAGAAAGTAAAAGAATGATGAGCGTAAAAATGAATGTGTATTGATAAATAGGTATGTTTGTCAAAGAATGGGCGTCCATTCGTCATCATTGCTTGTGCGTATTGCAAGGTGTGGATGATTGTTACTAGAACAGGGAGTGTAATTGCTGAAAATGTGTCTTGCTGAGTATGGGGTATGTGCCTCGCTTAGGTTTTCTCACTCTTTTCTATACGCCCAATGCACCCCTGAAGCGATAAACGTGCAGCATCACCCACAACAGCAACTATCATGGGGGAAAGGGGTACCTGGGGCCCATAGCAAATTCACCGTTTCGTTGCTATGATACCAATAACAAAAAGAACAAAGAAATCATATTTTATTATGCATCATGATCCAAAACAAGGCCTTCTTGTTACACCCTGCAAGGTTTCGCCAAGCAAATCTTAAACTTGTTCGGCAAAAAAAGGCGTCAAGGTAGACCGATCTACATGCCGTCAATAGATTTCATGCTGACAACAAATATGGGGTAAAGTGTGATTGCATAAAAAAATGCGTGCTTGTACGTCGACAAAAATGTACACACCCAAACAACACGTATGGATGAATGAATGAACGTGTGATAATCTTTATAGTCTCCCCTCAGTAACATGATCCGGTAGGTGGAACGTGCGGTGTGTGAGTGAGAGTAAAGTGTAATACCCACGACGCGGAACGTGCGACCACATTGCACTGCATGATGAAGTGAGACCTTGTGCTCCCATATTTAACTCAGTGTCAAAAAGGACAGTGCTTGACAGGTTAGAAAAGGCATAAACCTTGTTTTTATCTTCTGTGTTCAAGGGTGGTTTGTGTGCCGTGTATGTTGCTTCCCTACTAAATCGGGCCCAATGTTCTTTATGTTTGGTTCATGACAAGCCCAGGCCACCATCATCCAAAAGGTGAGTTTGTGGTAAACATAGATATATGCGGTGTAGCAAAGAAAACAAGCACAGCTGTACACAACCAGGAATACGTATACGCTAATATACCTTGTCATGGGGGATCACTGTTTGTCTAAAAAGGGATCACGTCACGCAAAAAAAACGACAACGGCAGGAAGGGGTGTCCTTGGTCAAGGAATAAAAACGTATGTACCTCACCCTATCTTGGTAATTAACGTGCACTTGACTAATCCCCATCATTGTATGTGTCCTTGCTCTTGCTATTGGCTGCTTGTTCAAATTAATAAGAGAAGAAGATGAGTGCTTGCTCTTCTTTTCTCCCAAAGCAACTAGCGCCCTTTCGAAAACAACAGGAGCAAAATAAGGGTTGATGGGGGTCCGAGTTGGATTGAATTCAAGGGTGCATCTAGAAACATGCCGAATTGCTAAGATGACCCTACACTTGAGAGTCTGTAATTGTACAACGTATCTCAATACTGCGTAATCATTCATGCTTCAGCAAAGAGGCGATGTTTATTGGGAATGAGGATTGATAGAATGCAAATGATGACATGTTGTATATGTATGTTTTATGATGATGCGTATAGGTGTCTATGGTTTAAGAGCACAAGTGATTGAGGATAGCGAGACACGTGAGAATGAGTGCTGCCTTGAAACGTAAATCCTGCCATATCAATGTCCACCTTGAGATTGTTGGTTTCTCATGCCATACAGCCTGGTCGTTGTCATCATCATCGTCATCGTCATCCGAGGATGGTGTTGAAGAGGTTGGAAGTAATGGTACATGTTGATAATTGGAAGAGCGGTGTTGTTGATCAGTTGTAGCGGAAGCGGATGATGATGTTGATGATGCACAGATCCACTGAGAAATATCGCTTGTGGTCCGATTGAGATGGTAACACACGAGAATAAACACCACGCTGGATACTGCAAGGTTGATCCACCATCCCATGGTGCCATGCTTCACCCAAGAAGGATTCGTTAATACCACCAACAGCCCCTTGGTATCAGCTGCAAGCCACATGTGGAATTGTCCAATGTAGGTCTCCAGGGAACACTTGCCAACAAACTCAAAAAGACCCAATGTCGTATTACGCAACCGCTTCGTTGCATTGCGCAACACAATAAAGGCGATGATAGGAATCCATGACAAGTAAGGATGATAAGATGTATACGCCTGCTTGCTAGGAAGTGATCGTTCAAAGTAAAAATACCACGTCAAGGCTGCAATCGATATTACGGCGGCTGCCACCTTCACCAGGAGCCAAGCTTGATGTTGCACACGTTCGATGCGATCGGACAAATGAATGACACCATATGCAAAGAGCATGCCAATATACACAATCCAAGCATCCAAGGCCATACGGAATCGCCACATATCCACATCCCAATGGACATTGAATACCACTTCCAATAAAGAGAACACAGCTTCCAATACGCCATCAGCATGGATCAATACGCCTGTCAGCAAGCCCATAACAACGATCTTGCCAAGTAAAAACCAAGGTTTGCTTTGGTTGTGTGTATGGCCCACAAACATGGTCACCCAAATGACACCGAACCAGAATGTGACGAGAGGAGTGAAGTAGTAGCTCAGGTAATCGGTATCCATCACGTACACCAGCACCACGGTCAAGAGATTGAGACGCAACAAGATACTAAATACACGCGCAAATCCAAAGTCGCCTTTCTTGTAAAAGAAGCTGAAATGACCATAGCCTGTTTGGAACAAATAGGCCGCCACTAGCACGCGCATGATATTGTAGATAGCAGGAACATCGATTGCATCCATAAAATGATACACCAGGATAATGATTTGCATCCATCCTTTCCATTCATCCGTTTGTGCTCGATTCAAAAAGCCTTGGTCGTCTTGATCTTTGGTGCGAAGCGTTAAAATAGCACCAACAAGCGGAATCACCAGCAACCAGCCGAAAATTGAAGCATCAAATAACTTGAACACCTTGCCGAAAAGATGGGTGCGATCACCAATGTACATGTATACGACACCAAGCCCGAAAATGAATAGCGAGGCCAACACCTCCATCGAAGGCAAGAAAAGACACATTGAAGCGATACGATGGCAATATCCATTGGGCGATGTGTAATTGAGAAGAACATAGCCGATAGGGACGCGTATCAAAAAGAAGACAAGAAGCATGATTTGGAGCCATGAAGGAGTTGGGTATCTCGTACAGCACGTTGTGTCGAATGGAAAGTGTTTGGGCAGCTCATTGTTGCATCGATAATTCAATGCCAGCGAGGCCTGAATTGAGGTAACACCTGAAAGATAATGTAATCCATCCTCAGTCATGTTGGTGGTGCTTGATCCAACCGTATTCCAAACGTAAGGTATCACAAAAGGTGTCTTTGGCATCAATGTTTGTTCACGTCCTCGAAGATAGGTGTTCATGCGATGGATCTTGTCGGCTGTAATTGTGTCACCACGCTCGGGACTCAACAAGTCGTACTGTGGAACTTCGACAGGTGATAGCATCACTGCATCAGCAACATGGCTCGCCTTTTCCACAGCATCCATGACGTGATCCACGGCCACCTTCCAATCGTCAAAGTATCGATCACCGAGATTCTTCATATACCAAGGACCGCTGCCGATAATCAATAGACTAGCTCGGCGACGACGATCATCATCAACAACATCAACATCATCTTCATCCTCATCTTCGCTGAATACGCCACGATCTTTGTTGAGCATCTCCAATGTACGTGATTGATTCAAGTATGGATCCCACCATAGCTCAATGGACATGCCGTACTTTTCAGAAGAGTACATCCTATCTGAATGCTTGGAAGGGCCTGATCGCTTCAATTTCATATCGGGTATAAAGGATGTCATGGCCGTGAATTGCTCTCGCATGATGGAGTCGCCAATGTATAGCACCCTTGAATGATTGAGGCACTTTGACATTTCATGTGGTGTATAATCGTGTGGCATGCATCCTGAGGGTTGCCACGTGGTATAATTGTCGCCAACCCACCATCCATCGTTTAGCATGCCATTGCATCGTGTACTATCCTGAGGAACTATTGCATGAACACAAGCATAAGTATTACGTTTGTTTGATAGCTCAATGGCGATGCTGTTTACCTGTAATGTATCTCACAAGTGATAGCAGCAGTACAAGAAAGAGAGTGAAGGTGGCGCCGATATGGACAATGGTGGCACGAGTAGAAGGACTGACATTGGCACCCATTTCAAAGGAATGGGGGGATAGATTGGAATGAAGGAATGAGACAATGGGAAGGAGGAGGAGGAGGAGGAGAAAGGAACAAGGTACGTTCGATAGTTGTGAGCGCGCCAGAAAAAATGCATGTGTGGGATGTTTCTTTGTGTGCCTGCCACTAAACCAGATCTGTCATGTCAATTTCCAAGTGATACCACCATCCTCATCTTCCGACACGCAGATCCTTTTACTTCTTATCCACATGGGGTTTAGTTGCCCTGTTCTCCTCCCTATTTTTGGTTCCTTGTTGCTCATTTCCATGCTGCTATGGTAGTTATGGCTTGAATAAACCTGGTAACAACATCTTGGACTAAAGAATGAGACATTCACACATTTACAATGGACACATTCACATGATGTAATTGGTTACAGCAACCATTTTAATTCCCAATTGATGATTCGTTTATGGATTCCCGCTTGATCTCCCTTGTTCCTATTCCCTGGTTCGGTTACACCAATTTCGCTTCAGCTATTACACCTTCCCCGCTCCTCTCTCTCTCTCTCCACACACACACATACATACACACAATTGATCTATCCCAGTAGTAGGAGTAGTCCCAGCATTGTTGTGCACCAATCGATCCACGACGATGGATTGTCTTATCCGTTAGCATGGGGTTGCTATGGCATATAAGCCCAAACGTGATATGGTAATTGCTTTCCTTTATGGAAGGCTTAGAAAAGAAGGGCGTGGATAGGTTTCCATTGAGCAAAAAAAAAGAATAACCAACATGAAGCACACATGACTTTGCATGTACGCATACTTTGCAAGTGATATACATGCGTAATGCATGATTAATTTACTTTATGCCTGATTCAATTGCTGCATAGTTCAATAAACGACAAACGTAGAAAGAGGTGATACCTTTCCCAAATGAGTGTGTAAATCATGGGATGACATGTAGCCATGTACAAGATCCATTTTTAGTCGTAATATATGCACTGTATATAAGATAAGATCTATGTAAAGGTCTGGACAGGAGAGAGTTGAATGGTTGTTGCCTAGATGCATGATCGTGTGTGCTTACATGGCTCAAATTCCCAGATACAAACCATCTTTCCTCAGCTTCCTTAATTTCTTTTGAATCACCTCCGAGCAATATCAACCCATGGCTGGACCCTGTTCTTTAAGTTTGTGACAATGATACATACACCACGTGGGACGTGTACCATGCGTTAAGGGGTATTTCTTAAGGACAAAAACTCTAGTAATGTGATGATCTTTTTACTTGACATGAAAAAAATTGTATTCGTACAGCGATGTCATTTGAGTACATACATACATACATACATACAGGTATCGGAGGTAAGGGTGAAAATGATGATGATCAATGAAAGTAAAAGAGAGAGGGTGTATGAACGGTGAATTTGAGGTAAGCATTGAATCCAACAGCAAATAGCAAAGCAAAGCAAATGGCAGTGGGACCAGAGATGTCGTCGTATGGACCAGGAAGCTTGTTACGAATCAACTCACGACGTCGATAATAGAGACCCATACCATACATGAGCGTAGAGAGTGACACCAATGTATACACAATACCACACACCTTGGCTACTGCATCACCAGCATTGAAGAGGGCGATAGAAAATGTCGATAAAAGCGAACCAAGAGACATCCATGCAAAGTAGGTGCGTTCATTAGCGAAAAAGACTTTGGGTTCAACACGTAAAGGAGTGACGACCTTCTTGGGCACCTTGACACCAGGTGGAAGAACAACAGGTGGATATTTGGTTTTCTTGCGACGATGAACCAATTGGCTCCAGCTCGTTTTCAACGTATCCTTCCAATTGTATCCATCTTCTTGAAGTGATCCATCCGTTGATGAAGGAGGTGATGGCATAATACCCATGTATCGAGTGCTACCTCGCTGATGTTGACCACCCAATAAAGACGTACGCTCATTGACAGGTGACCTAGGAGTGGCAGGTTCCAGAACCAGGCACACATCTTCATCCGCTACATTGGATAATGGAGGCGACGATGCTTTTCCTTTTCCTTTGTGTGTCTTTTTGCCCACCGATGGTGTTTGTGATGGAAGCACAGGGAGTTGTTCCACATCTTCATCCACCTGAGCAAGCCAATAGGGAAGCAACGCCACACGTGTATCAAACATCAAAGCCATGCCATGAACAAATTTGCTGAATTGGTGCGTTTCTTCCAAAATGCCGCTCTCTTCAAGATCAATGATCCACTCTGGTTCAGTTTCTCCAGGTCCAAGGTCGAGCTTAATCTCAAATGTGGCATAAGGATAACGATTGATGTCGCTTTCTGGTTTCAGATTGGTGAATGGATATTCGATATCAGCATCTGGGCGGTGCCAAGAACCATCAGGACGACGAATAATGGGGTCATTTGAAAATAGATTGGTATCCTCGCGAATAAAACAAAGATCGGTATCCAATGCCATACGCAATCGATTGTCTCCTGGGATTTGGAATGCTGTGCGCTTGTAATAGGTTCGAAGCACTAGTAGATAGGTAATGAGTACATGTCGCTAAAAGAGCACATCCATTGGCTACATACCTGGTTGCATATCCTTTTCCTTAATCATACGTTGAAGATCACGAGCGAATGCTTCAAACTTTTCAACGTCCTCCTCTGACTTGCCCAAATTGTTTCGCATTTTGTTGACGGCTTTGTGGATAAATGTTTGGTCACCATTCAGGAACCCGGAAACGTACTTGTCCTTGATAATGAACCGATCCGTCAATTCACCTTGTTCTTCATCCGCCAATGTGCGCCGTTCAAATACAATGGATGTGTTGTTCTTTGCACTTCCATACCACCGTAAGCGTACCACCTGAGAGCCTTCAGCTGATTCAACACGATCATTGTAGCTATCGAGTGACATGTTGTCCAGGTACAATGATGAGATGGGTGGATCGATATCATCATGGTCGACGCCATTATCACGATAAACGAGCACTGGCAAATGTCGCAGGACGTAGGTCTTGAGTTCCAAAATGTTGTCGGCATGGACGAAAAAGCGTTTCACGAGTACACGTCGATGATCCACCACTTGTTCCCCATATTCGGTTGTTGATTGTTTCAGAATGGGCGTCTTGAATGACATTTGCTTGCCACCATCACGCACTTTGCTGAAGAGTTCTGATAGCTTGATAAGAAGAGCATCATCATCTTGCTTCCAGAAGGGACACTGGTTGAGTCGCACCATAAACATGGGACGCAAGATGTAATTGGTGTGGCGATCATGTTTCTTGACAATCTTGAGGAAGCCGGTGTAATTGAGACGAGAAAACCTTGCGAGTCGATTCACATCATCTGCAATCTCATTGATGTGCTCTTGGATATTGGCCATATCGGAAGCATTGGGCTCTGAAGCAATCACTTGATCCCACGAATCGATTCCACTGATGATCTCATCATGCTTTTGTTGATGGAACGCATACACCTGAAACCATATAAATAAATACAACCTTATTCACCTCAACACCCCCCAAAGACACGTTCAAACGCCAAAAGAGTGTTTTTACCTTTTCCAAGTTGGCATCCAATACCTCGACAAATTCAGTCTCGTCCTTCTCGGTGAAAGGTCGGTCCTTTTCAGCCTTTCTCAGCTTCTTCTTGAGCCCGTCATAATCAATGTAGTGCGATTGCCACTCGGGGTAAATGGCGTTCTTCAATTGCGATCCGAATTTCATTGAGCAGCCCAATCAGGAACAACAAGGTGCGAGAACAGTGGAAAAGAAGAAAAGAGAGGAAGAACACCGCGGGTTAAAGATAGGTGTATCGTCGCAGGATAGCGGAGCTTTTTCAGGTTGTTGGCTAGTGCTTTAATGGTTGCCCCCCTTTACATGGATACAAGATCAATGGCAATGCTCCCCATTACAGTCATCGTTTATAATAAATCACCCATTGTCTATTATAATACATGCTTGTTTCTGCTACCTAAAAGGCCTTCATCTATGCCAGAGATCACAATGGCGGGTGTATTGGCTGATCTTTGATTTTGTTACACACCATGCCTTTTAACCAGTGAAATGTAGTCCTGGACCACACGTGGTGTTCCTCCATCAGATCACAGCATTTGTCATTGGAAGCTACATAGCCAATTGTCATTCACAAATTTATTATTTGGTTCGTGTACTGAACATGATTGTATACATCTTGATCTCAGCAACTTGGCCACATCTCCTCTCATTGTTGCATTATGATTACCGCAGCGATACACATTATTTAGGAGGATGGACCGATTCATATCTTATTAAAGTTGACAATGATGCAGTGTGCGGAAAGAACATTGGTTTTGTTAACAAGATTGTTTATGGAGTAATTCAGCATGTAGAAGGCATAGGAAAGATCAAGTCTTGTGAAGACAAAAGCTTTGTGATACACGATGCATAAATGGTGTATGGATCCATTTGCGGACATTCCTGTAATATGGAGCGTGGATTGGAAGGAAAAATTTCTCGATTCAAGCATCATGCCCTTCTTGCCCTCCACCTTTAAGATGGAATCATCACATCATTTTACATCATCTTGAGTGGATATCGAGCCATGAGCTTTATGCCTACAACGGGGATTACTATATCGGACACTTTAGTCATAAAACAACTTGAAGCATAAATGTCCCCTTTCTTTACGAATGCTATCGATAATAAAACGATCCATGCTTTGGGCAACTTGTCATTCTAACCACGTGGTGAGAAATTGCTTGCCACCGTGGGATCATTGTGACGTATTGTGTGTGCGATCATGATCTTATGAATGATTCTCTGGTCACATCACTGATGCTGCAACTACCTTGAAAAGTCCCATAGGTACAAGGTAATAAAGAAAGTTGGCACAATCAGATAGGCAAATGCCCAAATCAAGATTAAATGACTGTTTCAGTCATACAACATAGGCGTGATAAAGGCGCGGGCGCAAGCGGTCAAACGCCTCTTGGCAGCAAACATGTAAACTTTAACCCGTGATTGAGCCTCCACTTTTGATGTGCATTTCATTTCCGCCTTTGCGTTTGTGTATACATCAACAGCACCAAAAAGATAAATATTATTCTTACACACAATGGATCATGTTAATGGTCCCGTTTATTATACCCTTGCAATGGGATGACTAGAAAAGACATATGGATGTTAGGGGTCAAGAGGTGTGCGATTGGACGGTGCGGAGCGATTGGATCGGTATTGAAACAATCGATGATGTAGTAGGATCGTACTACCCAGCAACACACACGCAGTTGGATCGGCCGTTTCCGAGAATGGATCAAGTTCTTTTTAGATTACATTTTCTAATCTCTTTGTTTCTCACCTTTTCCTTTTTTTCATTTCCACACAACCTACTTCAACAATGGTGTCCGATACGTTGAGGAGGATAGTAAAAACCTATATCCTTGACAAGAGCACCATGTGGAAGAGGTTGATCAAGTGCGCTGTAGCCTATGAAATCGCAACCATCATGCTCCTTATCCATCCAGTTCTCGACGCCTTTGGAAATGTTCCCTACTTGTTGATATTGGCAACGTTGTTTTTTAATCCTGCAGGCACCATTGGTTTCCAAATAGTCGAAATATTCCTCAACATGATGTACCTCGTACCAACAGCCATATTCATTGCCATCATCCAATACTGCCTTGCTTTATACAACAGCGCATTAGCGAGGGGCGTACCTCTTTACAGCAACGGTGCAGGCGTCATTGCAGCTGTCTCTTACTTTGTGTGTGTCTACGGCATCGCTTTCACTCGAGTCAAATACCCACGCCTATTTCAAGCAGCCATGCAAGGCATGCCGTTGCCATTCTTTTGTCTCACTCGTGACATTTATTCGACCGAATTTAATGTGTTGGTACCTGCTGGTATTGTTTACCCTATGGCGATCGGTGGCTGTATCACATTACTTGTCAACATGTGCCTGTGGCCCGAAACGGCTATCAAGGCTTCAGAGTAAGTTTTATGCACGGAAGGGGTGAGCGAGAAACGACAAGCGGAATTGGTCATTTATGGAAACAAAATTTAGGGTGTCACTCGGGAAAAGTTTAACAGCTCTACGAAGCGTGCTCGAATTTATGATGGACAACGAGACCGCTATCACCACAAGTGAACATCTCAAAGGCTTGGTTGGATCATTACAAGGTGCCGTTGATGGTCTTCGCAAAGCACAACGTGAAGCCAAATATGAGGTGGCAATAGCACGATACCCACCACTCGCTTATAAGCCGATATCGCATACATTGGATCGCTTGGCTGATCATATGTATGGCATGCAGCTTGCGTTAGAACGTACGAGCCAAATCATGTTGAATCCACCCACATCATTCAGTAACAATGAAGCTTTAAACGACGACGTCGAAGAAGATGAGGAATTGACGGTGGTGACACGACTTGAATTTAAGCACCTGACTCGGGTACATGATGCTATACAACCTGCTATGCGTACATTTATGAGCCATTGTGTCGACATGTTGGGTCGTATCCAGAATTCCCTTGCTAGCAATAGAGCTATCCCTCGATCCATGTCTGTTGAAAAGCCTGGTGAAGAATTACAAGAACATGTAGCTGTGGAAGACGCATTGAAAACATTACAAGAGCATTGCGATCTCGCCATGCAATATGAATATCGACACACACGTCCCGCTGAGGAACATTTTTTGGTATACACAATCATGTATACTTTGGTTGAATCAGGACAAGAGCTTGTCAACTTGGAGCAGCAAGTGAATGATCTCTTGTCAAACAAAAAGAGCGGCAAATGGCGTATCTTTTTCCCAAAGATGGCATTGCGTAAATGGTTGAGCCGCACCAGCGAAAGTGAAAAAGGCGTACGTACCGCTGATGAAGATGTTGTCTTTGCCAAGGATCGTATGGATGAAAAGGAGAAGCGTATGGAGCAAGAAGAAGGTGATGAAACCCATTTTGTTCCATTGCATAATGCACCAGGCAAGCATTTCTATAACCGAATCCTCTATCGCGTCGTCAGCTTCTTGCAAAGTCCACCTGCTCGTTATGCACTTAAATTCTCTTTGGCGTGTGAATTGCTTGCATTGATGGCATGGATTCCTGTACCTGGATTGAGTGACTTTTACACCGTAAGTGCTTATAGACCTTTAGTGATCATTCATTGCTAACCTTGGTGTCTATAGAACAACCACGGCCAATGGGCAATGCTTTCAGCCATGACCGTATCCAACTACACCATTGGCTTGACAATTCAATCCTGTATCTTTCGTGTCGTAGCAACAGCTATTGGTGGTGTTTGTGGATACTTGACAGCATTAGCATCTCACCGCAACGAGGATCCCTACGTATTTGCTGTGCTTATTGGCATATTCCAAATCCCCATGTGGTACACGCTCTTCAACAGCCGCACCTATGCACGACTTGGATTCATTTCGTTACTCACAATGGCCGTCATCTCTTCCACCGATTATACCAACTTTTATCATGAAACCTTGGTTAGTTCTTTATGGAAGCGTATCGTTACTGCAGCAGCTGCAGCCGTTGTGTTGATGGTGGTCGATCAATTGTTTTGGCCTGTATGGGCACGCAAGCTTCTTTTGGAGAACTTTGCAAAGTTGCTTACGGACACTGGTATCCAATACGCCAAGGTCACTTCAGCATTTAGCCAACAAAACACCGCATCGCCACGCTATATTGCTACCAAGGAGAGCATCAAATTTCATGCACATGTGTTACGATCCCAATTTGATGGGACTTCTCAGATGCTTACTCTTTCCGGCCCTGAACCAAGATTGACCAAGGCACCTTTCCCATTACAAGAATATAGAAAATTGCTTGAGTTGGAGAAGAGGATGCTTTATTGGATTCGACACATGGCACAAGCAGAGGTAAAAGGAACAACGTGTTTTATTTTGCATGTTATTGATGATGTTCTTTAGTCCAAGATCACTCCTCGCGTGCGAGAGTTGCGTGCTCCTGTTGCTGAATTACGTAAGGAGATGGCTGGCAATGTACACCTTTACATGTTTACGCTTGGAAGTTGTATTCGTGCTCGTTGTGCTCTTCCCGCCATGATGCCTTCAGCAGAAGCAGCTAGACAAGTCCTGCAAAAACGACACATTGAATCCTGGCAAGAGATGTATCAAGTCTTCCGTCAACAAGAACCCGAGAAAACAGAGACGCTCATGTATTGGCACACATGTGCAGCAGCAGCTGTTGAGATTATATGTCTTTCAGAGGCCATGGGTGATGTTGTGAGTCGACTCATGGGACAATACATCTTCCCTGGAGCAGCGACTAGTCAATTGAATAAGAAGATAACATAATAGGCATCCATCAATGCATACCCCCAAACATTCTCCTTCATTGTAAATTATATTCACGTTCATTCATACTATTACAAATACACGCTAAAGTAAATGGATACGCTTGTGGATTGGATGATGGGTGGTGATGGTGGGTGATGATAAATTAAGGGCATCAGCATTTTCTAGTCAGCTGGCGAGTGTTCACTTTTCTCTCTATCTCTCTCTCTCTCTTGCACCGCTTTGGTCATGTCAATGCAATGGACTCGCAGGGCATTTTCGCAAACACTAAGGCAACGTAGCAACAACACCATTGGCCATGCTCTTCTTGTTCCACGCCGTCAACCCACCGTTCCTGGTGTAGCTAAACGTTGTGCTTGGACGATGCATAATGTCAACAACAGCAAATTGGACCCTGGCAACCACAACAACGACCACTTACGATTGATATTCGATGACAAGGATCTATGGAAACAGCAGCGTCAAATGTTTGCAAAGACTGAATCGATCAAGCCTGTGGGGTTGCTTGAAAGTACACACTTTACCAACGTGGAAGGATTCGCCTATGCGACTGAACAAGCTATTCAACGTGCCCAATTGATTGTTGAACGTATTTGGAGAGCGCCTGAGAATGGACCTGATGAGATGCGACGTGTCGTCAAAAACTTGGATCGTCTTTCAGATACCTTGTGCAGTGTGATCGATATGGCCGAGTTTGTACGCAACGTACATCCTGATGAAAGCATCATGGAGGCAGCCAACAATGCATACAACGATTTATGTTTTTATATGAATACGCTCAATACGGATACTCGCATGCATAAGGTATGAATAGAAGGATTAAGGAAGGAGAAAACAATGAGTGCTAATGTATTCATTGTTATTATAAGGTGTTATCCCAAGTATTGGCAGACAAGTCGATCGTGCAACAATTTACGCCTGATGAACATGCAGCAGCCATTGTCTTTTTACGTGATTTCGAGAAATCAGGCATCCATCTCTCTGATAAGCAACGTGAACAATTTGTGGAGCTTTCTGATCGGATCATCCATTTCGGTCGTGCATTTATTCAGCAAGATCCACGTGGCATTTCTCATTTGAAACTTGATCCAGCATCGCTCAATGGGCTCGCTCAATCGATTATGCGAACATGTCCTGTGAAGGATGGTCATGTTTATGTCCCAACGGGTTCAACTGAATGCCAAATGATCCTCAAGTATGCCGACAATGAAGCTTTACGACAACTTGCTTTCGAAGCTCTCAACTCAGCCAACCCAGAGAGTGTGTCGATATTGGAACGTTTGATGAGAACGAGGGCTGATTTAGCCAACTTGGTGGGCAAAAGTTCTTATGCTGAATTACAATTGCAAGATAAAATGGCCAAGAATCCAGGTATTGTCATCCATCACATACCTTCTTTTGCTAGTATACTAATGTTCTTGATGTATAGAAAACGTGGATGCATTCTTGAGGACATTGATTCATCACCAATCACCAGCATCAGAACGTGATATTCTCATTCTTCAAAAAGCAAAGCAACAGGCAATGCGGTTGAAGCAGCTACCTCAAGTCAATGCGTGGGATCGAGATTATTACATGCACGTTTCGAATATGACCGAGAGACTTACGCAGGGTCCATCACCAGCATTACCATACTTTACAGTGGGATCTGTCATGCAAGGTTTATCTCGACTCTTTTATCATTTATATGGCGTTCAATTTGTACCAGCAGCGTTGAAGACGGGTGAATCATGGCATGATGATGTGCGCAAGTTGGATGTGATTTGTGAACGAGATGGCAAGATCGGCACTGTTTATTGTGATTTATTTTCACGCCAAGGCAAGACGACACGCGCTGCCCATTACACCGTACGAACGTCACGCCGAGTGGATGATGACGATGCAGAGAATGACATTCGATATGCATTCCCCGGTCAAAATATATCGCCCGATCGATTTATGCCACCCATGATCCAATCCACAGATACCATTCGTGGTCGACAAGGACAATTCCAATTACCCATCATTGCATTGACTTGCGATTTCAACAACAAAAGCGGTTCAACGGCCATGCTATCCATGTTTGAAGTCGAGACTTTGTTCCATGAAATGGGCCACGCCATGCATTCAATGCTTGGTCGCACTGATTTCCACAATGTGTCCGGTACACGCTGTGCAACCGATTTCGTTGAGCTGCCATCGATCCTCATGGAGCATTTTGTGTGGCATCCAAGTGTATTACCCCTGTTTTCGCATGATCGTACCTATTCACCAGAAGCCATCCAATCATTCCTCAAGCAACAAAAACGATTCAGCGGCATTGAAACCAATAGTCAAATTGTCATGGCGCTGCTGGATCAGCAATACCACTCAACAGCTGCAGCAAGAGGCAATTCGTTTTCGAGTGAAAAGATATGGCATAATCTCCAGGATCAAGTAGGCTTGTTCCCAAGTGTGCCTAATACCATGTGGCCGGTTCAATTTGAGCATCTCTTTGGTTATGGTGCCGGTTACTATTCCTATCTTTTCGATCGTACCTTGGCAAGACGTATTTGGGAGACATGCTTTGAAAAGGATCCTCTTGATCGTGACCAGGGATTGGCTTTCCGAGACCGGTTGTTAATGTGGGGTGGTGCACGTGATCCATGGGAATGCGTCGCTGATGTATTAGGTGGTCAAGATGGTGAACGGATAGCTCGTGGTGATGAAGAAGCAATGCGTACGGTCGGCGACTGGGGCATTGATGTATAAATTTACGTAGTGATGTATAGATTAAAATGTTACATGTTTCCCTCTTGTATTGACTTTTATGGCTGAAAGCATATTGTTGGCTGGATACAACGGCCCGTGGGTTGCATTGATGGTTGACATTCAATTTTGGGGATATCGGGGTTGGTTGCTTGTGTCACCTTGACCTATATGCAGCTCGGTAAAAGGACAAGCCAAGGGGTGTGTCAACGCCAATCTTACAGCTGATTGATAAGTGAATACACATGCCAGCATGCTTGTATATACGATGACAAATTGATCTGCACCATAGCATAAATGTAGCATGCATCAGGGAAAAAGTCCAAGTTGGAAAACATAGTATAAGTAAAGATTGATTCTAGCTAATTAGTAAAATGATAGTTTGAAACTTAATCGCCATATAGTACATGGTTACTTTTGATGAGTGTCACTCGCATAAAGGTAGATGCTTTTTGATGGACATGCATGAATGAGTAAGATATCGCTGCATAAGATGTTTGGATGACGGCAAAGATGTCATGAAGCGGGATTGGGTAACAGCAGCCACGCACGATTTTGGGAATTTCTCTCGGCCCTTGTCTTACAACAAGCAGGGCTCACATTTTTTTGCTGGGGTGGGGGTTAATCTTTTTGGGTGACAAGAGGTGGGTGCCTAGTGCGGATGACTAAAAGCCAATACCAAAGATGTGTCACACACACAACCATAATGGATACGATGAGTGATCAAATATAAGCAATCAAGTGTTGAATGTGAGTAAAGCTTTATTGAGAGGCATGTAACCGGAAAGACTCGGTAAGGTTATCTGCAGAGTAGAATGTATATGTGTGCGTTGTGTATCACTCTCACTCTCACTCTCTCTACCAATGTAATCTACCCTTTTCTTCTTTTCCCCTTTTCCTTCTGCTTCCACTATCAAAAGCATGCCTTTATTACAGTTACCACCTGAGCTTCTACGACTCATTTTTCTATATCTTCCTCGACAGAGCCTAGCACGACTATGTTTGACTTGTCACCAGGCCTATACTATTTGCTTGCCTACTCTTTATGCACATGTCCATCTTGGTCTTCGGGCTCATGTACGTCAATTGGAGCAAGGTGTCTATCGACGAGACGAATTGAGAGCGGCCATGCAATCGTATACCCACCAATTGACCATGACAAACCAACAAAACTGCAACATGTGGATGGCACGCGATTTCGCTTGGTTGTTTAGTGCAGCTGTGAATGTGCGTGTATTGACCCTGGTTCACTTTGAGTCGCTCACCATCGGGTATCTGGTCCGGCTGACCCATCAACTACCGAATATTGAGCATTTGCGTATCCAATACAGCCAACTTAAGAGTGATCCATCATCACAAACAATGACAACACCAGGCTATGATGCAAAAAACAGCTTCGCAAAGGCTAAAAACCTTGATCTCTGCTGGACAGATTTTTCTGAAGAGGCTGCAGCACAGCTATTACAGTTACTCCCCAACGTGGAAACAGTCAACTTGGGTGCCAATCGCAACAAGAATAGAGGAGCTAATACAACAGCCGTTCGATCTCTCTCAGAGCATTGCCCTGCAGTAAAGCACCTGACAATATCATTGCAGCAAGTGAGCGAGCCTGTTTTGTGCGACACAATTACCTACTATGGACCGCAATTACATAGCTTATCGATTCGTTGTGATGGAAGGGATACTCTCAAATGCGTGGCTCGGCATGCTACCCTCGTAAAGAACTTGACTATTCGTGCGGGATCGATTCAACCACCACCACAGCGTGTTGTACTCACATTGAATCAGCCACAACCCATGACACCTCCTTCTTTCGTTACAACTATGATGGCTCAAGAACAAACACCACAAAACGAAGAACAACCTGGTAGCATTGTCGGCATCCTACAACGATGTTCTCAGCTTGTACGATTGGAAATGGTATCATGGCTCGTAGAGGATGTCCCACGTGAAGTTTGGCGAGGGATCGAAGTTGTAGCTTCTCGACATCAGGCACCATCCATAGTTGAACGCCGTCGTGCTCGTGAACAAAATAAGACATTTGCATTGGGAAGAGAGGAACTCCAAGAAATAAGAAAGCAATTTGTTATGGCTGCTAGGACACCACAATCGTCTCCATCGCAACCCTCGTTTGACATGAGTACTCATTGATTGTAGCTATTATACCACCTTGTGCATTGTTTTCATTTTCATCCTAGTCCCAATCAGCATTTTCCTTCCTTCCTCTTACCACCTATTTAGTTTTCTATTCCCTACTCTTCAAATACTTGGTTTCCTTCATAGAGTTTATTAAATCAGTATATCGAGATAATGACCATGATCTTGTTTACAGGGAGCTTGGAAGTATGTCTATACTCCTTTTATGTATGACCAAGTATGAATGTAACCCCTGAGAGGATCGAATAGAAGACACGAACATCACGCGACGACACTCAACCTCCAGCTCTTCCACTCCCACTCTACTTTCTCTTCCTCCCATTCACAACTGTTGCACCATTCAAATATACAACTACCACCTGCAAACGATTGTCCTGCTTCAACCCATCATGCCAATCCTACAACGCTCTTGATCCGATAGTCTTTGACTGAATGGCAAGTCCATGGCGTGTACGCTCCACTGCACCAGCCGCGTTCCTTGACACTACTCCTTTTCTTGTACACTCTTCTGCCACAACCAAACCCAACAGCATTCATCCGGCAGTTGACACTACATAGCAAAGCCTTCACTCTATAGTCTCAAACAGCGTTCTTTACTTGCAGCAACTTGTCTTACGGCCTCTTACGCGGACAACGGGTATCCATTGCATGGGAGCAGCTTTATTTACGTGTACCAACTTGCTTCCAATACATACGAATTCCAATCGATGATGCCATATCAGCTATGGAGTACACTACAATACAAGCAATCTCGTGAGCTGCGGTAGAAATGATCAAGAAAGAGAAAGACCAACAGCCGGATGGAAATGGATCAGCAGCAATATTGGATGTACAATGGTGATGATGGATGGATGGATGGATCATGCAATCAAGTGCAGTGATGGGAAGTCCTGGAATGTTACATTGGTTACTTGTCGCGTCGTCAGCACGAACGATGAATGATACCGCGTGGATACGGCTGAGGATGATGATGGATTGCATGGAATTGGAAGGGGTGCTTGACAACCATATGATGACATTGGTGTTGTCGAGACAACGCATGCTGCAGCTATTTTGCAATCATGGTTGAAGGATGTTTATGCCGGCAGCGACGAAGGATACAATGACACAATGACCCCTATTGCCTTTACGAGATTCACCCGTACCTTATTCAATTTTCAATGCTGTTCCTTTATCCTATTTATTACTTGATAAACATCCACACTACCCTATGCTATTCTTCGACTTTTTCAATGATTGTATTTGGATGCAACGTGATGACTGGGGTTATCATTTACTGTCACCTCATATAGGAAAGCTGTTGATCACTCGGCTGGTTTCAGAATTGAAAGGTGGAATATGTAGAAATTGGATGTTGGAAAGCAAGGCTGGACCATTTGCATCATCGTATGGATCAAGATGCCATTATTCTTCTGCCACAGCACTATTACATTCACTAAAGCTTCCTAGCTAGACAACTGGTAGTGGTGATTTTCAAACGCTTGTATTGCAAAGATAATAAATTTGAGAGTGATGGCGCCCAGCATGTGCTTGTTCCAGAAGCATGGTTCATTGTAAGCTTATTTCATTATATCCAAGAAAGAATACAATATGGCTCGAGTACATGAACATACCATGTTTAGCTATGACATCTTTCAGCCAACACTACCATATGCAGCCTTGTATAAGAATGAACCATTCCATACAGGCTATCATAGGCGGACCTTACTATAGCTGAAGGATCATTATGCATTTCTCTACCAATAGGGTCCAACCTTCAAGCCTTTGTCCTCTCGGCTGTGTCACATGTACACGTCCATCTGGGTCTTTTGCTCTGTCAGATCCAGCTACTTCACAAGGAACAAAGACCACTCTTCATATAGCATCACGCTTACAGCATATGTAAAACGTAAAGACAGTCATATCTCAAGATTTTATAATCAAACGTGGGGTTTTTAAGAGAACAGTGTGTTCGACGGGGTCAAGGGAATCTTGTGTACAAGTTTCACGTCGATCGTGGCCAATCCCAGATTTCGCAATGTCACTACCAGCCAAACTGGATCGGGGGGTCGACCTCTTCGACGACGACGACCAAAAAATATTTTTTGGGCTAGTTGCGACATTGAACGTGAAACTTTCACACAAGGTGCTGTTGGCCAAGCCGAGCACATTGCTCTATTCAAAACCCCGCGTTTCATTGTAAAGTTTGGAGATACAGGCACCTTTATGTTTGTAAGCGTGATGCTATATGACAAGTGGTCTTTGTTTAATGTAAAGTATCTAGACCCTGGAGAGCCAAAGATGCAGAAGGACCTCTTTGTGTAGCTGAGCTAAAAAGTCCGGACCTCAGGGACGATGCATGACAGGTACACAAACGTCATTTTCAGGTCATACATTGGCAGCTAATAGCCACTTTTGTGCATTCTCAACTTTTGTGCATTCCATTGCAGGTGGACGATTCTCCTGCTCCATACATTCATTTCCATGATTAAAGTAGGTTGATCCGAGCTGATTTGACTGAGCTACGGTCAAAGAGAGATTACATCACTCTGGACATAGAGCACGCTCGATGTAGCTCAACCGATGTAATCTTGTGTGAGCGTAACTCAACCAAATCAGCTCGGATCAACCTACTTTAATCATGGAAATGAATGTCTAGAGCAGGAGCATCGTTCCCATGCAGTGGATCTCGCAACAATGATGATTGGATAAAAGTGGCTGTTAGCTAGCAATACATGCCTGTTCCTAGATGATCCATAAAGTGATTATAGATTGACCCTTTCATTCATGCAAACGTAGCTGTGTTACACAACACGACCCTCTGCATCTTTTGCTCTGTCAGGGTCTAGCTACTTTACATTAAACGAAGACCACTTGTCATATAGCATCACGCTTACAAACATAAAGACGCCTGCATCTCCAAACTTTACAATGAAACGTGGGGTTTTGAATAGAGCAATGTGCTCGGCTTGGCCAACAGCACCTTGTGTGAAAGTTTAACCGACGAGATTCACAGATTCACAATCGATTCACACCGATTCACAAAACCCCGCAGCCAATTTTTGGCTGGGTCACAACCTGATTCACAAAGATATTAGATAAAATGGGCGTCTCCACGCCCATTTTACCTAGTATTCGTTGCGTGACCGCTCCCATTTTACCTATGATTTGAAATGCTCCCTTGCCAGTACCCTTATGCATACCTCTGTGTTACACAACCTTGTATACCACGTTGGATGGTAAATCATTGCACTATCATTGTATCCACCATGGGATGACCATTTATGACCTTTCTTTGTTGTCAAACACGGGTTTAATAAAGGTGACTGAGGCTACTTATATACATGAAAAGGCAAGTGATGTGTGATATTACCATATAATACAAGGGGAGAGGAACGATATGCAATGTGAATGTTGCTATACAATGCTCGACATGTACAAAAAATGGTCGTTGCTGCATGAATTATCCAGCGCTACGGCATGATTGTTTGGTATGCTCCTTCCATAATCGATCCAAAATCCAATTCCACGCCGTTGTTCAAAGCGATTCACAGCTTCGGTAATAGGCACATACTCTTCTTGTTGAATCTTGTATATGGCATCGACAATCTTCTTCGATTTACTACACGTTTTCGCTCTAAAAAGCACGTGTGTTAGGCACAATGTTGTGTGATTGAAGTTGCGATGGATCAAGACCTACCTTTGGTACTATCTCGCTGTTTTGCATGATACTTTTCTTCTAGATCTTTCACTGCTGGTGTGCCTGTGTATGAACCATCATCCCATTTTCTCCATACTTCATGTGCTGAAAACATAGATCGGATCTTTTTTGCTGTGTGTGAGTTGCGTTCCTGCTGTAGTTATCATCCATGTTCCTGTTGTCGCTACCATCCATGTCCTTGTTGTCGTTTTATCATCCATCTCGACTCGTTCATAACTTTCTTCACCAGGCAAGCCACGAAAGATATCCCTGATCACACGTTTGGGCTCTTTACTCGTTGATTAATACATGCCACTAATAAAGAAAAGTATATACATACGTACTCTGTTCCAAATCGCCTGCCGTATTCACTTGGCCCATACTCTTCGATCCTTTCATCATCATCTTAACCACTCGTCTGATATCCACCTTGGCATGAATCGATGTAATTCGGGTCGGAATAGATCATGATTGAATAGACTCCAACACAGCAAACCAGGAAATGTGCGCAACATGACAACCGCTTGAAGAAGTATCACACGTGTTTTGTAACAAAAAGCAAAAGCCTTGAGTGCAAATGGTTTGGGGCATCCATCACCAAATTCAACACTATCCAACCAGTATTCAACTTTGTGGCCATCAGTGGGGGAAATCGTTCAATGTCCTTATCACTCGTTTGGCAAACCATTCAAGCAAAGTAAGCTTTTGTAGAGTCCTCTGCCATTGACCATGCTTCTTCATTTGATCCCTCCGTTGCAGCAGAAGGCTCTCATACCTCGCTCTTCCATCCATTTCCATAGATCATGTTTTGCACCAAGGATTAAGAAGTAGTTGGCCACCTTAAGACTCTATCAACCATAAATCCATCATCGATCACACCAGTGCCACGATCCACTTTCGTTTTGCGCATGAATTCTTCTTTGTTGATACATAAGCCCTTGTTTTCTTCCATGATTTGAGCGGCTACACCACAGGGATGAGGCTGAATGTTTCAGCGTTTGGAGACTTGGCTAGAGAGCAGATCGACAATTGTATTGATGTATTGGCCGATTGATGAATCACTTAGTGGATACGGGTTGCCATCATGTTGTTGCGTTTTGGGATCAAAGAAGCAGGAGCTTTCCTTCGGCCACAATGTAACTACCTTCGTATTCTTCTTTCAATTCATGCACCAAAGCTACGTATCATCACACGTTTAATTATCTTGAGCCATGACGGACATTGTATCCATTATCCACTAACCTTAAACTGTTGTTATAAAGGGTATATACAAGTTCTGCACCTTTGGGTCGGATACCATGATTACTGGCTAGAGATGCTACGACAATCTGATGCTCTTGTATAGCATTCCTCAATACGCTTGATCTCCCGGGCATGTGGCAGCAAAGCGTGAATACACGTCTACTCTTGGGTGTGGATGTGACTGGCAACTGAACATTGCCAAAAGATGGATAACGAAACCGGCAGACGATGACGATGCGATGACAGATTGAAGGATGATGATGATGGTGTCGTGTTGTCTGTGTTTGGAGTTGCGCCGAGAACAAGGATGGCAGTGAAAAACGCATGACGATTAATGAAGGTGTGGTGTTGACAATATTGCGATCGACAACGGCTTACTGGCCGGGGACAACGTCTAAAGCAAACAGTGTCAGGTACGTCATATCAAGGTCTACGTGTCTCCATGGCAACGACCCAACGCTTACAACAACGACTAAAAGTGAAACCTGATGGATGACTTGAGGAGATACAAAGAAGATCAAGCTGTTACATATGAAGGACACCACTAGACCACAGGCATCGGCGTATGAGGTGGTGTGTGGTTTTTGTACAAGAGCAAGAGGTTAAAAATGGAGCGGAGCGCTGGCGCGCTCATTTGCAAGGCGAACAATAGATAAATTGCGTCGGGTATAAGCAGTGTGACCCGGTTCTGTGAATCAGCCAAGGCGATTCGTTTTATCGACCAAGTAGCGAGTGTCCAAAGTACCTCTAATCTCGCCTGTGTACTTTCCTGGGTGCAACAATGTTTATAATGCACGACCCATTATGATCATAAAAGTAGGCAAATCTATCCCTCATTATAATACAAGAGCCATTTGATATCATTCGAGCCGTTCATACAAGCAAACCGTAGATGTGTTGATAACGTGATCTAATTCATCATCGAATCGTCACATCAATTTAAATAAAACGAGTGAAGTGATCCATTTTCAAGCTCACCTTTCTGATCACCAATAATCATGGAATTTCAACCAAACCTTTTGGAACGCTTGAACCTTCGTCTCGGCCCCGTTGATGAAGACTTTAGATACAGGAGACATCACCTGGTATCAGTCGCCAGACTTTAGGTAAATCGTATTATTACAGCCTTGTCTTTTAGTTGACGGGTTTTTATCATTGTACAGCATTCGTGTCGGCTTCTCGAAACTCAACAAGAACACCACAAGCTAGACACGTATCAGTGCAGGT